AGGGAATTTCGGTTCCAACAGCCAAGCACAAGAAACCAACAGCCACCATTAAAGCACCATGAAGGCCACGGTTCCAACAGCCTAAAGAGGGAAAAATAATGCAGCAGCTCAAGAGGCAAAGGAAGAGGAAGAGACAAGTTCCACACACCTAATTTCTTATACCTCATAATGAATTTAGAGCTAAACATCAGCTCATAATGAGCTACAACTCCACATGATATTAATGAGCTTGCACCACTAAAATTTCAACAACTATGCTCAAAACCGAAATCAGCCAAGGCTCCATAGAATTGTGTTGACCCCCCCTTTGCCTACATCAAAATCTCAATTATCAAAACTTATGAACGTATGAGACAAAATACATAGTGGATGATACTGATGAATATACCAGACTCCTACAACAGTCCTTACAAAGTCAATGCACTGTACTTGTAAGTAACAACAGACAGTTGCAAAGCGCACGAGTACTACCCACATGCAACATGCAACAATCAAAGACCCACCACACAAGCAATAGCTACCCTGTAGATTGAGAGGGTGACATTGGCAGTTGATGAATAAAGATTCCAAGGCATACAGATGATAAATGATTACCAAAATGAGCAACTATAAACAAATACAATCATCAAAAATCACCTGAGATTGGTAAAAGTTGGATATGATGCAGGAACAATAGCTCTTCTACGAATATCTCCAGGAGGTCGTAGTGGATACAGCGGGTCCCTGCAAATACACACGAGCCGCTTGTGGATAACAACAATGGGCATATCGTAAACACGACGAACCCTTGTGGACACAAGTATAAGTATCACCTATAACAGCGGTGATTGTGATGCTGCAAAATATGTCGGGTACGAAGACAACTCGATGTACAAAAAAAGGACACCCCTAGCAGAACGGAAAGGGATGTTTGAGCAAATTAGAACTAAACTTTATGGTGTTCCAAAGTTTTTTCTTAGTCCTATACTTAAGAAGAAAATAATTTTGATGTCCACAAACATCGGAAGTAACAAGTCTACGACATTAAAGAGCTTGAAAGTTCCCTTCAAAGCTGCGGTCACTAATTTCAAAGTCTAGAAAGACATCCCGTTGAACGAGAAAGGGGAGTCAACATCAAGATGATAAGATGCATCGGGACATCCAGATAACACCGCCACCAGATCCGCAACACTCATATTAGCGAACAAAAGGCTTGTATGAGTTTTTAAATAAAAAGTTGTGGGCACTCAAATAGCAATTATCTGCACAACTAAAATATTTCAAAGTACCTGCACATACACCTTAGTTTATATACACATAGGTACACGAGGGGTATGTCCAATCAATGAAATTCTCAAACAGCTGCATGGGCCCCGGCGAGCGTGTTATAAATACACACGTGACGCCTAGCTATGATGCACAAACATGGACACGGCGACACGGACATGACACGACACAAACGCGGGACGCGATTTTTTTTGAAAATATAGGACACGGGTACGACGCGGACACGACAATACATATATATATATCATATTAAAAATGACAAACAATAATAAATGAATGACATGATAACTTGTCTAGCTTATAATATAAAATATTTAGTACAAAATATCTAGTACAACCACAAAAATATAAGCAAATAATCACTTACTACAACATCAAGCATTCAAGCTTCAACTACTATGATTAGCTTTAGAGGTTTATTTTTTGCCTTCAATATCATCATCATTGAATATCATTGCTTTCAACTCTAGTTCAACAAGAGAAATATTTATAATTGTGCAAAAAGAGAGGAGATGAAAATACCTTCACTGTCAAAGAGAAATGAAAATGAGAATATTCGATGAATGGGTATTAAATGCAGACGTTGATTTGGTGTTGTGGATAGGAAATAAGAAATTCAGTTTAAATCTCGCCAAATATAAGAAATTATATTTTAAAAAAATTATAAAATATTTAAGATACGCGTGTCGGACACGCGTGTCCAATTTGTTTTTAATATTTTTTTAATTGGACACGTTTTCAGTGTGTCCTACACGTGTCGGAGGAGTGTCAGACGAGTGTCGTGTTGGACACGGTGTCGGACACTGCACGGCTCTTTGAGGAGAAATGTCGATGCATCATAGACGCCTAGGAATGTTGTGCGGGTCAATAAGTGAATTCAAGTTCAAACTCGATCCTTTTATACGGATCAATAGGAGTCTACAGGATTTGAACCTTCAAACAAATATAAGGTTGTGGCGACCGTTGTATTTATTTTAATACGTTCATATTAGGCCTTCAATGCCTATAATTAAGAGAATTCACCAATAAAGGCATAAATCCTACAAAACCCGATCCTCCTAAGCAGGTTAGTAAGAGTAGACAGTGTTTAAATCATCGGATAAACATGTGGTCTTGAAGTCCACCGAAATATTTATTTTATACATTCATATTAGGCCTTCAAGGCCTTTAACAAAGAAAGTTCACAAATAAAGACACGAAACCTAAGAAACCCGATCCTATGTTGACAGCTCAACAGAGTGGACATGGTTCATCTACAAAATATAAATATTTTCAAGTGTAAATGACCTCAAAGTCACCTCGATGATGACTGTATTGAATGTTTATCTTAACCAGAGGGGTTCACAAATAATTTCAAATGTCTTTCCGGCTCCACCAAAATACAAAAATCTAAAAATCCCAAAATCATCAAAATTCAAAATATTTAAAATTAAAATCAAACCGTCAATCACTTAAAGTAAAATTCATCCACCCTCTGCAACAGTTTGTCGAGGTGGACAAATTAAAATATAACTTCAGCTCATATAGAGCCAAATGCCTAGTCGAAAATATCACTAGGATCCATTCTCAAATAATCTCATGTCAGTAAAGACGTGATACGTGTCTTTTAACCGGTGGTTTTGCTGCCAAATGGCACCGCAGGATAAACGGTTATGACACGGGCCCTTTGAACTGAGTGGTTTTGCCGCCAAAAGACACCACGAAATACCTGTTATGGCCAGAGCCAATACGCTCCTTATTGGCCTCAAATCCTTGAGATATGAATCAATATGATATAATCGATAGGGCAAAAAGCCCTCTGTTAGCTAAGGTGGATTTAAATTTGTCCCCTTAGATAATTATTCACCCCAGGTCTATAAGGTACCTTTGGACGAAGCAACCCATGGCTGCCGACAAGGATCCTTCTGTCAGGTTGGGTCGACTACCTCCTCTTACTAAGTAGACCAGGGACCATAATTATGGCCCGGGACGACGGAACAATGGGATCTTGATCGGGTCCATCATCCATCCCACCACCATTCGCTTTAAGTGCAAGATGGTGAAATTTCCAATTTTAAATATAAAACCTTCAAACTTCTAATTTCCAAGTCCAATGCTGATATTATATGCCAGATAACACGTATATTCTACGTATCTGATTGACGACTAGCCTTAATCGAAAGTTTTCTCTCGTTATCGGGAGGGGTAATTAACTATAGGGGCTTGCGTATATAGGAAACCAGAACTCATATCATAAAGTCCTCGCAAAATGAGGGCGAAATCTCTGGGTAGTGTCTTATCTACAAACCCATTTGCCTTCCCAAAATTTACCCAAGAACTTAATTCCGTTAAAACTCCCTCGCAAAAAAAAAGCAACAGTCGCGGGCGGAGACCGGGGCCGAATTTTTGGAGCCCACAATAATCAGATTGGACGGTATGCCGAAGGTGATTGTATCTAATTGGGTCAGTTTCTGTTTCTTGCCACGATCTGACACGGTATGACTTGTGTAGTTGGGTTGTGTCATTCTTATGATGCATCGACACTTCTCCTCAAAGAGGCGTGCAGTGTCCGACACCATGTCCGACATGACACTCGCCCGACACTCCTCCGACACGCGTCGGACACGCCGAAAATGTGTCAGATTAATAAATATTAAATACAAATTGGACACGCATGTCCGGCATGCGTATCTTATATATTTTATGAATTTTTTTATATATAATTTCTTGTATTTGGCGGGATTTAAAATAAAATTCTTATATCCTATCCACAATATCAAATCAACGTCTGCACTTAATACCCAATCATCGAATATTCTCATTTTCATTTCTTTTTTGCAGTGAAGGTATTTTCATCTCCTCTCTCGGTGACTGATAAACGGCATCGACGCCTGACTCTCGACATCCTAATACTAATCATTTTAGCATAAATTCTAGTTAAATGGCTTATTATTTTCAAATTATTTTTAAAATTATACTTATTTAATTTTTATACACTATTTTTTAAATATAAAAACTATAATAATGTGTCCAACCCGTGTCCCGTGTCTGTGTCGTGTCGTATCCGTGTCGCCGTATTGTCTGTGCATCATAGGTCATATCGGGTTGGGTTGTGACACGTTCTATTAGAGATTTGGGAATGAGTCGAATGAAGGAGTCCTTATGGATCTTCTCAAGTTTGCGGAGCGAACAAAGAGGAACTGAACATAGTATTAGGTCTTTAATACCATTTCAAACGATAAGAAATAAGCTTTGGTAGCAAGAAATAAGGATTGATATTTGAATTGCTTGAATTTTATTCCATTATCTAATCCATATTTATACAACCCAAGGAAAATTACAAAATAAGATGTATATAAAATCATGAGTTGAAATTTAGTTATAAAATTAATCACAATATATTAGTGCACATGGATTGATGAGATGGCATTTACATGGATCGATGAGGTTGCGTGCAAGGAGCTGATATAGCCATGGATCATGGATATTGATTTCCAATGATATACATTGATAGTATCATTGAGAATGAAAATTGATGTGCTTTTTAAGATTTGGTTGATGTTATTTTAAATAGCAGTTGGTTATTGATTTGTAAATTGACATTATTTTGTGTAAGACAATTCTTTTGTCAAATGAGCGTGTACTTTTTTTGTCTTTTTTGGCTTAAACTTATTTATCTGTAATTTAGCGTATTTAGCGTTTTTAAAGCTGTTTAGACAGTCTAATTTTACTTTATTCACATTCCTTCTCTTCAGGCTGAGGTTGAGAATCTTGCATTGCAGGAGTGTAATCTGGATGTTCAGATCAAGTATGTTATTAATTATATCACGAACATCAATAGATGGTTTTTGTTTTGCCTGATTTTGAAGGTTTTTGCAGTGAAATGAGAGAACGGATTAGGGAACTAAGTGAAGATGAAAACAGTTCAAAGTAAGTACTCCAACAAATGCCCAATATCATGCAATTGGATGCACTATGCATGACTTATTCTTTGTGTGGAAATTTCGTTAGTTAATTGTATATTTCATTGATACTACATTTTATATCTATTTAACTCTTGCAGATGGCTTTATGTGACTGAAGAGGATATCAAGCAGCTACCATGCTTTCAGGTCTGCGTTGTTGTATAAAATATTGTTATTACTTGTCTGTTAATATGCTTAACAATGTTTGACATTAAGGCCTCGTTTGATAATGCTTTTTTTCTCCGTTTCCCTTTGAATACTCCGAAATCAATTAGTATTTACTGTTTGGAATCAAAGCTTAACAATAATTCCTTTTTAATAAACATCGTTTTTTCAGCGGTTACAAAATTCTTTTCGTATCTGCTTCTTCGGCCACAAAACAGATTTTCGGAAGTTACTTACTGATTTAAAATTATTTTCAAGTATTAAATAATAAAATCTCAAAAGCAGAACTCCTAAACAAACAATTTAAAATTACTTTCAAGTATTAATAAGCACTTTTAAAAATATTAGTCAAATATATCTCATTATTGAAACTCCATTTTATTGAACGGCTTTTTCTCAACCTCATTTTCTAAAACTCCTTTTTATATAAGCATAAACCGAATCAAACGAAGTCTAAGATACTTAATTGTTGTCGATGTCAAGTCTTCCATATTAATTATTTTTCCTCTTTCTTTTACAGAATCAAACACTGATTGCAATAAAGGCCCCACATGGTACAACCTTGGAAGTCCCAGATCCTGATGAGGTAGGCGTGAAGCCATATTGGAGTTACAGTTACTTTGTTCCCACTGTTTTCTGCTCTCTGTATGTTTTACGTCATGGTTTCTAAACTTGATGCATATGTTGTCACATCCCATTTTGATCCACTTCAGACAATCTGGAGTGTAACCCACTTCAGACAATCTGGAGTGTAACAGATAAGGCGAATCTAAATAGACATATATCTTACTAACACCCATCCTGAGTTACTTCTGTCAGGATCGAGTGAGTACAGAACAATCTATCGAGACTATCCCAATACAATAAAATTTTCAATTTTAACAATTTATCTACATAGTTCATATTTGGAAGCGTATTCACAACACATCAAATAAAATATAATGCTTTACTAAACTTTCAAATAAAGTTTACATACCTAAAAATCTTATTGTTTATCTTACTGCTTTGACTTCCATGTATACCCAAAACTAATGTAGATAAATGCAGTCACCCAAACTTATGTACACTAATGCTTGCTCCTTTCCTTGTCCATACAGTACAACCACTGTTAATGGCCTAAAAGCTCAATGAAATAATCATAGTACAAGAAATAAGAATTAATATTTTATATTCAATTATAAATGATATTTGAATCACTGAAACTGAGTTACTTCTGTCAGGATCGAGTGAGTACAGAACAATCTATCGAGACTATCCCAATACAATAAAATTTTCAATTTTAACAATTTATCTACATAGTTCATATTTGGAAGCGTATTCACAACACATCAAATAAAATATAGAGCTTTACTAATCTTTCAAATAAAGTTTACATACCCAAAAATCGTATTGTATATCTTACTGCTTTGACTTCTATGTATATACAAAACTTATGTATGTAAATGCAGTCACCCAAACTTATGTACACTAATGCTTGTTCCTTTCCTTGTCCATACAGTATAACCACTGTTAATGAGCTAAAAGCTCAATGAAATACACAATCATAGTACAAGCAATAAGAATTAATATTTTATATTCAATTATAAATGACATTTGAATCACTGAAAGAATCATAAGCTGTATAAATAATCAATACATATAACCGTGCAATTCATTAAATTTATTCTTTTAACTTTCCACATATTTCTTATTTTATTTATTTTTCGATATTTCAGATAAGTCATATGACGACTATAAGTTTTTGCATACTTGCAGCTCTCCCATTCAAGGTTAGATTTGATTTTTTAACTTTTAGAAGAGAGAATGTTGGGCACCTTCTATACGGTCCCTAAGACTTACTTCATCAGGTCTTTCGCCTTTACTTGTGCGAGTCTATTCCCCATAATATGATTTTTCTCATTAACCATCTTATTAACATTCAGATGTTCATAACATACATATATGTATCATATTGCAGCATATATTGTATATTAAATAACCCAAATTAACAAATAATTAAATCAAGTGAACAAGTAATCATAAACTCATAATACGATTGAAATGTGGAATAATATTACCACGCTAATGTAAATTTTTTTCATTTCGTATACGACAAATTGGGTATCTCACCTCATTCTCTAGGGTAGGAGGATGAGTTTGTTCTCCTAATATACCCCAACTTCTTTTTCTCTTGTAAACAACTTAAAGCATCAATTTTGCCATTTGTATATGAATTCTAATAAAAATCAGGTTCTGAGAAAAAGATCTTAAAAGGTTTACCTCAATTGAATTGCTCATTCAACTCAAATTTTTTCCCTCTTCCTGCACTCCTTCCTGTCTTCCCTTCCTTCCCTTCTCTACCTTACATTTTTTTCAGAATTTTTCCCTGTAACAGCCTTTGCCTCCTCGCCTCTTGCTTGCGGCCTTCTTCCGACTACGGAAAACAAAGTGACGGGTGGGAGGAGGAATGGAATGCAAGGCTTAAACTTATATTTTATAACATGATTAATATTTCACTATTACATTCAACTAGACCCTCCCAGCTACCTGAGCAGCATGATCCCCGCACTCAGTCATCCACCCTTGCATGCCGGGATTAGTAGAAACTGTAGTGGGTGAATTGAATGCTGCAGTCATATAAAATTAATTAGCCTTTAATTAAATACTTTAGTTTATATATATATATATATATATAGGCTTGTAATTTAGGTATACTTCTATATATCAAAATGCTCAAAATTAAAAATAAAATTTAATGAAAATATATTTGATGTTTTATGGAGGTATGATAAAATGGGATAAATTTTGGGGCAAATTTTTATGCTTACCTTTTTGACAAAATTTTGGGTATTATATACATGTAGGCTGGTGAGAATCCCCAGAGGAGGTATACAATGGTACTTAGAAGCACCATGGGTCAAATAGATGTTTACCTTGTCAGGTAACAGCTGTCTTGCCACTAATTTAAACTTCTGTAACTTCAGCAAGAAATTTGGATGGTGATATCTCTCATTTATGCTCATGTTGCTGATGCATTTTGGTCCATTTTTGATATATGTTCTAAGTAAATTTGAGGGCACATTTGAGGAGTTAATTAGTGTTGATACATCATCAAATCTCCCTTGCACATCATCATCTGGCTGCAACGAGCATCCAGATGCTCCAACATTGACTGACCATAGCAAAGGCAATGAATTGGAGCTTCAGGTCCATGAGGACCATGACTCCTGGAGAATTAACGCAGATTCAAATGCAACACAGGATTTCACGGATGGCATGATGAAGGTTGTTCCTCCTGATGCAAATGTAAGTGCTGTCCCTTATTTTTTAAGAGGCAACTATCAGCTAGATGTAATATTCCTTTCTCACATATGCGTTGTTTGACTTTCCCTACTTTTTTTTTTTCTCTACATTTATTCGTAAGCATCCACTCATAATTTCTTACGAAAGCCAAACCTCAAACATATTCAAGTATTCTAATTCTAATGCACGTGCACCAAGCCTGAGTATTTTGTTATATTTTGGTTTTGCCTATTACTTTCCTATTTATAAGAGTTTAAGAGGGTGAATTTAAATCTAAATAAGGTTTAAATTTTCGTTTGCAGCTAATCCAAAATAACATATTTTATAACAAACTTTTAAATATAATTTTATCCAAAAACAAAATGATAATTTTTATTCATTCGATTATCATAAAATTAACTAGTTTAATTTTTGTTACTTCTGTTGACAATTTTATGGAGGCAAAAATTAACAACCCCACTCAATAATCTGGTAATATGCTTTGGATCTCATTTAATTTGACCTCTCTCCAATTCAAGCTCCTCAATCTCCCAATGCCCTAAGGGCTAAACTCTAAACAACTTCAACAAGACCAAATGATGCTTGGACTTAATCCGATGAGAAACTTCTTAAGCACTATGTTACACATTAAAATGCATCCACTAATACCTAAATTGTGTCTGTCCCTTGTACCCTCACAATTTTATTCATTAGGATAGGTTGTTTAATATGAGATCAATTCTTAAACATCTCCAATGATTTACCTCTCAACTTTTGTATCATTCTTTGCGTTAAAATCTGACTTGCAATCAATCAACAAAATTAATTTTGTTTTCTCAAATCGCTTTGCTCCAATATTCATGATGAAATTTAAGCAGTTCCACTTAAAGTTACATCTTGTAACACATATAATCCAATTATCTTTGTTTTCATGACAAGTAATGCATACTTGTAAATTTTTGTTTCAAAACGGACTTGCAATCAATCAACTAAATTATTTTTGTTTTCTTAAATCACTATGCTCCAATATTGATGATGAAATTTAAGCAGTTGCACTCAAAGTTACATCTTGTAAGACATATAGTCCACCATTTATCTTTGTTTTCATGACAAGTAATGCATACTTGCAAATTTTATGGACCTCAATATCTCCCTAGTATTTGAATATTTTTTTATTAAGAGCATTCAAAAATATCAAATTCTTAGTAAGGTTTAGTGTATGCTTGGTTCCTATTAATGTTTAGTCATAACACATCTTATTAATGTTTAGTCATAACACCATGCACCTAACTTCACAGCTTCAAATTATGCCGGGCACAGTAAATTGTTTCTCAGTTAAGCATAAATACATTGCTTCTCAGTTAAGCATAACTGCTGGAATATGTCTTAAAGTGAAAAATTATTTTTTTATGAGGACACATCCTAGCACATACAAAAATAGCATAATCTAATTGTTTGCTGACTTATGATCCCTACACGATGTTCCTTCCTTTTTGAAAACTTGATAATGTATTTTAATTTTTCTTTCTTTTTAAAATAAAAATAAGTCATTTTTTTATATCCTAAATGAGATTTTCTTCTCCCATGATTAGAGAGGTAGACCATTTATCAAATAAAATTCTCCCTTTAATCAACAATCTCCTCATATTGCTTCACATCTCCAATACCCTCAAGTTTAAAAATCATATATTAAAGATGAAGTGGATTCTTAACATATTCTCTAAATTGATCCCATCTATATCTTACAATTTAATGGCACAAAGAATTACAGATCACACAAGTTAAAAAAATTCTTCATCTTCAACCATCGCATCAATATTTCTCAATTTTTTAACAATGCAATTAAACTCATCAAGATATGATTTAATGGGGTTACATTCTTGCATATATTGTACATATAAACTTTGCTTTTGATAAATTTTGTTAGCAATACTGATGTGAAACAAATAGGAATTGCATGAATTTAATAAAAATTATTAAGCTTGTCAATTTTAAAATTAATGTTTCATAAGATTAGATTCTAGGATTTCTTAGTTGTTGTTTTGCTTTGGCATGTGGTTACAAACCAGATTAGAAGGGCAATTTAAAATAACAACAAAATTATAATAAAGCTAGATACGCAAGTAATAGAAATCCTTCAATTAGCAATTAGAAAATTCACCTTGAGTTCCCCTCACTCACACTCTTGAGGGCTATTTAACGGAAGAATAATTTCAACAAACTTAATGACGTTACCAAAAGACAGAAGATGCCTATAGTATTGCCAATGAAAACTTTTCAGGAGGGGAAGAAGTTGGTGGATGTTGGAGAACTTATCACTTTCCGGAGGTTTGGTGCTCGTCGATGGCAGTCATCAAAGTGAAGAGAATCCGATCGACATAGTCTTCGACGGTGTGGTCGATCTCCAAGTTGAAATCGAAGAAGAGTGATCTCAACACATCTAGGATGGGAAAATTTTAAGAATAAGCATGATTATAAATTGTATTAACAATTTAAGCATGTTTTAAAAAAAATTTAAATATAGGCAAAGTCGCTAGTTTAAACGGCGACTTATGCTGACTAGGATTATAGCCGTTATGCTGAGTTGGCAAATAAATGCTTATATTAATAAGTCGCCTGAATAAAATACGACTTGAAAGTCGCCCGTTAAATGGGTGACTTACGCTAGAACTAAAAAAAAAAAATTTAATAAAAAAAAAGTTCTACAAGTTAACTGATTGTAATGTTAATTAATATATGAGATTCATTTTATGGATAATGAAAACAAAAAAACGAACATTCTTCCTATTGAAGGTTTTCCTGTTTTGTAGTCCTTGAAGCACAAATCAAATTTTTTTTATTCTAAAGAAATATTAAGAATCATATTTTTAAGTGATTTGCAACAATTATGTAATGAGTGTTTCATTATGAATATTTGCAAAATTTGTAAATTGGCTCAGGTACTAGGCAGGTTAAAAAAGACTTTTAAATAAAATGCTAATAATTGAAATGATCCATAACATAAGCATATTGAAATCAAATAATCCATAACATAAGCATACTGAAATACATAAAAGGATGAACTAGCGTCGCCTACGTGACCACTGTGGCAATGCATCAGTGCCTGGAGTGTAATGTTGTGGAGGTCGTCGTGGCCTTTGACGTAGCATGTGATGTTCCTCCTCAGCAACTTCTGCCTCAGCTATGTCATCTCTATGAATGGAGCTCGGTACAAAATCCGGGGTAAGGTATGCATCCAAATCCGCTGGCACTTGGCTACTGAAGAGGTCTGTAGATGGCCCTTGATCAGGATAAGAGGAGGGTCCAGCATATCCACTGTAATGCTGAGGAGGTTCCTGGGTCATGGAAAATGGTGTATCATGCTCACTTCTATCCTCAAAATATCATTGATCTTGAATATACAACTGGCTACGCAAACCACGACAAAGCTCTGCCACTGTGTTTATTTCCCTCTGTTGTTGTGTATCATTTGAACCATTGAAGTGTTGTTGCAAAGCTTGTTCAGTACCAAGGAAAAAATCCCTCTGAATTAACATACAGGATGAGAAATTCTGTTTCATCCTGACATAATAAAACTTCACAAACATCGTCATCTTCAACATGTGAAGTGGCAAACTCGTTTCCCACAGGCACTCGACAAACTAAGTTCACAGAAAACTTTGCAGGATCATACTTAAGTGCTTTAAGTATCCTTAACTTAAGCTGCTCTAAGTTTATATTTCTTGGCACATGTAAGGGACGATTCCTACCCTCATAATAACTTGGTGTAAATTTGTCATCAACTTGTAACTCGCCTCCATATAGGAGCATGAAAGTTGCACCACGTCCACTCATTATTCTGCTCGTACGTGCCACTAAAAAAAAATAACAATAGCAAATTCTTCATATAGATTTATTTTAATTTATATTATCTCTAAATCATAATATTAACACAAGAATATCATAATGAAAAACTGCTGTAATTCATGCATTGCAAGTAATTTTATTTTGACTCACATATTTTGTGCTCACAATTCCAAATCAATCTATCATCATATGCATATATTAATTATTTATCATCCCTACCTCTTCAAAAATATTATTTGTTTGATGAATAATTATATTAGCTTCTTTTATATTAAAAAGCTTTTTTCATCATCATTCTCAACTACATGAGATATTGGAGTTAACTAAATATTGTAAGTTTTTATAGTGACTCTATAACCCAAAGTGAGAGTCAAGCCTCGTTTCTTTATGGATATTTAAAGTTGAGATGTCAAGATGAATCCTTGCTTAATTTTAGCATTCAAGGTTTTATTTGCTCAAGTGGCCTCCTAGCAACTATCTTCATCATGACATCTCAACTTTAAATTACATAACTCATTCAATTTATGAATGCTAAAGTACTCGATTATGTTCATACTAGAATTCTTCTTGAAATCGGAATTGTTTCAAAGTAATTTATTCTTAGAATTTTTCATCGTATATAACTATTCGAGTTTATCATTTTTAAAAGTGGTAGATATTGGCGTTCTCATTCTAAGACAAATTAGTCATATAGTTATTATTTTCATTATCTTTATATATTTAGTATTAAACACTTCCAATATGTCTTGAGTTTATTTTCTCATTCTAAGACTTCCAATAGTCATATAAGGAGCATTGCTTAATAGTCATATAAGGAGCATTGCTTAATAGATCTATCCCAAATTGTCACTAACTCACAGATCTGTATATAATTTAACCCTAAATCATAGATCTACAAAAATTTTAAAACATTGAAAGCCTAAATGCAGAAATCTATACTAATCGCAAACAAATCTTCATTCAAAGCCTAAATGTAGAGATTTACAAAAAAAAACTACAAAAACACTTTGCAAATCATCTTCTCTAAGCAAAATACACAATACTCAACATATATTTAACTTATTTAACATAAAATGCATAAAAAATAAACCTTACCTAAGCAAATCCGGCGACGAACCGACGGAGCACGGGAGCAGCGACCTGTGCAAAATGCCGAAGAAGGAGAGAAATGGATCGGGAAAGGAAAGGTAAAGCAGGTCATTTAATTAAGCATAAGTCGCCGGATGAACAGACGACTTATAAGTCGCCCGTTTAACGGGCGACTTAGACTCAAGTCTCTGATTGCCACATCAATTGCCACGTCGTCCTCTAGATTGCACCTAAGTCGCCTTTCAAACGAGCGACTTTGCCTAGTCTTAAATTCTTTCGTCGTCATGCTTAATCTTATAATTAAATTGTTAATTATGCTTAGTTCGAAAATTTGCCCACACATCTACTCGTCCTTGATCGTATACGAACCCATGGTCTTGTTCAGGATCGGCCATTCATTGGGAAGTATGTCGGCGGCTTGGGTGGAAAAAGGGGAGGAGACCGACGGTTTGGGGCTTTGGGAAGGCTTAGCCGGTGGATATGGGTGGAGGGGAGAGGTTTGGCTGAAATTTGGGAGGATGATGTGGGTGGTCGACGGTATGGGGGTGAAGGAAAGGGAGAGGCAGAAAAGAATGGATACAAATTGCGAGCCCGGATTTTATCGGCTGCTGACGGGAATTGCTTGGCCCTCTCTTAGGGTTCTCTCTTCTCTCAAGAACTCACAATAAAGAGAAGTAACAAGTGTCTCTCTTCTCTCAAGAACTCACAATAAAGAGAAGTAACAAGTGTTGAAATTTCATTCAAAATCATCATCAAAACTAATACAAAAGCTAGGGCCTTCATATATTGGTCTCAAGGAACAAAAGACAAATACTAAATTGCCCTCTGGGCTACAACACGAACTAATTCCTCTCAGTGGTACAATGGTTAAACTAGAACATGAATAGGAAAATACATAAATGCATCACAAATAAAGATTCTTAATCGTAGTCGTCGATCTATGATGCCTCCTCTGATAGACGTGCCAAAATCTCCTGCTGATGTCCTCATCAAATACTTTTGGTCATTCGCAAAGACTTGAGCTATAATTCCGTCGTGGTTGTTTTGTCTAAACCTCTGCTAAGAGCTCTTCTGCTAAATAAAGTGGATTGTTGAGAGTGTTTTTTCATCCATCTTTTTCTTATCTTCTTCAGTCATAGTTGTGGATACATTTGAATGTCCCATGAGTGCTTTTGTAAGTCCTTAATGGATTTAAGCATCTCTTATCATTTTTTTCCCTGAAGTTCAAAACTCCTTAAGCCATCAAACTTATTGATCTCAGGCTTTGATAGTAGTTGATAGAAAAAAAAAACTATAATTTTAATGCGGAAGTGCCTATTATGTGAGAACACAAAATAATAACAAAGAGATCAAGCACTATATATAAACACCATGATTTATATGATTTGGTCAAAATGAAGATATCTTATTTTGATGGGGGAAGATTTGATCCCCTATAGAAAAGCTTATGGATGTGCAAATAAAACAAGACACAAGGAAATACTTTGGTTATATTTAATGCAAATAAAACAAGACACCAGGTTTAATTTTTGATTTGGTGCTAATTCAAAATAGCTAATTTTTTAGCAAAATTTAAAAGCTGATTATATTAAAAAATAAAAGGGTCATTTATATTTATTCTAAAACTATGTATGTTAAAATTTGTGCTTATTTTGATAAAATTTTGAGTTGAAATCATGGCAATTTATTGTTAGTTTTTGTGTGTCCAATTTGTTTTGTGTACAGCCGTAGGAAATTTTATGTGGGGTTTTTAGCGAGTTAAGTGAGAATTTGGTTGTTATTATTCCCAAAGTTTATTGGTAGAGAAGTAAAGAAAAAAATATTTGAACAAAGAGAATAACTATTAAGGCATGCAAGAGTATTTAGTATAGTCCTATATCAGATAAATGAAAAATATGCTAGACTAGAAATACTAAATTGTTGGCTCTCTTATATAGACTTTAATTTTTAGGTTTAAAATGAGTTTAACTACTAATGTATCAAGCCAAACTTTGGTCTCTAATGACTGGTATTAGGATCGATATTTCGTTTGGTATCGAGTGATTCATAAGATTTGTGGCTCTTATATGCAATTTCTATAATGACTATGCAGTTAAGTGGGCTCTTTGTACATGATGCTTGATGATATTGGAAAATGAAAATGTCATTTTAGGGGAAGTGATAATCAATATGGAGAGCTCTTTCATGCGAGGAAAAATATTCAAGCTCATAAGAGTATTGAGTTTAGTCCTACATTGAGTAGATGAAAAATATGTTATGTAGAGACATCAAGTAAATCATCCTATCATATATGCTTAACCTTTTGAGTGAAACATATATTTAATCATTAATTTGTCCCCATCTTGATCCATAAGTCCCAACAAGGAGATGTTAAAATTATACTTAAAAAATATGTTATGCAGAAACACCAAGTAATTCATCCTATCATATCTTAAGTTTTTGAATGAAACATATATTTAATCATTAATTTGTCTCCATTTTGATCCATACCTCCTAACAAGAAGTTCGTAAAATCGGTGGACAACATAGGATAGTAAGGCGATATAACATGCCATAGGATTTAATGGCCAAACTACGACGGTCTTCTATTAGGAACCCAATAGAATGGCAATTTACCAAGTGTTCCACGAAATAAGACTTGCATCTTGCGACCAAAGTGTAAGGTGACCTAATCCTGAGGGCCTTACTGAGAAATTTATCCCATATAATTGATATTGCTATTCCCGCAGAAGTGTTTGTTCTTTTTTATGTAATTTTCTTTTAGTAATGTGCATTGCATGTAAGAACTTCCATCATTTATTAGTTGTATAGCATAATTCAAATATAGTCTACAGTATTTTTTTTAAATAAATACTATTTCTGAAGAACAACTGGCTGTCATTCTTGCCTTTTGCAGCCTTATTCAGACTACTGGTTACTTTCAGATACAGGGTTCAGCATCACAGATATGTGGAACTCACCTTGTATCCTCGCATTCATTCTAGCAATTGTATTTACTTTTGTCAATTCTTGTACTCTTATATCCATCTCGCTTCTCTTATGTTCCAGATTAAAATTTGATCCGGATTAATTTTAAAATTTGTGAATTTACCTTGAGATAAGTTTAATATAAAATTAATTGATTATTCATATATTGTTTATATCTCAAAGTAAATTCTACTATTTTATTTTGTTCCAAAACATCCTAAACAAATTTTCTATCTATGCTTATTTAGCCCCCTGTTGGCTCTTTAACTTGTCAAAGCTGAACAATGGGATGTGAATCCAGATGAGTTTTTGATTAGTGGGTCTGAGGCACCATCCAGCGGCGCTGACTCACCCGACGCAAACAATCCTGGAACATGAGTTCTACCAACCAAAGGACCGCCGAACAAAATTTTTGAAGTCATTCTTTTCAATAAAAATTACAAATAGTACAACCCCATACTTGATAGCACCAAGCAATCATAGATGAAGGTGAATACAACGCAGAAACTGCAGGCGATCAAAGATAGCCGAGTGAGATGTACAGCTGATAAACTCACAAAATTTTTTTACTAGCTAAGTTTGTAAAAGGTTTCAACTAGTCATCTTCCATCAATAACACGCCTATACAAATAACCTTGTATACAGCCAAATTCGATGCAAAACGATTTAGATGATAAATATATCATTGGTTGGTTGTAAAATTTTGATGACTACATTTTTTGTGAAACTGAAGAAAATGAATTTGCTTGTGCATATATGCTGCTGTAAGCTGAAAACAGATAAGTATAAGGTGCTGGAATTAGGAAATAACAGAGAACGAGGCTCAGTTTCGTTACAGTTTCTGTTTCATTTTGCATAATATTTTACCTCAACAGTCTAGTTTATATGGACGACAGCCATACTGTGTGTCAGGTGGTGGTGATGTGCTTTATACGTGTAAGGTGAGGGTTTGCCAAGTCAGTTCTGATCCAACGGTTAAGATGGCGGAGATGGAAGTGGCTGCTCTGATTTTTTTGGCAGTCGCTATACCTCCCCCTTAAGTTGATAAGTTAGGTTGAACTATTAGCTTGTTCTTAAGTGTTTAAAAATGGGTCATAGAAGAGGTTTTGTAAGAACGTCTGTGGTTTGATCTTGGGAGTTTGTGTAATATTCTGATTTCTTTAGATTGTGTGTTCGCTGATAAAATGATAGTAGATTTTGATGTATTTGATGCGAGCTTAAAACATAGGATTGTTTGTCAGTGGGATTGCAAAAATGTTATCACAGTGAAGATCTTTGGTTACCTAGTTAAGGATGCATGTAGAGGGAGTTTTGGTAACTTGGATGCCCAGGAAGATGGTGTCCACTCCAATATGCTTCTTGTAGACTTTGGTGTAAAGTGACTGTTGAGCTGAGAGATGCTTGTGACATCGTTTCGGGGTTGTAGTTTCGGCCTTTGTTGTGTTAGTTGGTTCTCTATTGGCATATTGTGCAGTGTGAAGATCCTGTGATGATTCGTCTTTGGAGGAATTCAATTGCCAGATTGATTTTCTAGCTAATGAGAAGTGAGTTAGAGGCTTTGAAATTATTGTGATTTTTGTGCGCATTGATATTTTGAAGGCTTGATAGAGTTGGGAGACCATTGAGTCTGTAAAGAATGATGTATCTTCATTGTCTGCAAGTGAATCCGTTTTTTCTTGGGCTGTTAGCAGTCGCAATTAGAAACAAAGCTCTGATGTTAGGTCTATGCTATCAAATGCAAAAAAAAAAACATTTTTGATCCACTGTAAAACTTCACCATTCATGACGGTACAATGGTAAGCATCAAAGATCCAAACTACGTTGTATTATTATTCACTCTGTGTAAAATCTACAGGAATTGGTCCTTTCAAGCTTCACAATTCACAATCCTTCCAAGCGGCCAAAAAAGAAAAACACGGAGGCCCTATCTAAGGAGTAATCACTTATCGTCCTTCTCGGCCGCCTTCTTCCCTATCCAGCCAGCGACAATAGGCGTGAGAGCGACGGTGGGGGGAAATCTGATTGGCGATGCCGCCTTGTGCGCGGCGTAGGCGAGCGCGAAAGTTCCCACCTTCTCCCCGGTCTCATCCGCAGCAATGCCAACCTGTAAAATCTCAAGCAAACAAATCATCAATCTCTCTCATTCGAATTTGAGAAAGTCAGGAAAAGGAAAACGAACCTTGCTGAGCAGAGCTTGGACGTCGATACCGGCACTGACCAGGAGATAGCAGAGGGAAAAGGAGATGAGCGATAGAGTGATGGACGTCGCCAGGTACGCTCCTCCATACTTTGCAAGTAGCTCCTTTGCTTGATCTGCCTTCGATTTCTCCTTCACAACTCCATCGGCTCCCTTTTCTCCCTCCTTAGATCTAAATATCTACCGCAGAAGACAGCTCTAATGGAGCTTATCCTTGAAGGATCATATAAAATCAGGTTTTAAGAAAGTGAAATTGCTTGCATACCTTCCATAGGCCGAACTCGAGGCCGTACTTCTCTGTGATCTCTTCGGCCGAAGACGTGGTCTCCGTCTCCTTCTCCTTCTCAGTGGTTTCTTGAGTCGCGCGGATTCGGAGAAGCCGGCCGGTGCGCTGATAGAGGGAAAAGGTTTCTCGTCCTCGAAGCGGCGCTCGGCTGAGGGTTACAAGGAATTGGCGGGGAACCAGCGGGGATATTAGAAGAGTCGCGGCCATGGCGGCAACAATCCCTCGAGCTGTAGACTGTAGTTGGAAGAAGAAAGAGTCGGTTAGGGTCGGGTCGGGCTAGCTGGCAGCTTGCTTTAGCTAGGAAGAGTCCGCCGTCCGATGAGAATAAAATCTATAAAGTTGTTATTTTTATAATTTAAATATTATTACATATTATGTAATAATTTTAAGAGGATATATCAGCTTGCTTAACAGCCTATAACAATTCAATCTACTCAACAAGCGCTTTATCTTTTCTTGAAAATATTTACAATTATAAAGAATGAGCAACACATGCTCAATAGATCACCTAAAACTTACTACTACATAATTCAATATAATTACATAAAAAATAACAAGTATATTAATTCAAAAATCAAAACACATAAACAATCGATTATATTTAAAAGTGAATTATCTTAATGTTTGCATTGCATAGTTTATTTAAGACAGGTCTAATATTATGTAATAATTTTATATATATATATATATATTGAAGTTCAACTTGATTAACAGCCTATAACAATTCAATCTACTCAACAAGCGGTTTTTATCTTTTCTTGAAAATATTTACAATTATAAAGAATGAGCAACACATGCTCAATAGATCATCTAAAACTTACTACTACATAATTCAATATAATTACATAAAAACAACAAGTATATTAATTCACAACACATAAACAATAGAATATATTCAAAAGTGGATTATCTTAATATTTGCATTACATAATGACATAGTTTATTTAACAAGTTTATATCAGGCATCAAACAGATGTTATGGGTATGCACATATAACAATAACAGTGTAGGCATCACTTGAACAATATTTCAAAATAGGGATAACATTTCACAATATCAGATGGACATAATTATGTGACACAAGTATTTCATTAAAGTGGAATGTAAGATAACATTCACATTTCAAAATTCTCGATGCCTCTTTTGAAATCTAATTAGAGCACAAACAACATAACATGAAGTAGCACACAAGACACATTTCTCGATGCCTCCTTATACTTCCACTTTCAAGTATACGGTATACCTTCACTTGATCATCTTTCATTTATGCATGGTAGATAAAGGAATTATATACATTTTGATTTTCTTTATAACTCCACTTTTACTAATAGCTCCACTTGATCTTGCCGTATTCGTTCAAAACAGACAAAGGAATATTTGATATACATATACATAAGTATAAGGGCCCTTATTATTTGTATTGCGCATAAACATCTACTACATTCTTCACAATTGTCAAATTCCTCGCCATTTTCTTTTTATTACACATTTCAAGCACATGAACATGAAAATAATAATATTTTTTTAACATGAATTAGTGACCCATGAATATCAATATTTCTAATATGTTAAGCCAACAACGTCAATATTTTCAGCATATAATAACAATAACATTAACAGTTTCAACATATAAGAGCAATATTAACAAAATGTAAGAATACATAAAATACTCACGTGTACAACAACCTTAGTGTTTTTAAGGGAAATACTTACACACCTACTCAATTGTCACGCCCCAAAATTTAAATTTGAAAAAGTTTTATTTTAATAAAAATAATAAGAGCTATCTAATTTCTTTCAATAATAAAATACTGGCGAAAATGAATCTATTAATCAAAACATCAATATACATTTGTATTCATTACTCAAAAAATCATGTACAATTCTTATGAGTCATACCAATGCTACATACTATCTTCACACTCATGAGCATAAAAGAATAACTAAAAGACAAGATAACACAAAAACATGAGAAATCTTGTGTCCGATCAATCTCAAAATATTGATTCTCTTCTCTGACCTTAAATCATTAAAACTATATATATTGAGCTTAAAAAACACAACATATTACTAAGATTATACTACTGAACTCAAAGCACGAAAAATAAATAATGCATGTAATCATTCAGGTCATAATAGTAACAATTAATATGATTATGAATATGTGCAGAAATTATAAAACACACGATGTAATAGTAAAGCTTATAAAACAATATAATACGGGTGTAATAGTTGTCTTGTGAAATACAATTAATTATCTGTTGTTAATTGTAATTTTAACTTATTTTATAGTTGTACATATGTATGAGTTAGTTGAATGGAGTATAGAGGAATTAGGAAATGTGGGATGAGAAAGTGGAAAGCCCAAAGTTAAAATTTTTATATGTGAGCACGGTGGTGTCGAGTTTGGCGTTCCGGCGCTCTAGTCTCGAGAAAATGAAGAAAAAGGGTTTTGAGGAAAGTGTGGCGGCTTGGTGGTGTTGTAATGGTGCTGGGGATGAAATCTAATAAGTTTGGGAGAGTTTAAGAGTTTTTCCATTGAAAGTGGTAGCGTCGCTAACCCAAGCCCAAATGCCCTTCAACCTAGTCAGCTTGCCAAGGAAGAAAGGAGAGGAGAAAGAAGAGAATAGAAAGAAAAATAGTGGATTTGGAGTCCAAAATCTGCTTTTCATCCGTCTCGCCCAACTCATACCTTATTTCTAATTTAAATTTTGAAGTATATAACGAAAGATATGCTTTTAAAAGTATTTTTCTGAAGTTTTAAAAATGTTTCATTGTGTAACTTTTTATCTATTGTTTTACTCTATGTTGTGGACAATTTGATTATAAAAATGCTAAATTTTATTGGTAGATTTGTTAATTACGAATTTTTTATTATTTTAAAAAATCGAAGCCTATTTGGACTACAATATAGTTGATAAAGTATATCAATTTAACATTTTATTTATGTGAATTTGCTAAATTTCTGAATCCTTTGAGTTGACAACTTAACTGTGGAGATTTTCTATATAAGTTCGTATACGATGCTATTTACTTTAAAAATATTTAATTGTATACTTCACTGCATTATCATATATTTTCATAATATCCTGAAGTTTCTAAATTGGAAGGAAAGAAATTATAAAATTATCTATTTGCTCCCAAAGTGAAAATATTCTATATTGGCTCTGAACTGATTATGTATTGAAAGTTCTGATTCATTATGGCCATGAATTTATCCCTATTTTTTTTAGAGCAATGATGAGAACCAACAAACAATGGCTCAACCAAACAACTGTGGTTATTTGGCGTCATAATAAAGGCAAATTATTACGTCCGGTGTTCGGATTCGTCCAGACATCAATTCAGATGCGTCACATCATCAAAATATACCGGATTCCAGTTTATTTGGGTGATGTGGCGCATTTGGATTGGATGTCTGAACATCCGATCCAGACGTAATAATTCGCCCATAATAACAAAGTTTTTAGTAGGAATTTATAAATAAAAATATATTACCAATAATAAAATGCTATCTAAAAATTTTACAAAATTAATAAAAAATTAAAAAAGGTTCTTTTTATATTTTTAACTTTTTAACAATCTTATATTTTTTTAACAATCTTATCCCCTTCTGCAGATTTCTGTGGCGACGGGATGGAACAAGTAGCGCCGTTACGGACGTCAGGTTTTGTGGATTCAGAATTGACGACGTATTACTGTCGCAGGTATAATTTATTGGGATAAGATACGTTGATAAATTTAAAATGGCAAAAATTCCTTTCAAAAGCTCCTAAATAATAATAATAAAAGCATTTTAAAATGGAGCTTTAAATATAATAATATTTAATTATTTGGTAAAGAGTAAAAATTATTTTCTTTAAAGAAAATATAAGTCACAATATCAAAATTTTCAAAATCAAATCTCTAATTATTTTTTCTATTATATGTTATTTAATAATTAATTTTCTATGTTTAATAAAGAAATTATTATATGTTATTTAATAATTAATTTTCTGTGTTTAATAAAGAAATTCAATCAGAAAATTTTCTTTAAACTTCTTTAATGGTACAATAATTATATATTAAATATTAAAATAAAATAAAATTGGAGTTTGTTTGGTAGAAAAAAACAAACTCCAAAAGAAACTCCTTCAAAGGAGCAAACACAGCCAGCAGTAAAGGTTCTATCATTTTCTACGGAATATTAGGATTCAAGAAGCAGACAAAGGATCTGCAAACATGCCACATGTTATATCTAGGTAACATAGAGTTGCCCATGCAACAAAAGGGCAATTGTGGGGTGAGTGTAATAACTCAAAATATGAAAAAATATTAAAAAAAATATAAAATTTTGAATTTCTGTTTGATCTAGAGTATTTCAGCGTTGTGCTTTGGAGTGTTGTGGCGCTAGGCTTAAGAGCATAGCGGTACTAGAAATCGTCACAGCGGCATTAGAAATCTCCTTTGCTATGAAACTAGGCCACTAATAGCTTTTTTTATATATATTAAATTATAAATATCTCAAGCACAATCACCGTCCGCTCACTCTCGTGTGGCTTGGTCGGGAGGGAAGGGAAGAGAATAGATGAAGCTCTTTGATGCTTTTTATCTAGTGTTCCTATTAAGAATTTTATTTTATTCATTGTAAGTAACTAGCATTTTACTGTTATTTTTTATGATTTTGATTTCTATGGATTTTATCTTTTCTAAATCTATTTAAAATGCATTATCTCCTAATTTCGTTGGCTTTCACGATATTATTTTTATATATTCTAGATTTAATCATTTTGAATAAATTGAAATGATTTTATTGCATTTTCATCAGTTAAATGTGTATAGGAATTTCTGTTGCGTTCTGGAGTATTCGTGGCGGTAGAGAAATATATAGTTTAAAGTCTTAGTGTTGTACAAAGATCCAGCACGCGCACAGATAAAAAAGAGAGCGTGTAGCGTTCATAAGAGACACCAAAATTTTTACGTGGAAATCCCTGAAAAGGAGCAAAAACCACGGGGCCTGACCCAGTTTGAATGAATCCACTAGTATTTGCAGTCGATTACAAATGAGGTCATTCCTTAGGAGAAGGCTTTGGCTTGATGCCACAAATGTACATCATATAGAGCACATTACATGGTGGGAGTTACATATACATGTTTATTTGGTGGACATGACCATAGTCGATAGTATAAAGGTCGGAAAGACCGTAGTTGGTCGGAGACCGGGGTCAGAAAGATCGTTGTCTGGTGATGGAGGTCAAAAAAATCACAGTAGGCAATGGAGGTCGGAAGAACCATAGTCAGCAGGAGATAAGGATCCGAAAGAATGTAGTTGGCAGGAGACCGGAGTTAGGAAGAATGTTGTCTAGTAATGGAGGTCGAAAAGATCATAGTAGGCGACAAAGGTCGGAAGGACCGTAGTCGGCAAGAGACAGGGGTCCTAAAAGACCGTAGTTGGTAGGAGACCGGGGTCTGAAAGACCGTTGTTTGGTGATGGAGGTCGAAAAGATCGTAGTAGGCGACGGAGGTCGGAAGGACCGTAGTCGGTAGGAGACGGGGGGTCTGAAAGATCGTAGTTGGCAGGAGATTGGGTTTAAAAGATCGTAATTATAGGGCGGTACTCCGGTAGAACTCTGGCATCAGGTGGTGGTCCAGCAGAAGTTTGGGCCTCAAGTGGTGGTCCAGCAGCAGTTCGGGCCTCAGGTGGTGGTCCGGCTGAACCTAGGGCCTCAAGTGGTGGTTTGGCGGAGCCACGACTGAGGGCCTCCAGTGGTGGTCCGGCGAGACTCCGACGGTGGTTCGGTGGAACCCAGGCGGTGGTCGAGGAAGAGCTTCTTCCTTCTCTTCTCTTCTTCTCTTCTTGCTTCGGTCCCCTCTCAAGAGAAATGAGGGGTCTATTTATAGATTTCTGAAGTGGCATGACTCATAAATAGGTGAGAGATCAAGGGAAAATGGGGAGTGGTTGGATGGACAGTCGATATTGAATCCCTTGATTGTAGACCGTTTGTCAGACATTTAAAGTTCTTAGTGATGTCGGAATTCGACGATCTTGGGCTCGTTAGATTCGTCTTGTCGAGCCGCTAGATTCGACTATAAGCACATAATATTTGGAAACCGTTTGGTAATCCAAATTGTGTTTCGAACCTTCTAAAAACGCTTCGGGTCCTTGATTTGGACTCATTTGGGCTCGGATTGAGTCAAATTTGGTGTCGTTGGGTTTGTATTTCCGAGACGTTTAGTTTGACTATAAGTTTGCTAAAATCAGAGTTCAGAGGGTTCCAATTTTAATTTCGGAAGTTTCCAACTTGATTTTGCATCGAGATTCGTGTCTGATCAAGATAATTTTGTAATGACGTATCACTCTTCTAATTATCTTAAAAAAGTCTCCCATCAACCAATTGATCACTTCAATGATCCAGACCTAACCCACCAACCCTCATCATAAAAGATATCAGCATATTGTATTTTATAAGCCACGCTGGAATGTTTAGTAAAGGCTTTAATAAGCGATCTAGGCCTCTCAAAAAGAACTCTAGTAGTCCAATGTGGCTCCTCCTGGCCATCTTCTTCCTTCAATTTTTTGGATTTCCCTTGTGATATTGATTCAGGCTTCCAACAAGCATTAGCAAGTGACTTATCAAGTAAATCAGCAATGCTAACAGCCATTGCCTCAGCCTTCTGCGCATATGGAAAACTCTCCTCCCTGAAGTGATGTGAAAGCCACAAATACATAGATAATACTTGATGCTTTGTCTCAAGATCCAAAATCTCTGTATCATTCTCACATATGGCGCTAAACTGTTGCGGCCTAGTAGATTCGTGGCAGTAGAGTGAGTAAACTTTTCATCTTAGCAATGCACGGATATCCAACATACAAACAAAAAGAGAGAAGCAAAACACCCTATCTTTTTTATGTGGAAAGCCCTAAGAGAGAAAAACCAAGGGTCCTCGCCCAGGTGAAAAAAATACACTAAACTTGAGTGAATTACAAGGGTTGACCCGTCTCTCGATTTAGAGGTGGTCAGATTACAGTAATTCGAAGAGCTAGTCAAAGGCCCAACAAAGGTCGGGTTGAAGTCCGGCGGCGGTCGGCGGTCGGACGGTGGTCCGACAAAGGTCAGGCAGAGGTCCTGCGACGGTCGGCGGCGGGCTGAAGTCCGACAACTATCAGCGGTCGAGCGATGGTCCGATGATGGTCAGGCTGTGGTCGGAGGTCGACTGCTGGGCAGTGGTCCGAAGGTCGGGCTAAAGTCCAGCGGCGGTCGGCGGCCGGGCGGTGGTCCGGCAACGATAAGCTGTCGGGCGGTGGTCCGACGAAGGTCGGGCTGAAGTCTGGTGGTGGTCGTCTACCAAGCGGTTGTCTGGCGGCGGTCGGGGGCCGGGCGGTGGTCCGGTGACGGTCGGTAGCCGGGCGATGGTGCTAGAACTCTTAAAGCTTCAAAGCTCTCCCCAATCTCCAGCCAAAAGGTCCCCTTCATATATAGAGTGGGGGTCTATTTATAGATTTTCATGAGTGGCACACCCCATAAATTTAGAGAAGATCCGTGGCTGGTTCGGAGTGCTCCATCGGATGGCTCGTGCTGATTCCACCAATTGTAGAGAGTTTTTCAACTATTTAAGTGCCTTAACGATGTTGGAATTCAAAGATATTGGGCTCGTTGGATTCGTCTTGCCGAGCCACTCGATTTGACTATAAGCATATCATATATAGAAGTCATTTTATTGTCCAAATAATACTTTAACCTTCCAAATGTGATCCGGGCCCCAGATTCGATCCCATTTGGGCTTGGGTTGGACCAATTTTTGTGTTGTTTGGTTCGTCTCTTTGAGATGTTCAGTTTTACTATAAGTTTGTTGAAATTGGAATTCATATGATCTCAAATTTAATTTTAAAAATTCCAAACTTGAATATGCCTTAAGATTCGTGCTCTATCAAGACAATTTTTTAGGATGTATCAATTTCTATGTAAAATGGATTGGAAAATTTGTACTAAAAATGAGTTGAATGTGTTGTAATTTGCTATGATGATATTGAAATGTGATTTGGGTTAAATTCGAATTGGGTTGAAATAACTGCAATGTGAAATATGTGTATTAAAAGAATGTATTATATAGATACTGATATGATAAAAACGATATACTGACTGATAACAAATATACATGATATAATAATCCCACATGATACCCTCAACATTCATTGATTCACTTATGAGTCATAAAGACCTAAAAACTAATTTGGAGTTATATGGACTGGAGCGATTGATCCATTAACTAGTTATGTATTTATTCATGATCTTGCTCATTTGATAGCTCAAGAAAACTCATTAAAATTGTTCATGAACGTGCTTTTTTGATAGTGTAAAAATATTCGCTAAATATGTTCATGAATATAGCTCGTTAAGGTTTGTTTGTTTAAAGCTTGATAAGCACTAAACGAATCGAACATGAATACCATTAATTTAAACGAACCAAACATTAACACAAACAATAAGGCTCGAATCAAACACGAATCGAACTTGAACAAGCTAACAATAAACGAACTCAAACATGAACACTCACATACTCGACTCGGTTCGGTTCGGTTGCGGCCCTAATTGTTGACCTCCATTCCGCCGTACACCACTATTGTTATCATTGATAATTATGATCATAACCCTACTGCCACTTTATGCAATTTCATTTTACTCCAATTAAAAACAATGCTTATGCTTTTATTTTACATCTAATTAATTATATTAAATTTATTTTACAAGAAATTTATTTTACATTGTCTTCCTTTTATATTATATTTTATTAACAAAAAAAAGGTGTGGTAAATTGAATTGTAAGAAGATTATTTAATAGTTTTAAATAATTTTATTAAGCATCACATGCTTACATTTTCTTAAAGAAAATTAGATAATGATTTTTTTATGATTATCTTACTCATATTTTTTCATCATAAAAATATCTGAAATACAATAAATAATCTTAGCCAAATAAAAATCTACCAACAATCTATAAAACACTTAAAAAGCTTACGCAAACGCATCCAAACTTCAAAGCAGCTTTGTAAGACTTCGCCGGTCAATTAAAGTCGTCGCGACGCCAACACCATTCTTCACGTGATGAAAATAAATAAATAAATTGGTCGAAATCTAAACTTTTAACCTTAACAATGAAGCTTGATGCTTATCTATTTACTTTTTATATATATTTAAATTTAGAAGATTATATAATTATAAAATTTTAAGTTCATTTTTTTATTTACATTAAACATATTGAAATATTTTCATTAATTTTTTATTCATTTATATCATAATTAATACCCTTAATATTATATCATTTTATTAAGATAATTTTATAAAAAAAATTGTATCAATATATTCTTCTAAAAAAATAATAGGACAAGTTTCAAATATTTTATATTTATTTTGAGATACATTCAAAATTTTAATCAAATTATTTTCAACTGCTTATAAAATTAAAACACTCAGATCTCTATTTATTAAATTTCTATTTAAATATAAAACTCACAATTAGAACTCAATTGCTGTTTTTCATTTGAGGATTTATATATATAACACTTAAAAAAATTATCTCAATTATTGTTTGTGCTTACCAACTACCACCTCTGCCTTATTCGAGCCTTCAGTTGTCGCCTTCATCTAATTTAACAAATTACAGCTAAATGAGCTTGCCATGAAGATGAAATTATTCTGTGCAGATACGGACGTTGTTCGGAGTCGAATCAGAGCGCGCCACATCGCTTTTTTGTTGTGTACCGCGACTATATACTTAGGGGTGTCAATTTTTGACACGACCCGAAACACAACCTGAACCCGATCCGAAAAAATCCGGGTTAGGATCAATCCGGACCTGAAACGGGTTGGGTTAGGGTTCAACAAATCAACCCGTTTTAAAAATCGGGTCGGTTTTGGGTTGAACCAGATTAAATGTATATATATATATATATATCCTTTGTCATTTTCATCAAATTTTTAATAATATAATTACAAATATTTTTTTTAAAAAAGTTAAATTTATAAATAATTTGAAGAAACGTACGTAATTAGCAAATCCCAACAAAATTATCGCTTTCAGCAGCTTCCAACAAACGATCGAACTCCTTCAATTGTCACAACCGTCAGTTTTTACACCGGACGGTCCTGATCTAAAATAGCTCCTCCCCGCACTACTAATAGTAACCATGTAAGTACCCTCGGCGAGCCAAATCATCACGGCAAAAGCCAAACGCTTGGTTGAAAGAGATCGCCGGAATTTGGGAGGTTTCCGTCGCCGGAACTTCTCCCGGCTCCTCGGATCCTCTTCTTTTTATTTAAATTTCAGATGTCAAGCCCCAGCAACTTCCTCGCCGCCGCTCCCAACGGCGATTTCAAGCTTCGCCACTGGCGATCGCCGGCCTACCTCCGGATAAAAGAACCCGCCGTTCCGGCCGCAATCGATATCCCGCCGGAGGCGAATAGCGAACCTGAGTTGAGTAATTGGAGCCCCAACTCAAACATCCGAGAAGGGTACACAAGCATCCGAGACCTGATAGTCTCCTCCCCGAGAAGCTGCGTCGCCTCCCCGACCTATATCGGATCCGAGATCCAGATCCGAAACCCACTCGTGAAGCAAGCGGTCTACACATATCTCCATCTAACTCCTTCCAGCGCCGACTCAGCCTCCTCCTCCACCTGCGATTTGTCTCTCCGGCGGCTCCTGGTGGCGATCTCCGCCGCTTTCGGCCGCTGCTTTGGGATCATCGCACGGCTGCTCTGCTGTGCAAGCTCCGGCGACTTGCGGTGATCCGCTTATTTTCTTTTAGGGATTTACGTGCAGGCCACAAAAATTTTATCTTTTTACATATGCAACTTTTAAATTTTTATATTTATTTATATGACATATTAATCTGTTTTGGGTTACCAATTTGTAAATAGATCAAACGGTAAAAATAAAAAAAAAATGTTTGAATAAATTAAATGAATTAGTGAATGGTTTGAAAAGGTTTTCTATCCGCTCGGATTGCTACGGCTACAATAATAATAGCATTAAAAATATTATTCTTCCCTACAATTGCAATTAAAAATTAAAAATATATTTCTGTACAGAAGACTAGTAAATACTAAATTGAATGTGGAAGGGTTCTTCTAGTGATGAGGCTTGGACCGGCGATGGGCTCCCTGGGCCGCGCGGAAGGCCTCTTCTACTTCTGGGCTGTAAACGAAATCCTCTTTTGCCTTCTCAGACCGTCTGATTGCGAGGGGATCATCTTCCGACCGTTTATTTTTCTGCAGAATAGAAATGGGTGAAATGAATTGCAAAGCACTGTGGAAGCTGTTGGGAATATTTTTTTATCAGAATTTTCTGTAAAATGAGCCTCGTAATATTAGTGATCCGTATGAGACGGTATTTTTTATTTTTAGGCAGCAATTTGAAGGATTTACATACATATCATTTTACTTTAAGTTATTTACATATCTAACACCCAAAATATTAATATTACATGTCTATCATCCATAGAACAAATATGAATGCATGGAATGAAATATTAAAATTTATAGAATGATATGAGTAATAGGAATGAAATATAAGAATAATATGTTTGATATTAATGTTGTATATTGATGGTAGGTATGTAATATTAATATTTTGGATATTATATATGTAAATAGTATGGAACAAAGTGATATGTATGTAAACCTCCTACTTTTTTTTTAATTTTTTATTATTTTTCAAAAAATTTCTATAGTTATGATAGGAAAGTTATTTTCTTTACAATAGTTTTGACTTCGTTTGGGACAACTTTCTTATTGCTATAGAGAAAATAATTTTTTAAAATTCCTATAGAAAACAACTTCCTAATACAATTTTTTTTCAAGAAAAAAGCAATGATTTTTCAAAAATTATAGTGGAGGTCTCAAAATCAAAATAATAAAAAATTTGTCACAAACAAATCCTTCATAAACAACTAGCTGTAAACATTCCAAATATACTCTAAATTTAATTTGAAAAATGTGAAATTAACTTTTTTTTTTTACTTTTATTATATAGTATTCTTCTTATGATAGATGATTGCCTGATTATTATCTGAATGATCGGGGATATAATACCTTAGAGCTGGAGTTGGACTTGGAGGAGCCAGCAGTAATGTAATGTAGCATTTCGAGGAAGAGAGACTGGCCCTGTTCGGTGAAGTTTTTGATGTAGAAGAGGAGGAGATCAGCGGCTCTGGCCCTGTATCTCTGCAGCCTCTGTTCAATATCAGGCTCGTGTTGAGTCACCAAAGGCCGGAGGAAGGCCTCGTACACCCATCTCGTTCCCTACACCACCAAATTCTTACTCTTATTCTTTGAAGAAGAAGCAGTCGAAATTTAAACAATTGTGGATTAGGTTATGGGTTTAGTTGAAATTTTGTGCTGTACCTTTGTTTTAGGGTGCCATAAGTAGATGAAGAAAGCCAGCTTGGTCTCGCCGTATAACGGTAGCCTGTCCACAGTCAAGATTAAATTCAAGCGTTAGAAGCTTCAAATTAGGCATACAAAATGTAGTATAAAAGAAATATTTTGAAGTTATTTGGATGATTGTAAAAAAGAATGTATAAGATTTTTTTTTTTTTTTTTAGATATTATGATGGTAGATTAGCAACATACCATGAAACGAAGATATCAAAGAACCTCTCAAAGATAGTGATGATCGCAACAATTACCCTGCATTTTTGTGGATCAAATCAAAGCAATTTAAGTTAGTCCGTAGAATCATCAAATCTGAATCTAGAAATTATATGATCGGCCAGCAGATTAAGGTGAGTTGCTTATATTTGCAAAATTAGTAGAAGTGTTGGAGGGGACGGGCCTGTATATATATATATTGCATCAAGCAGAATAGCTATTTAATATCAATTTTAAATATTAAAAAACATATTTTTTTACTAAATCTCAAATATTTTACCAGTTAATACTTCTCGTACACCTGTTAATCTCAAATGAGATGAAGAAGAACAAATTTTTTAGCTATATCAATCTAAATTTCAATTGAATTGATCAAAGATTCAAATCCGGCCCTATTATTATAAAAACAAAAGTCTAAATTATGATAGCAACCTGGTTATCATCCGCCTGTTTAGTTTGAATTATATACTGGAAATTGACAAAAAATCAAAGCTTCTGGCTATTCAAAGTAAAGAACCACCAACTTTGACAAGATCAAAAGTCACAAGTTTTGCGATGGAAGTCAAACAAGCCCAAGACTAAATTTTATGGTTTAGAATTCTAAGTACCAAATTCTAGAAATCATGGTCGTCCAAAACTCTATTTCCTGTTCTAAGTCGACCTTCTAAACAAATTTTAGGTAGATAGGCAAGAAATAATCAACAGTTTATTTTTGTTAATCTCAAAGTTAAATCACATGCTTATCAGGTTATGGTTGGTTAATTGATACAGCGACATGGCCTCCGTCAAGAGAAACAATCTGTGTGGTCACCGAACGGTCCAAAGGCGAATCAAAATGTGCCATGTCACCCGGTACCGAGTGGTACACAGCAAAAAAAGACGTGACACATTCTCATTCGCCTCTGGATGTCGTTTGATGACCGCAATTTCTCCTCTGCCGGGGGCATAGGTGGTGAAGTGGCTTATCTAAAATTTTGATATTATAAAACTTCTATAATATACATAGTTGTGAGAAATTTTCAAAATAGAACTTTCATATTGTTCAGAGTCATATATGGGTTTTCTTAAATACAAGAAGCAAGAGTAATCCTAACCCCTCTGTAATTCTACCGTTGGATATTTGAGAATAATGTCATGTATGAGCCTCAACCCCCAAAACAAAATTGGTTTCAATATTGATCCTTGTAAATCAATGATTTTGAGGTATAGCTTCTTAGCCAATTTCTATACAGTTTCATATAATATTATATTATTAGTAGATTTCAATTATTTCTTTAATCATATTTTTATATGATAATTTAAAAATATATATATATTCTGTAAAATTATATTCTCATAACATATAATAATTACTAATTTGATAACATTATTTTATTCAAATTAGACAGCATTGAATCAAGCATACTCGATTTGATCGATTCATTCTATCTGAAGCTAGCCCTAATCCTGTTTCTCCATAAAGTGGGATCTTAAAAAGTGGGTAAATATTCCAAACGTTAGTTATAGTCAAGAAGGATCAATTACCAGTACTGACACCAAAACAAGAGCTGTTCAACATCTATCCTGCTGTTCTCCATAAGCTTGAAGCATTCAAATCCAGGGTATGCATATCCAAGAACCAACCTACAAGAAAATAATCCAAATATTCCATTCTTCTCAATCCGATTAGACAAAGTTAGATAAAACAAACTATCGTTTCCTCAAATAACAAGAACAAAGAGATCAATAAACTCACACTAGAACTCTGGTTACAAACTCCCCTAACATAGATCAAATCTCAAAAATCCCCAAATCTGCCAAAAAAAAGACGCAAAATAGCATTAAAGCACAATCGGAATAGCAAAGAAGTACATAAAAAGCAGAAGAAGAATCCATGGATGTGATATATATACCTTATGGATTTCTTGAAATCCTTTTGTGTTTTTTAATCCGCCTTTGAAGGATTCGAATCGCCTGCTGCAACTGAAAAGAGAAGAAGAAGAGAATGTAGAGAAACTTGAGATTCAAGAAAAACCTAATGATTCTATGAACTATAGCAAATCATAGCTCGCTTTCTTTCTTTATATACAAATGCCGTAAAGTCTGATGAAGAGAAGCTTGGGAATGGCGTCAAGGGTTGGAAGAGAGGAGCGGTTGCTTTCCAGCGACGCCTGCAGAGAAAAAGATTTTTTTTTAAAAAAATACACGTCAGCTATTAAAGTTCCGAAAAAGGACAGAATTGAGGATTAAAAGGCTTAGGGATGCGAGGGTAGTTTCGTCAATTCGAGTAGATACCGTTATGTGTTGGGCAACCTAATCGACCCAATCTGGATTTTGGCGTGCTAGGTTGGGAAAGTTAGACCGGTTCGTTGCGGGCCCGGGCCGTTAGTTGAACGTTGAACCGGTTGTATGGGGAGAAGATTCGTTCGGTTCAACGCGGTCCATTTGTCCACTTCCTGAATTTCCAGTTGATTTAATGTTGTTTACTTTGTCTAACCAATAGTATCTTAGATTTTGTTATTTTTGCTTATATACTATTCAAATGTTTAGAGAATTTTCTAGAAAGTTTCATGTGATTAACGCATCGTTTGGTACAACATTTTTTCTATTTTTTAAAATAATTATTTAGCACAAAATTTTAAATTCCAAATTTTTTTAAACTAAAAAATTTCTTTACAAAGCATTAAGAAAGCTATCACAAACGAAGTCTAATACTTCGTTTGGAACAGATTCTTTGCTGCTTTCTAAAACGGTCTTCTAGTACAACAGTTTTTTGAATTAGAAATTTTTTGTATTAAAAAATAGTTTTATAAAGTAGCAAAAAAGTTGTCTCAAACGAAGCATCGTTTGGGATGGCTTTCTTCTTGCTTTCCAGTACAAAAATCTGTTGAATTTAATTTTTTTGTACTAGAAAGTTGTTTTAGAAAACAGTATGAAAGTTGTCCCAAATAAAACCTGATTCATTTTATGAAAAATAAACTCATTATGAAGAATAATTAAAAATACTTTTTTCTTTTTTCTTTTTAAAGATTTTTGAGCTAATTCATACAAATTTATACAAACATCACATACATAGCTTTGAACCCAAGACCTATTGGCTAATTTCCAAAGCTTCCAAATAATAGATCAAAATGATATGTATTAATTAAAACTAACTTCATTTGTCATCGTGCATCTCTTCATCATTTTCTTCTCTTCTTGAATATAGTTCATAGTCATTACAATCATAGGTGGATCCCCATATTAGTGAGGGGGGCAAATGCCAACCCTCAAAAAAATATTTTTTAAATTTTAGAGGGTATTTTTTGGAATATTTTGGGTATTTTGCCCCCTCTCAAAAAAAAATTTCGCCCTAATTTTATCAATCCTAATCATTTTTGCTCATCCCCTACCAAATTTTTTTTTTTTGCCCACCCTAAAAAAAAGAGCTGGATCCGCCCCTGATTACAATTTAGCACAGCTAATCAATACAACATTATCTTGCATGAATGAGGTGTGAGTTTACGTGGAAATTTAAAATTTAAATGACGGCTTCATTTGGAACAGCTTTCTTACTGTTTCTTAAAGCAAATTTTAATTTTTGCACAAGAAAACTGCTTTAAGCACCAGTAAAAAGCTATCCCAAACGGAGCCGAAATCTCTCGGGTAGAATCCCACTTAAAAAATCCATCTATCCCGGCCTAAATCTATCTATTATGTATTTCAATACATTAGAAATGAATTATCAATTATCCTCTTTACACAGCTCATCTTGATCTGTTGGCTGAAGATTTTGACTATAAATTAATTTTTTTTTCGTCCGAAACTTATGTATGTGATATGCGGAAAAAAAAAAGTGAAAGAATAATTTGTGCTAATTATTATATCAAAAGATCACCACATGTGATAAAGGTAATGTATAGTTAAAATGAGCGGCCGTTTCTTTCCCCACCGCTAAGGCTTTAGAAGAATGCAATAGACATTTATGAAGGCTTTATTGGTCCTCTTGGACTTGATTGGCGTCACGTTTTGTACTCAATGGATAGTTTCGTACTCATTTATGATAATTTAATTTATATTCATTTACTAAAGTGAATAAATTTATATTTTTTAAATGTAAATGAATCTCATTAATCTAAATACTTATCATGTTTATTTGTTAGGGGTGTCAATTCGGGTCAACCCGTCGAGTTCGGGTCGAACCCGACCCGACCTGGATCTAAACGGGTCAACCCGAACCCGACCCGTTTTTGCAAACGGGTCGGACATTTCAACCCGGACCCGACCTGACCGGGTTGCCGGGTTGACCCGAAATGACCCGCGACCCGGCTGCGCTAGGGTTCTGCCGTTCTGGGTTCGGGCGTTCGACCGCGCCGTCGCGGTACAGTAGTTATTTACTAAAGTGAATAAATTTTATATTTTTTAAATGTAAATGAATCTCATTAATCTAAATAGTTAACATGTTCATTTGTTATTTGACAAATAGTTCTCTATTAATTTAATGATGATTTAATTAATTATTTAATAATTTATTCTATATTCTTATATAATTATATTATATTTTATATACTATAAAAATTATGTATGTTATTTAGATTATATTGATGTGAATATCCATAAAATACATTATAATGCTTGATCATACCAAATGATTTTTCTCTAGGAAACATATAAAATAATCAATATGCACTTTAGAAATTATTTGTATTCTTAGGGTTTTTGGCTTACCCATAATGACATATTCTATGATTCCTACATGTTATGTATTTATTTTTCACGTTACAAAGTTATGCATCATCATTCAAAACTTCTGACAGCTATACATACACTATAAAATAACCAATCATATTGCATATACAAATAAGCATATTTGTTATGATGAATATAATCCCTTGTGACTCTTAAACCCCTGTGACTCTTAAATTGATAAATTGAAATTTTGTTTATTATAAATGTGACATATTTTTACGACACTGACTTTCTTAGAATTATGATGAATGGTTGATCCTTTATTATTCATTGACATTATATATATTTGATTAAGATTGTTGATACGTCATCACGAATTTATCCTGATCGAGCACGAATCTCGATGCAGAATCAAGTTGGAAACATCAAAAATTAAATTCGGGATCACGTGAACTCCGATTTCAGCGAGCTTATAGTCAAACTGAGCGTCTCGGAAATACGAATCTAACGACACCAAGTTCGACCCAATCCGAACCCAAATGGATCAGAATCATGGACCCGAGGTGCCATTGGAAGGTTCAAACTATAATTTGGGTTACCAAACGGTCCTCTATTTTGACGATCCTATACTCAAATCGAACGTCTCGACGAGACAAATCCAACGAGCCCAAGATCACCGAATTCTGACATCACTAAGGCCCTCAAATGATTAACGAACGGTGCACGGTCATAGGATTTAGCATCGGCCGTCCATTCGATCACTCCCTATTCGCCCTTGATCTCACGCCTATTTACAATATATTTTTCTACCGCCGCGAATATTACAGGACGCAACAATTGTATATAGTGTTGCTATAACTATCTTACACACAACATGTTAGTCAATGTTATATAGTTCATGACATCAAGAGTTAAATATGTTGCTCGATATTTTATTGTCTGTTTCATACTAAATATGAAGTAATACATATCCTATAAAAAATATTTCATATGATGCTTGGTAGGCATGTTGCTTAAGGTGATTATCACATTAGATTTTGTATGTAGCATTCAAACGTATAAGAGCGATTGGATGTATGATAATGATAGTTGTGTGATCTAAATGAATACATCATTAATATGAATGTTCTAAGTGTGTTGGGTATGTGGGTGACTTATGATACTTCATATCCATTGGATTGACATATCTATAATATTACTTCTTAAGAATTATGAATAATGTTATGATGTAAATGCATAGTACATATTCATATGTTGCAATCAGTGTTATTACTTATATACATGTTAGAACAATATTTAAATTTTATTGAGTGCGATATTATATATATATAGGGGCGGAACCCCCCGATTTTAGTCTTTTACAAGGGTTTTTAGACAATTGCACCCCTAAAAATATTGAAATACTATGATCTTTAGGCAATTGCCCCCAATATAATTAAATACATTGTGTAGATGTGTTATTGTTAGGGAATGATGAATCAAATTCCAAATCAGATCGAACCCCCTTGGACCCCCGACATATATGCGAACAATTACTTAAAAGTTTGCCCCCCTCAAAATTATGGTTGGTTCCGCCTATATATATATATATACACACAACTTAGTTTAGTTAGGTTTGTTTTGTTTGTTGCTATGGTTGGTTAATGTGCCTATTATTGTTGGAGGATTTGATGAAGGCTATTTAACAACCACTAGACCATATGCTAGTAATAATGTTTTGTTTATTTTTATATTACTCAACAAGCTCAAAATAATTATTTCAAATTATTTTGAGCCTCTAAGATATTTTTATTACATATTATGGTATATAATATAGCCCCGCTAAAAAAACTATTAAATCTTATGACACTACAGGAAAAACAACCAATACCGGCGGCTTTGCCCGGCGGCTCACCCGGTGGTTTTCTAGATTTAGACCGCCGGTAATAGCGGCGGTCGTTTAACCGCCGGATAAACCGCCGGACATTAAAAATACCGGCGGCGTGAACTTGTTAATTTGTGAATTTCTGAACTTGTGAACTTGTAACCCGAACATATTAAATTTGTTTACATTTAATGTTTTGTTTGGTTGTGCTTATGTTTATATTTGTGATAGTTGATTGAATATAGCGGCGTGTTGCCCAAAATTTGTTGTTATATATTGCTTTATGTGCAGATTTAGAATCTAGGGTGAATCTCCCTCAAATAGAGGAGATGCTGACAATTTTTTTTTCAGGTGCTACAGGTTTACGGCGGCTAACCAGCGGTTTAACTGCCGGAAATGACGATATCGGACGGTTTTAATAACCGCCGATATTTTTGTCAAACCGCAGGTATGTCACCGGCGGTGAACCGAGCGGTTTATCTGGCGCTCGCCGACCGCCGTAACCGCCGGCCAGTCGTCGGTGAATTCCCCGCCGGTGAGCCGTCGGTACAATGACCGGCGGTGTAAGCGCCGTCAAACCGCCGGTACAAAGAGGGCTATTAACCGGCGGTCTACGCCGCCGGAAACTTAGGCCGCTGGTAAAAACCGCCGGTGAATTTTTTCCTACGCCAATTTTTCCGGCGGTTTATGAACCGCCGACAAGCCGCCGGTATAACTGAAAACCGCCGGTGTAACCTTCTAAACCGCCGGAAAAAACCACCAGTATTGACTGTTTTTTCTGTAGTGTGAACATTATGTAGCAAGGTTTTGAAAACTGGGTAGGACAACAAACCGGAAGAAGGAGAGGTTCACGATTCAACCGATCGAACCGGGGTCAAGCCGGACGACGTCATAAATAATAATATTATTAAAAATTATAAAATAAATAAATTTTTTTCTCTAATACCTCCACTCTACATTCCACTTTCATATCAAATTAATCAAAGAATCTAAATGTGGCATCAATTATGTTTATAAAACATAAATAAATAACATATAATATAAATGTGGCATGAAGTAAGTCTATACAACTTAAACAAATATTTCATAAATAAGTAAATAACTCACCAAACGATACATCTTGCGGCTCCAAGTTCTTGCACTAGGTGGTCTGGCCATCCAGCGGTTCCCGGTTCTTGCACAGGATGACCAAACAACATTGCATTGAGGAAAAAATGCTTACCTTTTGTCGAGCTCTATTGTGCATTGGGTGTTGAGGAATGCATGTTATCTTCAGTTCTCTTTCTCTAGCATGTGAAGCTGTTAAAAAATAAATTGAATAAAAGAAAATGAATTAAAATATATGACAAAATAGACAATTAATAAATGTATAAAATAGATAATATAAAACATACATTTTCATAATTTATAGCAAGATTGAAACACTTTATACTAATTGATAAGAAAAACTCAAAACTCATAGAGATGATAAAGTCTGAAATTAATATCATAGAGACAAAAAGTAATAATTGACATTCAACTGTTTATATCAATTTACATAAAAAACTCAAAACTCAAAACACTCCTAGTAAATCTAATAATCGTCCATTAAATTTGTGTAATTAAATGATGGATTCTCAAACCCTCCTTCACCAAAATCTCGCATCCCAAATGCTTATGCATCCTCACATGGTATGTGATCTTCATTATATATATTAGCTAAGTTATCTTTATATGCAAATCATTAATGTGAAATAATAAGTCTATATTTTATTTTACACTCAAATGATATAAGTTAATCTACAATCTTATTTTGGGTTGGTCCAGTTAATGTTATGTCTTATTCTATATCTTATGTTTGGTCCGTAGATAATATTACACTTTTCATGAATGATTGAGATCCTAATTTTATTTTGGTGTAAGAAAATTATTAATTTCATCAATTTTTCTATTCCCTTTATTAATCCCTTTATCATGTGTATCCAAATTTTGTGATTTTGTGACTGAACATGAGCCCCTCTCTTCCTCAACTAGCTCATCACTGAACAAATCAAAACTCTACGATATGTCTTCTTGTACTTATTGTTTTATCTTTGCTATTTCCTTTACATTCTGATGCATATGATCTCGAATGTCATGTGACACATTCTTATAAGAAGCAATGTTACCTTTAATCCTTGTCAAATGTTATTTCATCATATTAATGCCTCCACCCTTATAAATTGTTCCACAATGAAGATATTTGTATGGCTTCATACCATCATCAATTTTACACTCAATAAAATGGTTTCAAGTGATATATATCTTCTCTCATACGCTTTGAGTTGAAGGTGCAGGTTGATTGTTTTGTTGATCCATTATTAATATTAAGTTGAAGATGCAGTTAGAGAGCTTTAGTACAAATTAGCATAAAAAACTTATAATTTTGAGAACCATGATAATTAGATGGAGGGGTGTAAGTTAGATTCATATGCTAGTGTTGATAGAGATGAGAATTATGCTTATGATAGTGTGACTATCAAGGTGATTTGAGATAGAAGAGCAAAATGTAATTATTTTTAGAACTTCCTCTAATACTTCCAATACTTTTTGCTAGAGAAATAAGAATAACAAACCTCTTTCAACTGCAAAGAAAAAGGGGAAAGATATTCACATGTGGAGGATATAATTGATTGAATCATGTTACACAAATGTAATTCTTTGGTATTGCTATTAATGGCTATTCATAAGATCCCTAGTTTCTTTATTAACAATAAAAGACACTATTGTTGATACTAAGCATAATCCATTTATGATAACTTTGTACAATTTTTTTTGAATTGTTATAATACGAAATACTTTTTTGATTGGGTTCCAACAATCTAACATTGGCATTGATTCTATAACCATCTACCCATAAGATTAATTATCAATCTAACTAAGTCTACACAAATATGCTCATATAATGTCACAAGGTTAAGTTTATAAATCTAATTCTATAAAATATCAATGGAAATAGTTTAACATAGTTTGATTCTTAATATGTAAAAACATTTTATGAAGTCTTTCTTATTATGACTGTAAAAATATTTTTTTCATTATAAAAATATAGAAAAAGAGTAAAAAAAGGGTGATTTACATACATACCACTTTATTTCATGTTATTTACATATCTAGTACCTAAAACTTAAATATTATATGCATATCCCCCATAGAATAAATATGAGTGCATGGAATGAAACATTAAAGTTTATATGATGGTATGAGTGATAAAAATGAAATATAGAAGTGACATATTTGATATTAAAATTATATATGAGTTGTAAGAATATAATATTAAAGTTTTATGTGTTAGATATGTAAATATCATGAAATAAAGTCATTGCGTAAAAAGAGTGAATTTTTTAGATGCTTATGCTTTTGTCCCATAATTAATCAAAACAAATCAAACTCAACTCAATCAATCACTTGAGCATACCAAACTCAACTCACTCCTCTATTACATTTTTCTCCGAGCAACGCTGGACTTTTGAAGGGAGTTGAGGAGGACAGAATGCAGTATAAAGCCAGCAGCTGCTAGCCTGCTTCACATGCCACCATCGATTTCGCCCATAACTCTCTCCTCTATTCGCTGCAACTTTCGCCTTTCCTGCCCTATTCTTCCTCAATTGAAGAGAAGGTTTCATAATTTTGATTTTTTTTTTTTCTTACATTGCTTGCTCTCTATATTGATAAAAAAGGAAGATTTTGCTCTCTTATTATGCTCTTCTAACTCCGCTTGTTGATCAGTGTCTTTTGCCTTTTGGTCTGCCTTCTCGGCCGTAGAAAATTTAACATCAAAGAACGCTGTTGCTTTCTAGGATGAAATCTGCTGCAGGCTACAAAAGTTGCTCAATGGATGATGAGGAATTGCCATCTCTTTACAGAAAGAGGGCCACTGCAAGAAATTGTCTCGTCTCTGGGTATCATTTTCCGTTTTTTTTTTTTCCCTTCTTACTGATAAGTAGTGTTTTTGTTATGCTAAAGCTGGTTTTTAGATATATGATGCGAAGAGGCGCGATTGAAAGGATTTTTTTTTTTTTGTGGGAAGCAGATTTCGACTGAGCTCGAAGTAGAGTCTGAAGAGGCCTCTTTGAATGTTGTCGTTATACCAGGGAATCCAGGTAGCCATGCCTTTTTTTCCCCATGATGTTAAAGCCTTGATTCCCATATGAGAAAAACGGTCCCTCAAGTTGGATTATTTTCCTGTATAATTGCAGGCGTCGCTTCTTTTTACAAGGACTTTGTTGAAGCTCTCTACGAACAACTTGGGGGTTGCGCATCTATTACAGGTGAGGAATATCAGCTCTCGAATTTACCAGGACATTTCTGTTGCTTCTATTATTTGCTGATGATTGTCGCATTTATGTTGATATCCAGCAATTGGGCATATATCCCATTCAAGACAGGTACTATTCTTCAATCATTTGTTATTTCTATCAAAAGAAAGCGATGGCTAATTTACTGTGAAAGATGGTTAAGCGTTTCAGAAAAGTTAAAAGGCATTCTTTAATATTATTTTGGAGAGTTTTTCACTTTTTTTTTTGTTGTACAGTTAGAAGGCACGCTGTAGATTTCATGCTCATCACTAGGGGTGTAAACGAGTTGAGTCGAGTCGAGTTTTAGCACTAACGAGCTCAGCTCATTAGTTGGAAAGCGAGCTCGAGTCGATCTCAAAAAGCGAGCTCAAACTCGAGCTCGTCCCATTAAAATTGAGTTTGAGCCGGCTCGTGAGCCGCTCGATTCAGTTTTACATTTTCCCTCCTGTGCCTCTTTTTTTCATTTCTCTCGCATGCAGACATTTTCCCGCCTGTATTTTTGCACTTGAGCAGCTGTCACTCTGGACAAGACATCAAGTACTACAGCTAAAGCTAGCTATAATGATAGCCGCTTACTATATATTATAATATATTGTATATATTATTTTAATTAAAACAATGCCATTTTCTCCAAAAAATTCAATACGGTCGTCCCAACTCCCAAGCAAGTTTGACATCCCAACTTTCAACACATATTATAATACATTTTATATATTATTTTAATTAAATATGTATTCATTAACATTTATTTTAATATATTTTAATATATTATAATACATATTATATATTATTTTAATTAATAAATAATTAATGAGCCGGCTCAAGCTCGAACTCGACTCGTGAGCTCGATAAGCTCGGCTCGCGAGCTCATAAAGAGTCGAGCTCGAGCCAGCTCACGAGCCGGCTCGGCTCACTTACATCCCTACTCAGCACTCAAAGTTTTACTATGGTGATTAACACCAAATTTTTGTGCATAGAATAACATATACTATTTTATTTGGAAAGTTGTCTCCAGTATAACATATCCAAAGAGTGTAAATGGCTAAAATCCAAAATAAATTTTCGGTCAATCCAAAAGAATTTGACAATTCATTCCATCAGGAAGAGCTCAGGGTAGGTAATTGACAATTCCGAATTTTTTTTCTTAAAAGAATAAACATTTTAATTATTTATCACACCTTCAATAAATACGGTTGCCCAAATTTTAAGAAATAAATTCCATTTTCTATTTCATACATAAAATTATGCATTTCACAATTCTATTTTGCCCACCCTCATAAGAGAGGCTGGTTTCGCCCCCGTACTTCAATGACTTGTATGACATCCTAAAAAAAGACGAATCTTCAATTTGACTTAATTTTAATTATTTGAGAAGCAATTAAGCATCTTTCTTATCTAGGTCATCTGACTTTGTTTTGATATTTTGCACAATCTACTTGTATAAATCCAACCTTTTTTGCACTACTAGCTACATTCTCAAAATAGTTAAATGCTTTCAAGCATGATATACCCACATCACACGTCTTTAATGAATACTTGATTTTTACTCATTATCTTGCATTTTGACCTCAGTAGGTGGACCTTATTTGGGTTTCCAATAACATAGTTATGCTATGTGATTAGTTGTCCCAATTGACCTGAAATTTGATGCTGCTTTGCAACTATTCCTTAAACTTTATTTGGATTTTAATGTAGTTTTCTGTCATTAGCACAACAAAAACAGTTGTTATTGATTGTCCCATTTACTTTGTATCCTAAATGTTGCTTGTGAACATTATATTCTATTCTCCTGTCATAGTCACAACCCCCCCATTTATTGAGAGGTTTGATGGAGAAGTATAGGGAGAATAAGGATGATCTACATATGATATTTATTGATTTATAGAAAACTTATGATAAAGTTCCAAGAGAAGTGCTATGGAGAGTTTTAGAAAAGAAATGGGGTAATAATGCTTATACTCAAGTCATTAAGGATTTGTTACTTGTGTTCAAACACAAGGAGGTTAGACCAAGTATTTTCCTATTTCAGTTGGATTACATCAAGGATCAGCTTTAAGCCCATATTTTTTTTTACTTTAGTCATGGATGTTCTTACTAGACATTTGCAGGATGATGTATCCTGGTGTATGCTTTTTTGCTGATGATATACTTCTTGTCTATAAGATTAAAGAGGGAGTTGAAGGTAAACCTGAAATAGGAGGTCAACCTTAGAGTCTAAAGGTTTTCGTTTGAGTAGATTTAAAACCGAGTATGTGGAGTGTAATTTTAGTAATAATAGATCTAATGGAGAGATTGTGACTTTTGGTGATTTAGTTATTAATAAGAGTACAAGTTTTAGATATCTTGGGTATATTATCCAGAATGATGGTGAAATAGATCGGGATATTATTAGTAGAATTCAAGTTGGATGGTTGAAGTGGAGGAATGCATCGGGCCTATTGTGTGATAGAAAAATATCCCTCAAACTTAAGGGAAAATTCTATGAGATGGTGGTGAGACCTGCAATGCTTTATAACGCAGAATATTGGCCATTAAAAGAGAAACTTATAATAAGTTAAGTGTTGCAAAGATGATGCTCAAAGGGATGAGTGACTTTACTCGTAGAGATTGAATGCGAAATGAGCATATACGTGAAAAGGTTTGAGTAGCTCCAGTGACAGATATGATTAGAGAGAGTCGCCTTAGATGGTTTGGTAACATAAAACATCAGCCTTCTTATGAACCAGTTAGGAGAGTGGATATATTAGATTTGGCCTATGTTAAGAGAGGTAGAGGTAGGCCTAAAAAAACTTGATTAGAAAATATTAGAAATGATAATTTTTATTAGATTTAAATGAGAATTTGACTTTTAACATATATTGTTTAAAATTGCACAATATGAGGCTTACCTTGAGGTCCGCCTCAACGCAATTCCAGTAAAAAAAGCCTCGAGGTTTACACCTCGAACTTTTTTTATGAGGCTTACTCCTCATCTTGGATGAAGCCCGCCTTGTGGCGCACCTCGCCTTGATGGCATGAGGCGTACGCCTCACTCTATTTATGCATTTTTTTAATTTAAAACTTACCTAAATTTTGTACAAAAGTCCCAAAAAATCACGCCTTCTTGCACCCCCCAAAGCGCAGCAACTTTCTCTCAACTGCCTTGACCTCCAGTTCACTAACTTCGCCATAGCCACCACCGTCTTAACTGTTATTGACCTCAATTTTGATATGATATTCCCTTCAAGCATGTTCGATCAGGCTAATTGAACTCCGTTAAGCCTAATCTGATTCAAGTCGGTGTCGATTCAGGTTCAATTGCATCTGCTCGAGTTTAATTTTATTAAATCGACTCGATTGGACCTAATTGAACTTAAATCGAACTCGAGTTAAATTGAATCAGACCCAGCTATGTTCAATTGAACTCGATCGACTCGATGGAGCCTCGTCGAGCTTAAATTGGCTTGAATTTGCGACCATTTGGGTGTAATTTCGTCAAGCAAATTTAATCGAAATAAATCGAACTCAAATCGACTCAAATTGAGCCTAATTCGGGCTCAAATCAGGTGCCATTTAGACGTTTGAAATCGACGAATGTGATCGCTCTCATTTTTAATCACTTTTTTTTTACTTCGACGATTGTAGCAGAGGGAGGGTGCAGAGGAGATCTCTTATCGTCACCAAGTTGTATTTTAGAAGGCAGGAGGCCAAGTATGTGGAGATCAATCAAGAACTCATACATCGATTTATTTGTGTATAGATTTAGGCTGAGTTGTATATATGGTTGAGCTCAACTGCATTTCTTTCTTTTTTTTTACTTTCCAGGGGTGTATTGCATAACCCAACTACATTAATGGACATTAACTATTATTTGTTGTGTAATTGTTTGTTTATTATGCGTAATAGAATTGCATACTTTTTTTGCTTATGGGTGGCTCAGACGGAGTTTTTACGTTAGGCTCTTAGGAAGTTATTTTTTTTTTTTTTACTAAAGTTAAAATTTTCTTAAGATGAAATGAAATATAGGATTTAAAATCAACCAACTTTTTCTAAAATTAATGCATGATCCCTTGTAGGTCACCTTTTAAAACTCACTTAATATTTCAAGCCTTGTTTACTTTACAGTGACTACTAGCCAGTCCTGATTGACCCTACCTACACATGCATAACTTTGAGTCAATCATATAAATTTTCTTTTTTAACATAGAGGGATAGTTCACTTTGCATAAGCATGGTACCATTCATGGCCGAACTTAGTGCCATTTTTCTTTTTTGTGCCTCCTACCACTCTTACATTTGTATAAGACTGGATATCATGGATTTAATACGCTAGATGGAGTTTAGCTGGTACTCCTTTTCGAGCAGGGTGATGAATCCAGGTTGGGGCTTCTTAGGTCCCTAGTGGGGCTTAAGTCATAAGTTTCCTCGCGGTGTCTTGCATTGGTTTGGTCGTAGGCGTTAGTACCTGGTGTATAATACGTCCCTCATAGATTTAGGATCAAAGGCTGACTGTATTGGTATACCGTTACATGCCTTATCGATGGGTAAGCTCTCCACTCTTCAGACGCTATAAATCTCACCCATCCATGTCACATTGATGATGGCGCTTCCATCTTTCTCTCATGCATGTGGTATGAAGTGACTCCTAATTTCTCTTCGGACCGGCCGAGTGCTTATGTGACCCGTGTATGAGTGAATAGTCTAATTGAGTCTGTCTTCCTTTGAATTATGAGAGCCTAGATATTCCCTTATGTGCCAAGCCTTTGGAGAGAATAATATAGCATCTTTAATCGAGAATTTTCTTAGTATGAGGCCTAAGATATAATTAATCACAGGGGCTTGAGCCCATGAGAAACCGACACCCACATCAAATAAGCCCCATTCGAGCTGATGTATCGGATGGGAGAAATCTCGTGATTATAGGCTTATACATATTATTATCTATCGAGGTATGTAGGTGAGAGCCACTATCCTCCATAGCTAATCGTATGTATGATCCAATTTGCTTTTCCATTGTCCTGCTTGCGTAGAGTGTAAAAGCCTACGACCGTTTTGTCTTACGGGTTAATGCGATCGTACTCTTTACATTTCGACACCCGCAAGCAGAATCTTTTTGGAGACCCACAACTGTCGTCAGAGTTCACTTGAAAATCACATGCAACCACCATCTTCTCTATAAATTTAGGAGTATTACTCTTATTTTTATGTTGATGACAAACATTTATTAAAGAAGAACATTATTGAAATAAATTAAGAAGAAGCAGATTGAGAGGTATTGGACCCTATAGTTGAGGCAAGGGAAAGACAAATTTGCTATAACAACGACTCAAATAAAAATCCCTTTAGCAATAATAGTACAGACGATTTCTGAGTTGTTGCTAATTATTTCAGCTTTATTTAAGAATTAAATATGGATGAGTAGGAAACTGAGAAAGAAAAAAAATATTGTTGAATTTGATGTTATATGATATTTTATGTAATTCATATACTTTATGTTATTTTGCGCATGTAATATTTGAATTTCAATTCTATTTCACATAATTTATCAATTTATATATTGTGCAATTTTGTGTTTCATATGTATGTAATTTTGTTTCTTCATAATTCAACAGAAAGCTAATATGTCATCCTTCAACATTATTTAGATATTATATAAAAAAATCTCTTTTACCTTTTATTTTTACTTTACGTAATTTTTAGATTTTGAGGCTTACGTCTCACCTCAAAATGCCTTGAGGCTTATGCCTCGCCTCACGAACAAAAAATGCCCGCCATTTTAAACCTTTTTAACAGACACAATAAAAAAAATGATTCATGTAGCCGACCCCACATAGTGGGATAAAGGCTTGATGTTGTCCCCTTTCTCATCACAGCAAAAATAATTGTTATTGATAACTCTATTTGTTCTGTACGCTGCATGTTGCTTATGAACACGAAATCCGATTTTTCAAGCATAAACCTTATAAAAGTGCATGCCTCTTCTTCTGAGCCGACATTGACATGCCAAACCTGAATTGTTTCATTCATTCATGCGGGAAACTGCAAACCATTATAATAAATCTGAAAGACAAATCTATTGGAACAACAAGACATTGAGATGAAAAGTAAAGACGTTTGAAACTGCTACAAGTAGTCCCATAATAGAAATTTGAATCATAGTGATAAAATTACTAGAGAGAGCGCACACTATATATATATACACACACACACAACAATACATTAAAACTTATTGCATGATATCTAGAATCGTGGATGTCAAACTTTGAAAAAGTGCAAGCCATTATAATAAAACAGAAAATAAAATTTATTAATAGCAAAATTTAATGTGCTTAAAACCAAATATTCCGAAAACAGCGCAAGCATTTCTTATGAAGGGGCTATGTTGAAGTTGGGGGTTGCATGGTGTTAAATTGAAACCCAGTTTTGTTTTCAGGACAGAAGCAACATGGAAGAAAATTAACCAAGAGATCATTTTCTTGAAGAACAGATACAAAATGATAAGAAGGCGTTTGTGGTATCTCAGTTGATGCTTATATCTGAGGTGAATGTGAATTTGAACAGAGGAGTGGGAGAAGGAAGAAGAGAAATGACTGGGAAATAGATCTATAAGAGCTCATCTGCTGTTCACTTGCCCGCGTGTTGCTACGCAGGCTCAATTTTTTTTCCCCTGATTTGGCTTTTCCAACTAATCACTTCTTTGCATTTGGCTATTTGTTCATGGAAACAGATTAGGTGCTGGGCTTGATTTGCTGTTGGAGCACCCGATCTAAACTTTTTCCTTATAAAATGAGCAATAAGAGAAGTTTTTCAAGATATTACATGTACAAAAATGCATCAATATTGGAATGATGCGCTGGGCAGAGCTTTTCTACTTGTCATTCTTCTTAAATTTAGCTAATAATAGCACTATTGCTGTAATTCTATGTAGAATGCACACTATAAGCTTTTTATCATACAAAGAGTTGCTGTTGGATTTTTATATTTCATATAATTTCTTATTGAAGAATACTCTTCATTTATGAAATACCATGATATATGGGTTACTTTTTCTACCAGGACATGGCATATGGAAGGATGTTCTCATTACAAGAGCAAATAAATCACAAGGTTTTTCCTTTTTTTTTTCCTGGCATATGCAAACACTTCTAAACTATACCACCTACTGGAGATGCAGAAATTGCTTCTATAAATGTGTACACTCTCTTTTACTTTACCTTATGCTTCTACTTCAAATTCTGTATCTCATCCCTTAGCTAAAGTTATATTTTATAGTATTTCGGGCCAGCTTAAGTAATGACGTAAGAACTTCATGAAATTTGTTATGTTTATGACCTTAACTGCGAGGATAAAAGTTTTCTGTATTCCTTCAGCAGTTGGATCTCCATCCATCATATCTTTCACACAGATCTTAATGTATGATGAAAGGTGACACATCAGTCCAAAGTGAATTCCCTGTAGTATTTTCTCCACTGGTTGCATATTTCATTAGCGGTACTTCTTAGGGATGATGTAGTCTACTCTTTCTAATTTCTCTGGTCCTACTATTCTCAGATAAGTTGGGCGATGAAAGTCCTTAAATTGTTACCATTTACCTGCTAGCTTGCGAAATTCTGCAGGTTTTTCTCATTTATTTGCAATAAAGAAGACTCACCTTCAAGAAAATTGATTATTGTCCCTTTGATATTACGTATGGTATCCTTAGGCACAAATGCCATCCAACAGTGACTGCTAACATTGGGCCTGTTGGTGGCATATTTCGACTCATATATGATCCTGATTGATGGTTGTGGGTAGCTCTTTGATGAGAATAATGTCTAGCAATGATTAGAAATTTTTAGTTTGTTATTTAGAGAGATGTTTTGGAGTTTATGAGGGAATGATGAGGGGTTTAAAATGGTATAAATTAATCTAATTTGGGTTGATTGAAAGATTACTTTAGGTAGTGATTTTTATGTGGGATAAATAGCTGCAGATGATGGTGGAAGATCAAATTCCACTATTAGATCTTTCAAATCACGTGATGGGCATTTCTTAATTTATAAAATAATAATTAGTTTTATTTTTACATAATTCTCCTCATAACAACACGATATTATTATATATATGTATTTAATTATATAATAAAAAGCCTCTTCTAATATCTATTATCTTAAGCATCATTTAATTGACTTCATTTCACCCACCCATGCTTTCACATATCTCCTATTTTAACACGTCTTGCTATAAATCTACAACTCAGCACGTTTTTTGCATAATTCATTATCCTAATTACACGTTGCACTCATCATTTGTTTTCTCACCGTCTATGTTCCTCAAAATCATTGAGCTTGTTAAAACCGGAATTTGAGAGGGAAAAGCTTGAATTTTATTATGCAATCCACTCCCTATTTATAGATCTATACAAGGTGTATTGATAAGGAAACAAATAACTCTATAATAATGAGAATACAATTATTCCTAAATCAATAAATCAACTATGGAAGGAATTAATGTGATCCAGGTGGTCTTCCCACGGATTACTGTTCACAGCCGTGGATTTCTTTTTTGGATCGTGAGGTTGAGATTTAACACTCCCCCTCAAGCTGGAAAATATGGATCCGTCATTCCTAGCTTGTCAATCATTCGAAGAAAGGCAGAACTGTTCAATCCTTTAGTAAGGATATCTGCAAGTTGATCCTTTGATAATACATGGTCAACACTTACTAGACCACTGTCTAGTTTTTATTTAATAAAATGTCTGTCCACTTCTATGTGCTTGGTCCTGTCGTGCTGGACTGGATTGTGGGCTATGCTGATTGCTGATTTGTTGTCACAATGTAGCTTCATGGGCTCATCCAACTTAACCTTTAAATCTTCTAAAATTATTTTGATCCATAGTAGCTCACATATTCCCAAGGCCATAGCTCGATATTCTGTTTCTGCACTGGATCTTGCCACCACATTCTGTTTCTTGCTTCTCCATGTAACTAGGTTACCTCCAAGAAATGTGCAATACCCAGAGGTAGATCTTCAATCAACCGGTGATCCTGCGTAGTCAGCATCCGTGTATACTTCTAGGGTTATTCCACGATCTCTCTTAAAGAGAATCCCTTTTCCTTGTCTTCCTTTAAGGTAGTGCAATATCCTATCTACCGCTTGCATGTGAATCTGCTTTGGATTATGCATAAACTGACTAACCATGCTTATAGCAAATGTTATATCTTGTCTAGTGTGGGAGAGGTAGATCAATTTCCCTACATGTCTCTGGTAGGCTCCTTTATCTACATCTGGATCTTCTTTAGCTTCTCCCAGTTTAAGATTAGATTCTACTGGTGTTTGTGCTGATTTACAGGCTAGTTTACCTGTTTCTCTTAGAAGATCTTTGATGTATTTTTGTTGTGAAATGAAGATTCCTTTGCTGGAGTGAGCTACTTCAATTCTGAGGAAATATTTTAGTCTACCAAGTTCTTTGATGTCAAATTCCTTAGTAAGACTTTTCCTTAAACTGGCTTTCTCCTCTTCATTATTTCCAGTCAAAATAATATCATCAACATACACTAATAATATTATGACTCCCCCTGAGTCTGAATGTTTAAAGAATAGTGTATGATCCCCTTGACTCTGTCGATACCCATTCAAGAGCATGAATTTAGAGAATCTTTCAAACCAGGCCCTTGGTGATTGTTTGAGCCCATATAGAGCTTTTTTCAGTTTGCACTTTGCACACCTTGTTACCTTCAGGTTTTTCTTTAAACCCTGGTGGTATTTTCATAAATATCTCTTCTTCTAAGTCTCCATGCAGGAATGCATTTTTCACATCCAATTATTCCAGGTGCCAATTGTACTTGGCTGCTAGTGAGAGTAGGATTCAGACAGTATTCATCTTGGCTACAGGCGCAAATGTTTCTTGGTAGTCAATGTCATACGTTTGAGTAAACCCTTTTGCCACTAGTTTTGCCTTATATCTCTCTTGTGTGCCATCAGCTTTGTATTTTATTGAGAACACCCATTTGCAGCCGACCGATTTTTTTCCTATCGGTAGGTTGACGATCTCCCATGTTTTGTTCTTCTCCAGGGCCTGCATTTCATCCTTCATGGCATTTTTCCAATTTTTATCAGATAAGGCCTCAGAAACATCTTTAGGAATATGGATATCTTCTAATGTAATTAGGAAATTTTTGTGTGACGATGAGAAGTTGTTGAAGGATATAGAGTTATTTATAGGGTATAAGGGAGGTGGTGAACTTACCTTATTTCCAGGAGATGGTTCAGATTCTTGGATCTGCTTTGGAGCACAGCTTGAGCATGTACGTCTGGAGTAAACCTTTCCAAATCTAATGATAGCGTTGTCATTTGTTTCCCTTTCTTGGGTTTTAGGTGGATTGTTCTGAGGTGGTGGAGGAAGGTCAAGAGGTGTTAGTTCATTTTCCTCATCTTCCTCAAGTTCAGTCTCCCTCTGAAGATGGGTTTTTGAAAAATAAAAATTTCGTTCAGCAAAGGTAACATCAATAGAGACAAAGGTTTTTTTGTGGGTGGATGATAACACTTATACCCTTTTTGGGTAGCAGAGTAGCCAACAAAGATGCATTTGAGTGCTCTTGGATCTAATTTTCCTCGCTCCTGGCTGTGGATATGAACATAGGCAGTGCATCCAAAGATTTTGGGTGCAAGATTATGATGGGTTCGAAACTCTGGGTAAAAAGAGGACAAGGTCTCCATTGGAGTTTTGAGGCCTAAGGCTGTTGAAGGTAGTCGGTTTATGAGATACGCTGCAGTTAAAAGAGCTTCCCCTCAATAGGATTTGGGTGTATTGTAGTGAAATAGGAAAGCTCGGGTAGAGGCTAGAAGGTGACCATTTTTCCTTTCTGCAACCCCATTTTGTTGTGGGGTGTGAACACAGGAGGATTCATGGATGATCCCTTCACTTTGGAAGTAGGAGGAAAGGGTTTGGTTGAAATAATCTTTGGCATTATCGGAGCGGAAACTCCTTATTTTTACCCCAAATTAATTTTTGATCATGGAATGAAAGATGAGAACAATGGTGCTAACATCAGATTTATGTTTAAGGAGATAGATCCAAGAGACTCTAGTGCAATCATCAATGAATGACACAAACCAGCGTGCCCCAGAGATATTGAGGATTTTAGAGGGTCCCCATATATCACTATGAATAAGGTAGAAAGGAGTAGCACGTCTCTCACTTTTTTTTTGGGAATGAGGTTCTTTTATGCTTAGCTAACTCACAGTTTTCACAATGAAAAATTTTATTGTCTAATTTATGAAAAAGTTGTGGATACATATGTTTTAGGACATCGAAAGATGGGTGTCCTAGTCTATAATGATGAAGCCAAATAGTAGAGTTCCTATCGACTAGGGATAACAAAGAGCAACTCCTTTTTGATTGGTTTGGTTCTTCCAGGTACTACAATCCTGCTCTCTCCTTAGCAAGTCCAATCTTCTTCCCTGATCTCTGGTCTTGAAATAAGCAATAAGTAGGGTTAAACAATGCTTGACAATTATGGTCATTGGTAAGTTTTTGTATTGATATCAGGTTTGTGGATAATTGTGGTACGTGGAGCACATTTTTTAGGGTGAGGGATGGGGATAATATGATGTCTCCTTGGCCAGCTACCGTGGTAAGAGAACCATCAGCAATGATGATTTTTTTTTGTTTGGGCAAGGAGTATAGTTTATGAGGTGGGTTGGTGAGTGGGTCATATGATCTGTGGCTCCTGAATCAATGATCCATAATTTCTTTAAATGATTTATGGAAGCACTTAAACTAATAGAAATTGGAGTCTTACCTGAGAGTGCAAGTGAAGAAGAAGCATTTCATTTGTCAAGAGATACCAGGAGTCGTTTCAATTTATCAATATCTTCTTTGTTGAATTCTCCATGGCTGGACTGAGCTTCTAGCTTACTTGTAATGTTGTTGGCATGCGATGTGCTCGTTATTTCACCCTTTTGATTCCACTCCTTGCTGGGGGGTTTTTCCATGTATCTTCCAGCATGTTTCTTTTGAGTGTCTTGACTTTTTGCAATAGCTGCACCAAAGTGAGTCTTTATCTTTGAATTTTGAAGAATCTTTACCTTTCTCCTTCCATGATGATTCTTTGTTCATCACCATTGCTGAGCTTTCAAAGACCTTTGGTTCTAACATTACTCCTTGTCGACTTTCTTCCACGCGGATGAGAGAAATGGTTTCGTTGAGTGATGGTGCCTCCTCTTTGTCGAGGATCTGAACTCTAACTTGGTCAAATTCTACATTTAGTCCTGCAAGAAAGTCATAAACTCTATCTTTTTCAATAAAGTTCTTTAGGACCGCAGCATCTTCCGGACATCTGGTTTCTATGCACCTATAGTGATCAAGTTCTTGCCACAGATTTTGTAGAATGGTGGCATACTCCTTCACGGTCTTACTCCCCTGCTTCGTGCTTCCTACTTTGACTTTAACTTCAAAGATTTGAGCTGCATCACGAGCTTTGGAGAAGGTTTGTCTGGCAGCATCCCATATGTCTTTTACAGTCGAAAGGAACATAAATGTATCACTAATTTCTGGAGTCATGGAATTCCACAATCATGACATAATCATGGAGTCTGCTTCATCCCATGCCCCAAATTTGGGATCTCCTTTTTGTCCTCCTCAAAAGAGGTGATGTATTTTACCTTTCCCCTTCAAGTAGGTTTTCACAAATTGAGACCACTTCAGGTAGTTCTTCCCATTTAGATGATAGGAAGGTTGCATGCTTTGAAGGTCACCACGTCCTTGGTGCGCCATAGAATCCTCAAGTTGGTCAATGTTTGAAGAAGAGTTAATTTCTGACATTTTTTAATCAAATAATAGTAATGAAGACTATCTATTTGATTTTTAGACAACAATGAAGGCTCAAAAAAATTTTCTATTCGACAATAAAGGTCGATTTTTTTATTTATTTATTTTTTAAATAAAACACACCAGCCGAGCCTTTAAAACAAAGGCTCGGATCGGGACAGATGCACGGGTTCGGGCTCCTCCACCGAGCTGGATCCAGAAAAGGGAAAGGGGAAGACGCTCGGCGATCGGGACTTCGTGCAGTTTCTGTCGATCGAGCGGAAGAGCAGGATCTCGTTCAGCTTCGTTGCTCCTCTCGTTCAGGGACAAACTTCCGATCAGCTTCGGAAGTGTCTTCCTCACGGATGGTTTCAGACGGGTATGACCGTTCCTTCGTCTCCTTCGTTTCCTTCGTGGTTGTCCGTCTAGGCTCCTTCGACGACCGCTCTGACGGAGTCGAGGCGTCCGTCTGCGGTAGCAACTGGCGGAAATGGCACTTCTGCATCGGCCTCTTGCAACGTCAAAAGGTTGGATCGTTCGACAATGAAAGCCTCCCGATCGGCTTTGATACCATGTTAAAACCGGAATTTGAGAGGGAAAAGCTTAAATTTTATTATTCAATCCACTCTCTATTTATAGATCTATACAAGGTGTATTGATAAGGAAACAAATAACTCTATAATAATGAGAATACAATTATTCCTAAATCAATAAATCAACTATGGAAGGAATTAATGTGATCCAGGTAGTCTTCCCACGGATTACTGTTCACAGCCATGGATTTCTTTTTGGATCGTGAGGTTGAGATTTAACAGAGCTCGTGACAGACAACCGTTCCATTTGTTTTAGTCTTCAGCTTTCTAGCAAGCTTCGCTACCGACGTTCCTCATTCTCTAAGAAAAATGCCTAGCAGCTCCAAAAATCTCTTCCCCGGTCTCTCTCTCATTCATAGCCTAGCTTCACTCCCTGTTCGTACCCATAGCCACAACACCCTTCAAATAGCTGTCCAACTCCCACTCTAACTGACCCCAACGACCTACAGCAGTCCATGTCTCCCTCTCATTCAGTCCCAACTCCTGTCGTTCAAATCACCAAACTCTCACAGGAAATTGCCACTTAATTACTGCCTAAATAAAATTTTAAGATTTTCGAGAAGACTTCTTGCGGATGAAAATTTTTTGCTGAAATTTCTGAATTTCAGCCACCGATGGTCCCAAGAAAACGCTCTGATACCAATTTGATATGAAGGACTTGAGTTCGCAAGTAACCACAAGGGTAATACTTGAGTTCGCAAGCAAACATAGCAAGAATCGGCAAAAACAACGAGTAAACGGGCTGATTTCAAAGATAAATCAGCAAGATCAAAGCAGAATTTTTAGTAGATTGGAGAAGAAAACATGAAGAAATTTCTTTGATTCAAAAAACAAACAAGAAACACAAAGCAAGATATAATTTTCTTCAATTTGAGAGGAAGATAGAGTCTCCATATCTCTAGCAAACCTAGAGCCCAAGAACACAAACCCTAGATCTCAAAATTGCATTCAATCTCAAGATAAACCTAACCTTAACTTCCAAAGGAGGACTAATTAAAGCCAAAGGAAGTTTACAAAATCCCTAAACAGACCCTAATTCAAACTTTCCCTCCTAATCGCTGTTTAAAATAGCAAGTGGGCTCTATTGAAGCCTCCGCCCCCTCCCTGTTTTTGCCCCCTGCTAGGCCGCCTGCTGTAAACATGAACCAGTCCATGTTGGACCGGTTCAGCCAGCCCCTCCTAGGCTGGCCCTGTAACAGGTACTTCATTAACAATGAGAGAATGGTGGGCGATGGGTGCAAAATCAAACAAAGAAGAAAAAATGAGAAAAACAAAGCAGCTTCTAGGAGAGCTAGAGAAAGAGATAAGTGAGAGAGGGAACTCAAGGAAAAGGGGGAAAACTTTGTCCTCCTTTTGTAATTGCCTGATCTCTTTCTATAATGAAACAATTGTTTCCTTGTCTACAATCAGTAATCCATATTAACCCTGATATGTCGAAGACCATAAATCTCCTGCTTGGCATGTTGATCGGATCACTTTTTATGGCATCCCATGGTGGTTCATGTCACCCTTCCCCTTCTCCTAATTTCTAGCAAGTTAAGATACGATTCCAATTGGTGAATGCTATAACTCTTTTTAATTATAATAGTTATGAGCTCTTACATCCTTTACTTATGTGACATTCTATGCACGGCATACTTTCTGAAATTTGAACAAACAGCATCATCCTATTTTATGTAACCTGCAGAGAAGCAGCTGTAGTTTCGGTGTGGCACTTCTATTGCACCACATATTATCATGTCGACCCCCTCTTTGCTGAATAGAATAAAAATATTTGTCGTCCCAAGTTTTTCTATATTAGAATTTTCAATCCCTGGACATGAAATTAGTGCTCTGACTAATTTTTCAATGAATAGTTTTATGATATGGGAGCATAAACGATTCTTATTATGCTGCCAACCTAAAGTTCATTCACTTTGTTCTATTGTAGCTCCACCAAACATCATTATTGTAATATGTTATGATCGATCCTGCAGCCGGCCCAACAGCCAAGGGGCGGGCCAACTGTAGGAGGCGAGACAGTTGGGGGATCGACCCCCCTTGTGGGGCCCACAAAACCAATCATTCCTTATGCATAGAGGAGGATTAAGGAAGGAGTTAATAGGGGGAATTTGAATTCAAAGTGAGGAGGGAATTTAATTAAGGAAAGGGTGTTCTTTTAGGGCTGTTTTTGAGGAAAAGAGGGGGATTAAATTGGGATGTTATTTTGTATTAGGGTTATATTTTTGGAGTTATTTTTCTGCTGTAGTTTTCTGTTAGGGCTTCCTAGCAGCGTCTAGGTTGATTGGGAGAGACGATCTGCCTCTCTAAGTGTACATCGATTGTATCTTCTGTTTCTTGTTAAGTTATCAAAAATCAATCATTATTTACCCTACATATGCCATAATTTGCTGTTTTTCTGTGTAATTTATGTTCTTGGTTGCTGATTCCTGCTCTCGGACATATCATAATGCTATCTACTTTTCAATCTTGACTGTTAATCTTTTTTTTTCCCCCTTCGTTAAACAATTCAGTTTTGTACTATGGTCGTTCGTTTAGCTCAGTTTGCATGTCGATTTCATATAATGCATTTTTGGTTTGGCAATTTCATGTTTTGTTGAACAAATTTCAGTTTTAGTTCCTGGAGATGGAGATGTGATGTCTACATATCTTTCTATCTGCAGGTGGGTTTCATCAAAGAACTCCAGAATAAACATCTTCCAATAATATTGGTATATTGACCACCATGATCTCGAGTCTGCATTCTTCCATGAAAAAACATATTTCTTTTGTTCATTTAGAATTTTTTTCTTTTTCATCAATATCTTAGTGGCAATCAATTTGTAGTTGAACCTCGAGCAAGACAGAGGATCTATTTTTGAAGCAATAATTCCATGGGTGGCAATAATGTCAACTTTTAGTTTTTTTCTTTTTATTTTTTATTTTTTTTATCAACAGTTTTTCTGTCCACCAACTTCTATTCCAACATTAATATATGTAAAATATTCATATTTGTTATCATCATCATCATCATTAGCCCTATCCCAACTATTTTGTGTTTACTTTAGGATCCACTTTCATCTTTGCTTAATGTGTGTTTGGGTTATTTGTCATAATTCCTTCAGTTGATTTGTATTCTTTGTTTTGTTTTGAAGATTGGACATTCTATTGGTTCGTATGTATGCATTGAAGTTCTCAAGAGATTCCCGGAACAGGTGATGTTCTCTCCTTGAGGCTTGTTAGATTTCCTTTTTCAGGAGCCAAAACCTTACTTTTTTTTTTTTTGTCTCTTGTTTGAAAAATAATTAGTTTTCTTCTTTTTTTTAGGAGATATTTTCCATTTTTCTGTACCCATTTTTGGCTTTAAACACAAGTTCGTCAACACAGTACATGATTGGGGTGCTTGCAAGGTATTTGATATGTCATCATGATTACATTTGTTTCATTCTCCAAATGTAGAATTATTTAGTGTAATTTTGTTTCCACTATCAGCTTTCTTAGAAATTTGTATTAACTAAATCGATATCTTGCAATTATTCCAAACAATTGAGATATATCATGTAGTAGAGGTGTGAGTGATGGATGTTTTCTTTTGAAAAAAAATAGAATAAAAAAGGCATTGTAGGCACGTCGAGCTTTCATTAAGTTTTTTTGTTGGTATACTCTAGGATAATATCTGAATTTTCACCATGAGCTAATATAATCTGGTTTTCTCTTTCCGATGATATGCATATGATTTCATGAAATAAACATATGAGGAGGTAATAATAAATCTTCTTTCCATGCAAGGATGGAACTGTGTAATGCTGAGGGGGCCTAAAAAAATTAGAACATTTAGTATAGTAAGGGTTATTTGAAATTTGCGCTCTCCCACTCCCCGAATTTTATTTTTTGCTCCCAACCGACCTTTTTCTCACGTAATTTGCCCCTCCAAAAATCAAAAAGCCTCTTAGCCTCCCGCTATTTTTCATCCGATTATGTTGAACTTTTCTAACACATAACAAACAAGTCTGCGAAAAACGATTATGTGCAAAATAAAATATTTTTGCACCCTTATATATATTTTTATTTTTTCTAAGTTTTTCACTTGTCCCCCTTGAGAAATAAGGCTAGTTCTGCCCCTGTTTCCATGTATTTTTTGGTATTATACTCAATAGTCCTTAGTAACTCCAGGCATATGCAAAATAAATAAATAAATAAAATGGCATATGTTTTGATACTAGACATTTAGGAGATGACAGATGCTGAGTACCTTAGCTGTTTCAGCTAACCTTTTGGTGTATGCCAATCTGTCTGAGATAAGCTGTTTTGTTTTTCTTTCTCCTTGGAGGTATAAATATGTGAAACTGTTACAATTCACTTATTTTGATCCATCATACTACCATTCGTGTGTAGTTAGGAGGGCAAGGATTTACTAGGGCATCATTGTTTGTGGCACAACAAAATTTAATCCAATTTTATTCAAAAGTAGACAAATATTGGTTAGGATTAGGGGTGTCAATTTCGGGTCACGGGTCGGGTTCGGGTCAAAACCGAAATTGACCCAACACTGTTCGGGTTCGGGTCGGGTCGACCCGTTTTTGCAAACGGATCGATTTTCTGGACCCGAACCCGACCCGCTTCGGGGGGTTCGGTGTCGGTGTTCGGGTCGGGTTCGGGTCAACCTGAACCCACTTGTTTCAGCCGCGGAAGCGAACAGCCAGCGAAGCCAGCAACGGGTTTCAGCCGCGGCAGCACCCCGTTAGGGCACGAGTGGAGACGGCGAGGTTTCAGCCGCAGCAGCGGGTTTCGGTCGCGCGCGGGAAGCCGGCAGCTATCTCGCACGATGCGAGGACAGCGGCCAACGGCTGTGCGGACGGCGGATCCGGTTCCGGAATGCCCTATGGGCTTGACCGCTTGAGCCGCTCGAGTCTTGACGCTGACAGATCGCAGACGACGCGGACGCGACGTCGACTCGACAAACTGCAGATGATGCGACAGACCGCAGACGCGATGGAATGGACGAATGATGCGAACCCGGGTCAAACCGGGTTGATTCCGGGTTTCCGGGTCAACCCGACCCGGTTTTACAAACGGGTTGAAATCTCCAACCCGAACCCGACACGATTCGGGTTCGGGTTGACCCGAACCCAAATTTTTCGTGTCGGGTTCGAGTCGGGTTTTCGGGTCATGTCCAATATTGACACCCCTAGTTAGGATGTCACCTGTAAGTTATTCACCAAAATTTTACCTAATTATGATGGAAATTGAGCAAGGATTTATTAGTTCTAAAACTAAGATTTGGTCTGCTAAATGGAATTGGTGACTTTAAATAGCTGTACAAGATGGACACAATTATAAAGAAAAAACAAAAAAAAGAATAAATAATGCTTGGTTGCAGGATACTAAATGAAAAAGGGAAAATCCAAGGGCATCGAGGAAGGTAAAATTTAATTGTATGTTGAAAAGCATTAAAAATAGAAATGAATCATTGTGGATACAGAGTTGAACAATGGAATTATTAAATAGAATTGTATAAATGATATTATGATTTCTATTAGCTTAGTCATCGATGAGGAGATTATAGATATGATTAGTGCTTGTGATGTTTATGTTGGATTAGAATATTGGTAGATCAATTTTGGAAAGAGATGAATGAACTATTACAACATATATTTGAGGGAGGATAAATATTTGGGGTGACTTACATGGACATTTTAGTTCTTGTTGGAGGGGCCATGAGAGAAAAGTAGTAGTTAATTTTATAGTTGAGCATATATCTACGTGCTGCTTGCCAAAAATAATGACCGTTACCATCACTATGTCTTGGGAGTCATATGATGAGCTGTCAGTGTGGGGTGTAAAAAGATAGGATATGTTGACAGCCAAAGAAGTCATAAGAAGGCCATTTCTAGTTAAGATGGTCAAATATTGCGTCGAACACATTACAGCTGCTTGAGTAGCAGAAAATTCATTGCCAGCTTGAGCCGTCTTTTTTTATGTATAAGTGGGAAATGGGGTTATCACTTGTTACCACAGCATTATTTTTCTTGATTTTATTGTTTAGAAATCTATTAGTATAGTCACAGACAGCAGACCAAAGGTCCTCTTTGGTCAAATGGGTTAAGCATATCATAGTTTACCATAATATGTTTAGTTTATTACTAAGTAGCCTCAGATTTGTCTTATAAAGTGCCATTTCATGGAGATGAATCGAATATTTGAGCAGTTAGTGATGTGATACAAACCAGTTCAGGAGTTACTTTATGGAAATTAAAGAGAGCAGATTTAACAAAATAATCCCAAAATAAATTTATTACTTATAACAATGATTGACCCTTAGAATTCTTAGTTTTTTAACTTGCTTAGGCAAAGAAGAGCGAAGTCGGTTAACCAAACAATTTAAAACGCAAATAGCAATTGCAAAACTACGACGATAAACAAGAATCTGCGATTTAATAAAGAGAACTTTCACCTTTGGAGCCCATACGCTCAACTAGTCTATGAAAGTTCGTTATGAATGTTAAGCCCTATAGAACTGGCCCAAGCTAACCAAGAGAGAGGTGAATTGGAAAACTTTAAAACCCATGATAAAACTCCAACTACAATCACCACAAACAAAGTGCGGAAGAAAAATAAATGCAGAAGCGATAATAAGAAAAGAACACACCGGATTTATAGTGGTTCGGTCAAACCTTGACCTACATCCACTCCTTGGAGGCACCCTCCAAGTATTGCACTAAAATCGTGACTCTCCTTTAGCCCCCACAGCTAGGTGGAGAAGCCCTTACAAAATCACTTAAAGAACGGTGATTGGAGGATGTCAACGTGATCTTGGTCGTCATGCACAAATCCAAAGTTCCATTCGGGCTCCGCCATGCATCCTCGCCAAGGGTTGAATGAGTACTCAGGATGGGAGAGGGAGGAGTCACGGTTTTGGAGGAGAGAGAGGGGGTGGGTGAGGTTATGAGGGGAAAAACTAAAATCTGAATTTTAGTTCAGATTTCCAAAAGTGAGGAGGGATTAATTTCATCTTTCAAAATTTGAAATTGAAATTAACTTATGAGGAAAGGGATTAAGGAAGTAATAAAAGATAATTAAAAGGGAAGAGAGAGAGGGGAGTGGCCGGCCATGTGGAGTGGGGAGAGGTTTGAGATTTAAGAGGGTGGGGACCACTAGAAATTAATCAAAATCTGATTTTAATTTCAAATTTTGATTGTTTCAAGTAACTCCCTAATTGAAATATAATTAAGAGGGAATTTGAATTTCAAAGATTGTAACTCCCCGTAATTAATATCCTAATTTAATTTGACTTAATTAGGAAATTCATTAGGTGCTGAGAATTCAAAATTCGAATGGGTGGGCTAGAAGGAACGCGCGGCCAGGCTTCACGGGTGGCCGGCGGCAAGGACTCCACGGTGGACGGCGGCCACTGGGTGGTTTTTTGGCTAGCGGGTGGCTAGTTTGCTGACCGGTGGGAGGTGGGGCTGCTGCTGGCCGACGGGTTGCTATGGGAAAGGGGCGGCGGCAAGGATCCAAGGAGGGAAGAAAAGTGCAATTCTTCTAGTGATTAATATGCCACGGCTTCACCTTGATTTCCCGCACCAATTGATCACAAAGATAATGGAGAAGAAGGTCTAGAACTCACAAAGAGATCTAGCTCTTCTCAAAACTCACTAAGAGATTTGAGAAAGAGATGCACTCACAAAGAGAACACAAAGTATATTTTCATTTCATTCCAAAAATTGAAATTACAATGCATGAGGCCTCATATAAATAGGTCAAAATGAAATAACAAGAAATGACACAAATGCCCTTCCGGGTTACATAAGCGACTCAATGCCCATAAGGGCAAAAGTGGAAAAACATAAAAATAAGATAAACTTCTACATAAAATGAAAAAATACAACTCATGATTGTTGACCTTCATGTTATACACAAAAGATCAAAAGAGAGGAGAAAACAAATAAAGTCCTCACAAAATGAGGGCGAAATCTCTGGGTAGTGTCTTATCTACAAACCCATCTGCCTTCCAAAATTTACCTTGGAACTTAGTTCGTTAAAACTCCCTCGCCGAATAAGAAGAGCGAGCGGAGGCCGGGGCTGAATTTTCGGAGCCCACAATGATCGAGGCCGTCGATCTCCGGCGTCTCATAATGGTACACGTGTCAAAAAATGTTGATGATGTCCTCATCAGTTAGTACTTTAAGAATGAAAGTTGCACCTAAAACAAAGATCAGCCAAATGGTTACTGTTATTGGCATTAGCTTATGTTGAATTATTGATTGAAAAGTCTAGCTGAACATTGCCAGCTTCTTGTTTGCTCTTATTCATCCTAATCTATTTCTGTTTGCTCCCTCTTCTAATTACTCGCTTGATTTCAGGTCTTCCCTTTTGAGTGCAACCTTCAGCTTTCTTGTGGCCTTGTTGGGGTCCTTTCCCACGAGAATTTCGGGAGCTCTTGTAAGTAGACTTCTTGGTCCATCATGTTCTACAACAGCAGTTGATGCTGCTTGCACTTGCCTCATGAAGGTTAGATTTCTTTTCTTGAATCTTTGGATATAAATTCTGTTGCTTTGTGAACCGCAAGCTTTAGTGATTGAACTCTGTTGTAGTACCACGTAATGTTTTCGGTCTTTTTATAAGAAATTGTAAAATCATCACTAACTGGATAAAAATTATTCAACAGAAGAAATCATTTTCATCATTAGCCTTATCTCAAATCTGTGCTGATAGCTTTGTGAATTCATGTTCTTAATTCGGTTTCTCTTTATTTCTATTTGAAGTGTTAAATATATTTTACTTTTTTTTTAGAATTTTAATTAATTTTACTTTTGGTCTATCCCTTTTGCTTAAGCATTACAAAATAATTTATTTTTCAATTTTATTATTTATCTTATACGCTTTGTTGGGCATGACCTTTATCTTCATTATATGCTTTCCGTATATTCATTGTCTATAATAATTTCTTATCAATAATTCCTAATTTTTTCACAAATTCATTTATCATTCTCATTTCTCCTGCACTTCAACTTGGTTGTCAATATTTTTTTGTCACTCAAAACTTAAATCCATATTACATAATTGTTGGTGGTTCTAGAGACCAACTTGGCAATCTGTGGGATCATGAAGCTAATGGTCCATCTTTGCTTGCAAGGTGATAATCTGTGAGTCTTTTAGCGAAAATCTCTCTTAAATTTCAAGAAAAATACATGCGTGCAAGGTGTGGAATATCTACCTTATTTTCAAAGATATAAATATAGAAACATAATTAATAACTTTTTTTCATATGACTTTTTTTTCATGTCATTACTAGGTAATTAATAGTTTTTCATAGGTATTAATTACCAAGAGTAATTTAAAATCATGTTGTATAAATAAAGGTACTACTTCCTTAATGAATTAAAAAAAAAAAAAACTAATCATTTCTCCAATCATCATGGTATCAAAGATGTAGGAACAAAAGAATCATGTGTATTACCTCTTTTTGCCTATAACATCCAGTCCCAAGGCTTGTCTGCCACTTCCTCTCTGACTCCTTGTTTTTGCTTTTCTACATGACTACTATTTACCGCCTGCACCCTCTTCTTCGAAAAATTATTCCGTCAGGTTACCTGACGTAGAGCTACATCAGGTAGCCTATAATATATCGCCACGTGCACTTACTCTTTACCGCGCGTCCCGACGACCCTACTCGGACCGAATCCGGGATTACTATGTTCGCGTATTGCTCAGTATTTGCTCGGTATTGCTTGGCAATAACGAGAAATACCGCTATGTGAAGACCAATACCGAGCAATACCGAGTAATACCTAAAAGAACTCGGTATTGCTCGGTATTGGTCTTCACATAATAGTATTTTTCATTTTTGTCGAGCAAAATCGACCAATACCTAGCAATACCGAGCTACGCAAACTCCCGGGTCCATTCCTGGTCTGATCGTCGGCCACGCGGTAAAGAGTAAGTGCACGTGACGACATATTATAGGCTACCTGATGTAGCTCTATGTCAGGTAACCTGACGGAATAATTTTTTCTCTTCTTCTTCTTATCTCCTCACTTGCACCCGGTGTCATCTCGAAAGGAGAAGACCTCAACCTGTGAATTCTATAAAGAAAAAGAGTGGAAGATCTTCTTTTCTATTAAAGGAAACATATTCTATATCTGGAGCCATTGACTAATCAAATGTTTTTTATCAAACCCTAGTGAGTAGCAAAACCTTAATTGTTCGTTCAAATTGAATGAATGAAATTATCTTATCTAGTCCCAAATTGTGAGAACCTTCCTTACATGAGAGGGAAAGTTAGACCATCTTATTACCCAGACCAAACAAAGATGATCTTGGTTTTACCACATGGGATGTAGAAGATTCATTGATTATGTCCTGATTGTGGAATTCAATGATTCTAGAAGTCATTGGAATCTATATGACCTTAACTATAGCCAAGAATATTGGGGATGCGGTGAACAAAACATATTGTAAGGGCCGTGATGCCACCTTAGCCTATAAATAAGACAAATTCATACCACCAAGCAAGGTACTCTTTCTGTTATTAAATATTATAACAAAATGAAAAATCAATGCCTCAAACTCAATAACTAGTAGTGTATTAAAATGAGATGCAATTAACATGTTGCAATGCTACAAACTTTTATAGGAGAAATAATTTATGAATTTTTATCTAGAGTAAATAATGAATATGGTCAAATGCACATTCAAATACTTGGAAAAATACTCCTTTTCCAGCCTAAATGAAATCTTATCTACTACTAGAATTGAAGAAAGGAGACATTGTGTTATATTAGAAACACGACCAATTGGTGTTAATATTGCTTTAATTCTTATCCTACAAAAAATGCATGCATAATTAAGCTACACAAGCCTAAATCGGGTCACCAAGGTCCAATAACCAAAATGTATGTTTCGCAATTATTGTAAAATTATAGAATATGCAAAAGACGTGTTGGAAACTTCAAAGGATGCCTCCATACAACAAAACCGAAGTCTCCATATAAAAAACAGTCCATACATCATTTAGCAAACAATGCTTCCATGGAAGAAAAAACTACCTTAGACATAGGACTAAGCAAGAAGAAATATAGAAACTCCATACCATTTTTATATCATTTGATAAACCAAAGAGTATGTGCTATGTGGCCCAATTAAGTGACTAGCTATTGAGAGTAGTTTAAATAAAATTTGGATAATAAACTCTCGAGCAACATATCACATGACTAGCTATTCAACTAAATTTCTTCCTATAAATCATATCCAGGTAAACATAAAATTAAAGTAACTAATAGAACCCTTGCCATTATTATTGGAAAGGGATCTATAAACTCACATATCCCCATCTACTATTATATGTGTTTTAAGTACCTAAATCATTTATAAACCTATTTTCTAGACCTGTCAATATTGGACCCGACCCGAAAACCCGACCCGAAAATTTCGGGTTTGGGTTTACCCGAACCCGAAGCGGGTTGAGTTCGGGTCCTGAAAACCAACCCGTTTGAAAAATCGGGTCGAGTTCGAGTTGACCTGGGAACCCGGGAATAACCCGAAATGACCAGGAATGCACACAAACCCGTCTGCCCGGAATGACACTGACCGCTTCCCGGCTGCCCCGCCTGCCCGGCGCCTGCTTGCCTACCCGGATGCGTCACGTTGCATTGCGTCCCGAGGCCAGGTCGCATCGCGTTCCGAACTCTAAAGCCATGTCGCGTTGCGTCCAGCGTCAGTCACCGCCTCGCTGGCGTCCGCGGCAGTTCCACGCCGCGTCCTGCGTCCGACGTCCGCGGCAATTCCGTGCCGCACCGCGTCCTGCATCCGGCATCCGTGGGTCGGGTCGGGTCGGGTTGACCCAAACCCGAAGCGGGGCGGGTTTGGGGCGAAGCGGGTCGGGTTTGGGTCCATAAAATTGACCCGTTTGCAAAAACGGGTCGGGTCGACCCGAATCCGAATAGTTTCGGGTTCGACCCGAACCTGACCCGTAACCCGAAATTGACACCTACTATTTTCTATTAAAAAATTAATATCTAACCTAAATTGTATTTTTGGTATGTTATCCTACTCCTTGTCCATTTTAGGATCGAACTATGAGAAAGATGATTGGGCATTCTAAAGAATGAGAAGGATTCCATTGTCTAGATACAAGTACTAATAATTACATATACCAATCTCATTTATCTCAAAATTCCGTTGCATGGAGGGGACAAATTTGATCATCCCATTTTCAAAAAATTCTTCTCGCGAGATGTTATTTTTACTAAACATTAAGAATTTTATGATTATAATTTTTTAGAGGAAGTTTTGAAAGAAATACATTTTTTATTTTCCCAAACTTGATCTCTAGACCACCCAACCAACCTAGAAAGTCTCCAATAACCTCGAAACTTCCTTGCATATCGATGTAGCCTCCTCATAAATACCCTATCTAATGAACTTGAATCATTACTGTATGTATACTCAATAAGGAAAGATGAATCCAACATTGAACCAAAGCATGCTCAACCATTTAATTAAATCCGTGCAAGATCATTCACCAGGAGTGAAGATGTGATCTCTATTCTCTACCTCTAAAATTCAAAGCTATCATGATAATAGCCTTCATATTGAATTAGGAATAGGAACATGAACATGCAGCCAATATCCAATATCCAACTTTATTTCACTTTGTAATATTTTTCCCTCCCACAAACCTTTTCTCTCTAAGATTAATAATATTATGATTCTAAGAACTATCTAAGAAGAATTTGAGAATAAAGAATAAAAAGTAGCCATGATTGAAAAAGATACATTCCTAAAAGAAAATCAAAACTCAGAAGATGGTAGAATTGCCAAATGGAAAGAAATTAATTGGATGTAAATGGAAAGACACTGTCAAATACATTACAAATAGGACATTTAAAACTTATAAAATATGGAAAGTGCTAAAGGATACATTCAAACCTAAGGAATTGATTATGGAGAAAATTTTGTACTAGCCACAAAGCTAAACAACATTTGGATACTTTTATCCCCAACATCCAACCTCACTGGTTCTTACAACATTTATATATATAAAAAAATGCATTCTTATGTGGCAAACTAGAAGAAGCCTACGAAACCTCTATCATATTCTAATCAAGATTCTAATACTTACCATATACAAGTAAAATCTTATATATCATACTTTATTAAAAAAGAAGTTGAATGATGCAAACTTATAATTCTTAAAGTGTTTTTGAATGATGTGTTTGTAATATGAGATGATTTCTAATAAATAAGTGTGAAAAAAGCCTCCTATAGTCAACCCAAGATTTTGCCTCCCATACTTGCACTTTGTTGCACTTCTCTTGGCTTTCACGCCTTGCAGCCCACCTCTGACCATCATCTTTCCTTCATATTCCTACTCTACCTCGGCAAGTTCTCCTTCTTTATTCTTATTATCAACTCATTGATCCATGTTATCATTGTTGCCAACTCACTAATTCATGGGCAACCCTATTATAATTAATTATGTATTTATTTGTTCAATTATTAATCTTGTATATTTCCTATAAGAAGATATAGGTTTGTATAAATTCATTACAAATATTGGAATGAAGCACATAATAAATTCTCTTCAATTCTTATCATGATATTAGAGCCTTAGGCTCTTCATCACTATGTTGCCTAAAAGTTGCAAGCCTTCATTGTCGTAGTTCTATTTCTTCCTTCCTCCAAATTTTTTCATTTATGCTTTTCATCATTGCAATCTTATTTCTACCCTTCATTCTTTTTGTAATAAATTTAAACAACATTTTTTCTTCCCATGAATCACAACTATACCTATGTTCCACTGATCTAAGATATATGTTATGAAACTCTACGGTTCCTATCATTTAGCAAATGAAATATAGAATACGATGAATCTAAATGTATTATAAATCTGATGCGGCCTAAATCTATGCAGCCAAAATCAAGATATTATCTACAAATTAAGGATGATGATTCATCACAAAACACAATGGATTGAATCAAATAAAGATAGTTAATAGATATTTGTTATGGTGTACATATTGTAAAAAGGCAAGACATACAAAGAAAAGATGTTGAAAGCTTCTAAACAAACCACAAAGCAAAAACTAGATGATGCAAAAGAATAAAGACACACACATATATATATATAAGTATGTGGAGAGAGTTATACATTAAAGAAAGAATTGCATTGCATATTGATTTCCACATAGAATAAAAGAAAAGTTGAAAAATTTTGTTTGGTTTTATCTAAAGGCTCCTACATAAGCATTTTTTTCTCATACTATGTTCTATGTATTACCTCGTTTACTCTTACTTCTAAGCTCAGAGCTGCCAAATAAAGTTTATGGATATTGATTCAAGAGCCACCAATCCATATTTTTATTTAGTTATTTACAATATTTTTAAGAAAAATAGTTTATTCTTGATTGATTCAGTATATAGATCCATTGGGTCGTGACATCACAAATATTTTTGGATTTCTCTTTCTTTAAAGAAAAAATTATTTGCATTCTATGTTTCACAAAACTATATTGTTGTTCATTTTGGACATTTTTTATTAGTACCCTTCATAAATTTGTGGCAAGATCATAATTCATGGACAAGTTAAACAATTTCATCCTCTAAATATTTGAAAACAATGCTTTCTTACAATATTTTAAGGTTCACTAATCATGCAAATGAGAATACAAGATCCATTCTAGAATTATTTTATGTTTACAAAAGATCAAATGTACAAACCTCAAATTGTCTTCATTGTATAATAGTTAGGAGCACTTGCATTTAAACTGGTGAAAATAAAATGTTCTCTGATTTTTAATCTTTATTTAAACCTGCAGTACCACACAATGCGCAATGTCTTATTCATGGCAAAGACAGAGTTTGAGAAGGTACAAATCCTTGTGCTAATTCACTCAATTACTAGAAAAGAGTAGTTATATTGTTCAATCGTGCTTCTTTTTTTTCTGAAAGAGAATATTGTTCGCTTGTTCCTATCACCTTCAGCTGAGGTTAATGATAACCTTTTTATCTTGATAACTACCTCGATTAGTAAATGCCAAATATAAAAGATTTAAGGATGTATTATCAAATATTAAGTTTGAAGTGAATGCTAACGGTAAAGATACCAAGATCTCCATATATGCTTACCAATGAATCATTCCATGAGGATAAAGAGATTTCCCCAACTTTTTCATTAAAAAAAAAATTGTATTGATAAAACGACACAAAAAGACTATTAACTAATATTAAGAAGGAAGACGACTTCATTTCCCACTAACATAATAACATATATGGATAAACCAGCTATATAAGCTGAAATTTGAGTATTTTTTAGAAAATGGAGTTATGAATAAAACAATAAGGCTAGTTGATGGGGGTTCATCACAGTTGAATGAATCTCGATCATTAAATTCTTATCCAAATTGAACTTTTGCCCGTTGTCCATTTGGTTTTTGCATAATTTTTTTTTTTTAGTTATTTTTTGTAAGCATTGATGATTATATTCTATATAAAGGGTACCAAAGAATGGTTAGCTGGTCATTTGATCTTTGAGAGGAATAAATATTCTATATAAATGCTTTATTTTTTTGGCTTTCATTTTGGTGGTAAACCGGTGGTTGTTCTTCACAACACTCTGTATGTCAAATTCCTTTCTTCAAAAATCTTTTTGATAGGGTTCAATGATACTCTTAGAGTTATAGTATATGAGCATTTTTGTCGCAGTTCTTTTGCAATATAATATTTACTAATTTAACCAAACACTTTGTGTATTACTATATTGATTGTGTTATGGATTTATCCTTATTGTACTTGTCTAGCTTTCAGAGGAGCCAGATTGGAGCTTCATGAAAGAAAAAAAGAAACAAATTGCTTTTTTGTTCGGCGTTGATGATCACTGGGGTCCATTGTCATTGTTTGAAGAGGTGAGTACTGCCCTTATTTCCTTCCTTTTATACAAATATCCATTTAATTGCTAAACTAGTATGGTTTTAATGTACCTTTTAAGCTTCAAAATGTTTAATTAGGGAGACCAATCTGTATATTATAAACATTAATGTGGGATTACTTATTTACTGGCCAAATAACCATGTAATATTAGAGAAATTTGACTTTATATGCTTCACAATAGTATAAATTGGAGAATATATATGCTATTTATTTTCTTGAAGAAATATTCCACATATTTTGATTCAAACGAAACTACCCCTAATAAGGGACAACTTCTTGTATGTTGAAGTCTGCCGTGAGCAAAGGTAGTTTGAATTCGAAACTTTGTTTGAATCTGACTCGAATCTAATTTGAATCCTGGTTCGAACCAAGGTTCGTTCACTGCAAGTGCGAGAAAGAGAAGAAAAGTTTAGGGTTTATGCTCATTGAAATGGCTTCGACAGCACATACGGTATATGAAGAGAAGTCACAGGCGGAGCTCATTGGGGAAAATATGATGAAGGCATGTGAAGGAGAAGAGAAGTTCACAATGGGAGCTTGCTGAGAGCATATTGATGAGAGCAATGGTGCGTGAAGGAGAAAAGGATTTTAGGACTACAGCTCGTTCAAGGCATCAACAGGAGCAAGGGTTTGTAAAGGATAAATGGATTTTATTGTAGGATTTCTTCAAGGGCGTCAACATGAGTAGTGGCATGCAAATGAGAAGAGGATTTTGTGATGAGAGCTCATGAAGGGATTGACGGAAACTACAACATGTGAAGGAGAAGAGGATTTTACGATGGGAGTGGCATTGTGTGGGGGAGGATAGAATTTTGCTATGGGAGCTCGCAAACATATCTATGGGATCAGTATTGTGTGAAGGAGAAAGAGACATTCGAACTAATTTTGGTCGCAACAAACTTCAATTATCTGTCCTCAGAAGATGAGAAATTTTGGTCTTAAACAAACTTACAAACACCTTTCTAAAAAAAAATAATAAACAATGGACATGTTTCTCTAATTTATGAATCATATAAAGTCAATTTTTTATTACATCGTTGCGTGAATACAACAAATATAATTGTAGCACAATATAAGCAATTCTAAGTACAGCAACCAAATTATGTTAACATCATTTCATATATTCCTTATGCTGAAAACCTTTACAATTGAATAATATGACTAAACTTTATGTAAAGGAACATACAAAATTTCCCCAACTGAGTATTCAAGTTTATCACTCCATACATACTCTGCTCTTTGAACTGTAGATTTCAAGACAGGTGCCTGGTGCTCCATTGTCAATAGAAAGGGAAGGACATACTCATTCCTTTTCGTGCTCCAAGGCCGGTTCCATCTGGGTTGCACATCATGTAGCGAACTTGATCAAATCTCGAGTTTCAAGTCAAGAATAGTCGCGATAAGGCTAAGGATTATGATAATGATGGTGATGGCGGTGATGATAAGCCTGCCAATTATTTGCATCATACTTCCATGCTTCCATTGATTCCACTAATAATTGGAGAATGAGGATTTGTTTGGAATAGCTTTCTTACTGTTTTCTAAAGTAGCCTTCTAGAAAGCTATCACAAACTAAACCTATGTTAAGCTTTGAGAAATATTTATACTGGAATTGGTGACTGTTTGTTTTGCAAGTGATTTCCTTCACATTACATATGTTTAGCCATATTGCTTTTTCATATATGATAGTCAGAGACAATGTTCTTCTTGTTTTTAGGTAATGAATGAAGAATTCCTCACCTTCACAATCTAAATTACAAGTAATTTCAAAATATCTAATCCCCCAACTTTCAAAATCATAATTTTACAACTAATTTTATAAATTATTGCAATCAATCAAGAGGGGTTTAATGGAATTTTATTAAGTTTGGGATGGGGGATTGTTAGAAGATTATTGTAAGCATTGTAATTTGTTTTTTAAAAGTCAGATAACAGAATTTTATAATTATTATATTTTATAAATTTATTTATGAAAAGTTTCTAATCATGGAAAGCTCCTACACATAAAATTTTCTTAGAAATAATTTAAAATAAATTATTACAAATAAAAATACAGCAATAAAGTAAAATAAGTTGTCAAAAAATTGTATCCAACAGATCATAAATCTTAACTTTGATTTTGTATATTTTGTATTTTCAGTTATTGTAATACTAATTGTGAAATTGTTGTTGAAAATACAATTTTTTAAAAAATATTATATATATTATTAATTATTTCTCTTAAAAAAAATCAAACTATAATTTCATATGATTATCATACTCTGTAGAAAATTCCTTTGCATCATAACAAAAATTTAAAGCTCATAATAATCATTAATAACTTTAAAAAGTTGTAACAAATATATCTTATTGTGTTAGAAAATTAGCGATTAGAGAGAGTTTTATATCTTAGTTTTACATGAATATTCAACACATATAAAAAAGAACGATGCAATAGACACAAGAATGTAGGAAAAAAATCACAAGTTATGGCCCAATTGAAATAATCAATTATATTTTTGAAGTTATAGAAACTTGCTCTTTCCCATGTTTAGAGAAGATTGGAAGAGTTTCTTGGTCTTTCGGAGTTTTAGGAGAGATTATGAGAGTAATGGAGGGATAATGATGGTAGATGGATGATGTCAGGGGAGCAACAATGGTTGTCAGACAATAGTAGTCATATGACGAAGAATGGGTCATGACAGTCAAATCAAATAGTCGGGGTGCCTTGTGGCGATTATCAACATCGAATGTCTGGTAGAGTTTTAGAGCTCTTCAGATCTCCAAGCCCTCTCTAATCTCAAGTCTAAGTACCCTTCGTATGAAGAATATGGTCTATTTATTATATTTGGGATTGACATTTTGATAAATCTCGCTAAAATTCCATAACACATTCTATTGGACATTCCATATTAATCTATTTGATCATATATTATTTATTCAGTATTTAATTATCTTAATGACATAAAAATTGAATAATTTTGAGCTTGTTGGATTCGTGACATTCGTCTAATCAAGATGCTTATATGATCATTCAATTAATATATTGAAGTTTTGAATCATATTTCATGTGCATGATTCAGACTCATTTGAACCCAAATCAGATTGCTTTTAGTGTTGTTAGATTTGTCTTATTAAAACATTTAATTCGACCATAAATTTATTGAAATCGGAGAATAGATTGTTCTAAATTTAATTCAAATAATTTTCTAAGTAATGCATCAAAAGTGAATTTCTTGGAGAGATGTCACACCTTAAGACTTAATATATGTATATCATAGGGCTGCCTTGATTTTTTTGTAAATAAGAAATTTATTTTTTGCAATGAGAATTTAATTGGCAATTTACAATAGTACCATAGTGATATATAAGAAAGACAAGCAATTTATAATTGCTTTTATTAAAAATATAAGTTTTTTTTGCAATAAAAACCTATTACGTAATAAAGGAAAATTATAATAAAATAATGTTTATAAACAAAATACCTTCAATTTTGAAATATGGAATTAAAAAAAGAAAATGATTTTATAAACTCTACTCAAATATTTGAGATAAGAATTAATAAATAATTATGAAGAAAGGTGACTAACATCATTTATTTAACAATGTAATTAGTTATGAATGAGATTAGGTTAGACCTAACTAATGATCCTAATAATAAGACAATCTTCTATCTTAAAAGATATCAATAAATAACCAAAACATCATACATCAAATAATAAAAACCCTTTAACTTATGTTAATAAGGTATTATATTAATTAGCTAAACCTTATTAAAAACTACTAATTCTATCCTTTTTGCTTTATAGCTTATTATAAATAATATTATTGCTCTCCTTCTTTGTTTTCTCATGGAGCAACTTTGTTCTTGTTTTGAATCATGAATGAGAGCTGTTGAGAAGTAGTTTTCAATCACCTTCTCCCAAAGTTATCATTATTTTTTAAATTCTTAATAGGTTTTAATCTATAGAATTATTTAGGTTTATTTGAAACGGCTTTCTTAGGGCATCTCCAACCGAAAATCTCATTTTTCACTCCAAAATGCAGGAAAATCAAAAAATGCCGTGTTTCATCTCCAATCCAACGTCATTTTGCCGCTAAAACCGTTCGTTTTCTTTCACGCCTTTCTTCCCAACCTATTCGGTAGAGAGGAAAAAAATGGCGCACATGAACAGTGTGACGCCAATATTTGTGTCGCACTGTTCATCCGCGATCAAATGGCGTCAAAAATGGCGATCGGTTGGAGCAAAGCAAGAAAGGCAAACAAGTGTTTGCTGTTCGGTTGGAGATGCCCTTACTGCTTCTTAAAGCACCGTTCTAGCATAAAATTTTTTTATTTTTTACTAAAAATTTACTTTTAAATGCAGTACGAAAGTCATCCCAAATAAAATCTTGGTGTATATATGTCATTTTAGTTTAATTGTGCAAAAATAAAATTGATTAGTCAAAACTATTCATTTATTTGAACAAATTTGAATATGGGAAGTTTTATCACATGTGATGATCAATTTGATTTCTTCTTTAAATAGCAAGTGATTCTCTACTACATTAATTATATATAATTAGAGGAATAGAAGGAAGATTATCTTAATATAAAGCATAATTATAACCTAAGAACCTTATCAAATGCATGTGTCACTTGCAAACCAACTTTTTTATATAATGAAATTCTGAATTGTCCGTAAATTATACCAAATTATTCAGAGAATATTAGATGAAAAGACAAGAGAGAACTAGAGAGCGAAAAATTCTAGAATAAGTGTATTTTTATAAAATAAGATTAAATACCAAAAAAATATGTAAAAAGTGTCATTTCTTGACCCCCTATTTATAGATTTGGTTTGGGACTTGAGTGTTATAGAATTGTCGATATACTAAACTATATAGAAAATAAAAGAAAAATAAGACACTTAGAATGTTTGACTTGTAGAAGTCATCCGCTAAGTAAGAAGAAATCACTGGTTGACATCTATAAATGAATATATAGTCGAATAATCAAGCAATAGTTTCCATATAAAGAAAGTCGTTCACTTAAGTAGTCAGTAGGGCATACTTCATAGGTTGTACTTGTTATGGCTGATTTCATAGGTCGTACTTGCTTGCTTGGAACAATCTATTCATATATCATAGTTATCTGCTTGGGTCGAGTTCATTTATAGTATGGCGAGTTCCTTTTAAGCTGAGAGATTTGATCACTAGATTGGTTTAACTTGAGACTGGCTTGTCAGAAGAGCCGAGCTCCAAATCTTAGCCCGTATTCTAATTGATATATCAAAAATTTGAATCCTTTTGAAGTCTTTAATGAGGCAACTTCAAAATATGCCGAATATAATGGCGCAATGAATCCAATAATGTGGCGATAGTTCAATGATGTGTTGAGTTTGATAATAAACTTCAACTTATAAATAAATTCAAGCTGATTTTGAATTAATTTTAAAACCTTAGACATCATATTATATTTTTAATCCAATACTTATTGGATAATTAATCTATAAAACCTGCTTAATTAGGTTTAACAATGAGATCTCATTAATAAAAAAAACAAATTACTCCAACCTCACCCTAACAACTAAGAAAAAAGCATCACTATCAAAAGTGCATCATGCGATGAGTTAATTCAACATGGAAGCATTCACACGTGCATGGGACAATAACTCCTATTGACTTTTTTTTTTAATTGCTGAAAAAACTTAGCATATAAGTAACTATAAAAATGACCCAATTGATAATATAATTATATTTGTTAGTATGACATTTTAGAAAGTCTTAGCAAGTAATCAATATTTCTACTATTACATACTTTAGAAATATTAAGTAAGATTTCGTTTGAGACGACTTCCTTAGTGCTTTTTAAAATAAATTTTTAATAAAAAAATAAAAATTTTATGCTAGAAAACTGTTTCAAGAAGCAGTAAGAAAGTCGTCCTAAATGAGGCTTTCTTACTGCTTCTTAAAGCAGCTTTCTAGTATAAAAATTTTAATATTTAAACTATATATGATGTTGTGACACGAAGTATATAATATTGATCTCAAATCAAATCGAGAGAGCCGAATTAATATTGAATTTCACTACAATTTTTTTTAAGATTTTTCACATTAAAATCATAAGCATTACTCATTTTAATTTACTTATCTTGTTATTTATGGAGTGCCATTAAAAATTAAGATGATTAAAATATTTCTCTCTACTACTTGACTTGTAGCACTCAACAAAGAGTAATGTAAAAGGAGAATAAAGTTAGACACTTTTGACTTACATTACTGATTATTATATTCAAACTACATTAACTAAAATTTTCTTGAATTTATAGTCTACTCAAAATAAAAAAGAAAATAATTATTTCTTATGATTTATGATTAATAATATGTATAGACAATTTGCTTTACATTCACATTACAATGAATAAAAAAGAAAAAAAATTTAAATATTATGAGTAATTTTTTCAAATAAAAATGAATTTTCTTAGACATGTTTGGAGCATTTTATAAAGATGATTGTGAAGCTGTTGTGAAAAAATAATAATTTTTTAAAAGCTTCTATGAATATTTTAAATAAATATATATATATATAATTTTTTAAAGCTATAATATATTGAGCAAATACTGAGTTGTACCGAGTTGTAAAAAAATCGGTACAACTCGGTATTTGCATGGTATTGGTCTTCACATAGCGGTATTTCTCATTTTTGCAAAGCAATACCTAGCAAATACCTAGCAAATACCGAGCAAATACCGAGCAATACCGAGAAAATCGAGAACATAGCATTCCCGGGTTCCGCTCCGGGTCAAGTTGTCGGGACGCGCGGTTTAGAGTAAGAACACGTGGCGACATGTTATTGGCGGCCGAACGTAGCTCTACGTCAGGTCAGATGACGTAATAATTGTTCCACAAATAGCCCCTTAAGCTTCACAGCTTAAAATTAATTTTATTAAACTTTAAACTAACTCATATAATATTCACATATCCGGTGATCACCGAATCGCATTCCCGATTGGTAGGCACCAGCCGAGTCAAAATCCCTCCCTCAAAGCCCCCACCTTTCCATTTAATAACGCCAGCAAATCAGATAAATCTTCTGAACTGGGTGGGAACTCAGTCTCTCCCCTTTCTCTGTTATCTCGCCACATCATCGTCTGTTCTTCTCCTTCTCTCTCTGATCAATCCATTTAAACCTTTATAAACCTTACCCCCACGCGACTCCGCTGCTCCAAAGTCTCTCTACCTCATTAATCGGCCAAAAATCTGATATTTCTGTTACCAGAACCAACTAATTTTACTTCAAATCTGCAAGTTATCCCCTTCTTCTTTCTTAATTTCTAATCACAACGAATCAATCTGCACCAACCTCCATGTCTTCTTCAAGCAAAAGATTCTTACTACGCCACCCTACAGTCGTCGACACCGGCTGTAGCTGCCGGAGTTCAAAGCTCTCGTCTTTCTTCTCTTTATCCTCCTCCTCACAGAAACACATGTCCCTCAAAACGCCATTTTTCTCCCCCTCTTCTGCCACCACAACGACCTCTCAATCCGATTTCAGCCACGACGCTCCCACCACACATCGATCCTCTTCCTTCGATGACTCTCAGTCATCCTCTCCGTCGCCGACGAACTTTCCGGCGGACTATCTTAGAGAGAAGAAACGGGGATTGAAGAAGAAGGGCGTGATGGAGCAGAGCGTGGCGGTTGTCAAAGAGTCCTGGAATCCTTATCTTGATTTCCGTGCATCTATGATGGTGATGATTGTGGAGAATGAGATTTACGCTTGGGATAATCTCTGTGACCTCCTCAACCAATTTCTCTCACTTAATTCTCCTGATCAGCACCGTCACATCCTCCGCGCCTTCGCCGAGATCTGGAATGAAGTTTTTTCTCCGTCAGCCGCCGGCGGCGGGAGCGGGCCATCTGCCTAGCCGGTGGGAATGAGGATTACCGGAAGGAAGGGTGCAGAGAGTTAGAGCCGTTAACGGAACTGTCGTTTGATCCGAATGACGTCAGCAGGTAAAATAGATGGATTCCTGATGGAGAATTTCTATTATTGCGCGAATCTCTCTCAAGAAATTTTATTTCTTTTTAGGGAAATTGGAGAACTTGATTTTCTTTTTATAAATTTATTTTACCAAATAGGTCTTGAGAATATACATTTTTATAATTTTTTTGGCTCGTTTAATTTCTTGCAAATAAATTTTTTTTTTAGAAATGTTAATTTAATAAGTAATTCTTCAATTTTTGAAAATATATTTTCTATCTTTTAATAGACAAACGAGCCTTTTTTTTTAACAAATATGATAGATAAATAGGGAATCATCTATATGAATAGCCTGGCTTATTAGGTTTGTTATTTTTATTTTAGGTGTTATTTGATCTCAAAAATAATAGCCCCTAGTGCGTGTTGTTTATGATGAAGAAAAATTATTGCTTGCGATGTCCGGGAGGCCAATCCAAACGTGCCACATCACCCAATGCACAGTGCATTGGATGATGTGGTGCATCCGGATTGACCTCCGGACGGACTCTGCACATAATAATATCTCATAATGAGTTACTATATGAACCTGGGAGAATCACCTTGAACCTAGAAAAAATCTATAAAATGTTAAGGGAAAGCCAAGATACCAACAAACTTAGGAGGAAATTTCAACTAGTTGGTGAATCAATACATGTTCAACATGAAATATTTGTGATGATGTAAGTGTTGACCGAGTAGATCAAATACATAATTTCAACCAAGATGTTATGAAAGATCATTCTTATAGAAGGGTATTATGGTCATGAAAATGAGAAATTTATGAGAATTTTTGTAGGATAGAAGAAGACTTGGAAGATGAGGATATTTAGCATTCTTTCCAAGATATATTAACCCTTCGAAGTAGAGGCAACAATTGATTCCTCTATCATCAATGGAACCATAATTGTAGAAAAATTGGATTCATATGTGGATTATCTAGAAACCTATTTTAACATTCATGATTACACACCCTAAGAGATAGTCGCATTTACAATACTAGATCTTTCCAAGTACAACTGGGCTTATAAAATGAGCATATAAGATATAGGATGAAGATATCTCTCAGGGTTAATTCAAGAAATTAGTCCTTCAAGAATTCTACTCAATGGTGTATGAAAAGAAAGATGAAAGAAGAGATATGGGTTGCACCAATGACAAGATTAAAATGTATAGGCTTGCACCACAGAGTTCATGAGATAACCCTGAAGATTGGTGCATGATTTGAACTTGTGTCCATGTTGATGAAGTATATGGAAAGGATGTATGAAAACATCTTTAATGAGCTCATTCTCTGCCTTACTAAAGATCTTAGTCTAGCTATTATATTTGTTATTATAATCTAGATAGATTAAGAACACAAAATCTTATACTGAGAAAAAAGAAAATGAGATCAAGATTATCAAGAAGAAGTGAAACAAAGAGGATTATAATAGATGTAACACTGCATATTCTTCATTTAGATATAACATTTACTATGCTCATTATTAGATCTCCGTACATTGTAAAGAGAAGTACAATAAACTTCATCCCAAACTATTTTTAGAGAACCATTAAAAAGATGTGAAAGGAAACATTTGTCTATTTTTTTTAAGCATCATCATTGCTTGGCTCTAGCCTTCCCTTTATGAAATTTTCAAAATGGAATGAACCAAGAATAAAGAACTTGACATGAGTGAGCATGAGAAACTATTTTTCTCATAGAGCAAAGTGAAATAAGAGCTCGTGAATGTCATTTCAAATAAGGAAGTCAAAAGACTTTAATATATGTTATTTTATTCAAGCAATATGGACTCTAGATGACACCTCATCAGCATTCATATCATTTGAAATGGATTCAAATAAATTAGAAATATGGATTAATATATGATTTCATGTTCACTTTGAAGTGTCTTGAGTATATTTGTTAAAGCTTTTTTTACTTGGAGTATAGCGGGTAATCTCAAGAGTCAATATAAAGGACACTGAAGAGCATAAAATTTTCTAAAGAGATCCAAAAGCTCACTCTAATGTAAATACACCTTAAAAAGATAGAATAGCTCTACAAGAGTGGGCATGCTCGACATTGAGAATAGTAGTTGAAAAAAGTAGATATTGTGTAACTCTACATCAATAAAGATTGAAAGATAATGAACAAAAAATAAATAAATCTGTAAGGTATAGCACATTCAAAATCATGAAGATGATAAGTCATGTAAGTTGGACTTGCCTATTTGCATGAAGATCTACTCAACACGCAACAATGAATGTGTAAAATCTGAAAGCGTTCAAATGTTTTCTATTGGATGATGTGGTGCAAGAAGTTAGGTCAAAAGGACCACCTCATGGAGGAACAAATATTGGGGAAATGAATCACAATTTCACATTAAGACATCAAAGACATGTACATAATCGATAGGAGAGGGGATGTAGCGTCCAAGGCAAAGAGGTACACTCAAGAGTGATGAGATGTTTTTCTTTACTCTAGCGTGATTCATATGAGTGAATTGTCTTCTAAGAGGGAGTATATGATTAGTAGATTAATAAATCAATGATGTGGCCTGAGTCTAGCCAAAATTCATGGAAGTTATGAAGGGGCTATTTAGATTAAAGAGCATTGTTGAGGTTAAGGAGCGTTGTTGTTGAGAGAATTTCAGGAGAATAAGATATATTAAGATGTGTCTTGGGTGAATTCCTGAGAGCCATATGCATGATGCCAAGAAGAGAACTCGATGGCCAAATAGCCCGAGGAAGCATGAGTATTTGAGAGACATAACAACTTTTGAACTTGAAAAGGCCATCCACCATAGAATAATGATGGTAGACTAACAATATCAATCTATATTTATAGCATTAATAGTGGATCCCATAATTTATAAAATTTATATGTAGAGTCATAATTTCATGTAATAAATAAATAGCATGGATTGCATGATCCACTATTTTATTAAACAAAAAAATGAGATCCAACACTTTTGTAAATGTCAATATTTGAGTAAGAATTTAACAAATAAAAAAAAAAATGATATTACTTTTGTAAATATTTAAGATTTGAGAATTGCATATAAAGTTGTCTAACATAGTTTCCAACCACCACACTATTTAATTTTACAAAAATTTTAACTTTTAACAATTAATCTAACTAAGGCTTCTTTTGGGATAACTTTTTTTCTACTTTATATAATTATTTTTAGTACAAAAATTTCTAATTCAAGAATTATTTGTATTATAAAGTTATTTTAAAAAGCAGCAAAGAAGTTGTCTCAAACGAAACCTAAGTGTCCAACAATTACAATTATTAGGAAAACATTGAATTGAAAATAAATCTTCAAAATTCATATTGACAGATTTTGATCAATGAACATACACTCTGTGAGCTAAAGAAAATGACTCTATCGGACAATAACCTAAACTTTAGACCCAAATTAAGAATTCTTTAAGTTCAAGATACATATGTCTAATCTAACAGGGAAAAATTATCATAATATCCTTATATAAACTACATTAAATATACTTACAAATCATTGAATTTGTTTTAAAATTATTGCCGTGAATAAAGAGTTCATCGTGCGTATTTCAAACCTATTATGATAAAATTTATTTGAGGATATGTATCCCAACAAAAATTTTATTATTGATTCTTTCATTCCTCTATCAAATCTAATTTGCTTAATTAACTAAGAACTCATAGTCTTATTTAACTGTTTTTTTCTAGGATAATAAACAAGTATTTATGTCATACTAAAAATATTAGCCCAAATGAGCAAACCCTTTAGCAAGGAAACCTGCTCTCCAAAAAGCCCAAATCATGACATCCACAAGGCCCATATTCTTTATAATAATTGTACTTATAAAGAACTTTCTAACATTAAATGTGTATGGCTTAAAATAGGGGTGTAACTGATTCAAGCCCATTTATGAGTCGGCTTAGGCTCGAGTCAATAAATGGTTGATGAGCCGAATTTGATAAGCTAACAATGCAAGCCTGATTAGCCCCCAACTCGAGTCATCAGACAAAGGGCTTCTTAGGATAATTTTTTTATTTTAATTTAACAAAATTTGATGTATATATTTAACATTTTTTTTTTAAATTTTAAATTTTATTTTATATATTTTAATCAAAATACTTTTTAGTTATTTTTTACTTTTTAAAAAAATTAAAAATGTTCCTAAATAATTTGTTGTTTTTAGCCATCGTTGTTGATCACCATTACCATTAGCCATTAGTGGCTTATACAATATGCAATAAAAATATATCTTATTTAGAATATCAAATATATTTTAATATTAAAATAAAAATAAAATAAATTCAAATATGAAAAAAAAAATCATGAAGATAACCCTAAAAAAGTATCCAAAATTGATCTCCAATAACTATAGTAAAACTCGCTAGAGAGGTAATGAAAAGTGATGTTAACGGTAAGATGATGCCAATTGGACTTTGTTGGCAGAGTGGTGGGGGTTGAAGTATTATAGTTGATTGATAAAACTTCAACGATGGTCGTAAAAAATTACAAACAAGACATAACGTTTGGGCGATGTCAGTCAAATAATGACAATTAAATGATAACGAATGAACTATGATAGTCAGGCGGCGATGATCAGGCAAAGACAAGAAGGTAATGTGGTCAAGCAACAACTGCGAGTGCAATGACTGTTGTTGTAGAACATCATATAGAACTCTAGAATATTTAAAATATCATATTTTTCTCTAATTTACGGTCCAATTTCATTCGTATGGAGAATGGAGCTTTATTTTAATTTTTTATAGTAACATTTTAATAAATTTAGCTAAAATTCAAAAAACATTCTATTAAACAATCTATATTGACTCATTTTATCATAGATTGCTCTTTCTACACTTAAATGTCTTAATGACCTCAAAATTTAGTGATTCTAATATAGTTGGATTTTACTCATGGATTCACTCATTTTGATTGTATGCATGCAAAGATTATTAAGTCCATAATAATTTAATTGTTTCATTTTCAAATAAACAAAATTGATATTAATTTTAAAATTTTATAAAAAAATTAATAAATAAAATCAATTGTAATGATATATAAATAAGTCTAAAATTTATTAATAATTATAATGGTTAATTTATTATTGGATTAACAAATCATTGTGGATGATAATAGTCCATAAAAATAGTAATTATTAGATAATTAATATATAAAAATATATTCTTAAAATTCATACTCTATTATAAAATGTATTTGTAAATTAATACATTTGTAAATATAAATTATATATAGAGAGAGAGAATAAGGCTCTAATAATAAATATTAAAGTAGGGAACTTTTGGGGGGAAAAGGTTGGATAGATAAAAAGAAATATGATAAGGTTCAAATAGTAATAAAAATATTAGTTAATGACAAAAATAATTGCAGCAGCAGCAGCAGGTTTCAAGGCTAAGCGACACTATGGGTAGTTGAGTTGAGAAGCTTAGCTTTGCATCAAAACAAGCAAGAATCTTCCACAACTCCCTATGGACTAACTAATTTGCAGTAAATTACATTTATAAATTTAATTTTTATGTCAATAAGACATTTATTTATCTATAGAATGATCTATGATCAAATATTTGATATAGCATTCATGAATTTTTATTTAAGTCATCAAAATTTATTCCAAAAAATATAACTAAGCCTGTGACCTAAAATTGGAGATAGTTTAAGGATCTGTGGATCTCTAAAGTTATTTCAGATGATCAATTATGTCGATCGATCATTGCACAAACTATTTTCGTCGAATCGTTATCGCACTACTGTCATCATTTGATCGTCATCACCTTACTGATCTCGTCTAACTCTTGATTTTTGTCATCACACTTATTTGTCTCTATACTTTTATCCATCACAATCACCACAGGTCAAGCTAGTAATTCGTACTCCGTAATCGTATTTTCTCCAATTGAGAGGAAGTGTGAGCTTCTATAATCTTACATAGTTGATTATTTCAACTCGACGAAACTTTCTGATATTTTTCTCCTGTTCGAATATTTCAGATAAGAACTTTAGTGTCTCTTACGAACTTCTCCATCTATATACGAATCTGATAAAAATAACTCTCATTCTACCTTCACAAAATTTTTAGCTCCCAACAAACATAATTTTTTAATGAATTAATTACATGTGAGCAGATTCACAAGAACAGAAACAAACAAAATCCTGTTTGAAGAATCTAATGATTATATGCTAACTGCTAAGCTTAGATCACTTAAGTCAAAATAAAATTGCTTATAAAAATCTCATTAATAAGATAAACCAGTCATAATGCCAGAAAAGACAGCCACTCTTATTCTATTTTCCAGGCATCTTACATGCCCATGTTCTCAATAGAAATGGCTAATCCCTCTTTTTTTTTCTCTCTTTTTCAATTAATTGGTGCATTCACCGACCAGAATTACTAAGGCGTTCGGACGACTTTTTGAATGCTTCTTAAAGCAGTTTTTTTAGTAAAAAAATTAATTTTTTTATAAAAAAACTGCTTTAGGAAGTAGTAAAAAAGTCGTCCCAAATCAAATCTGAATGGGCATTTAAAACTGTGGTCGGAAAAGGAGCTTTAAAAAATAAATACATAAAGATTATGCTGCCCCTAACAAATCACTACTTGAAATGTCCATTTAAAAGCTAATTTATTTACAAAAAAATTATTAAAAATCAACATTTTGATAATAAAATTATTAAAAAACTTGAGGTTGAGCTTTAATGCTCATGAATTTACACTGATATTAGTACATACATATGATATAATGAATTGCACTAATCTCAATGCAAATCCAGTAGCATTCAAGCTCATTCTAAACCAATTCTTTTTCTACTTTTTGTATCGACAAACAAACACGGATATAGATGCATACATTATTCTCAATTCATAATTTCCAAATTAGAGACAGCTCGAGCCCAACGGAATTTACCTACCCTTTTATCACTGTCATCTGTATCAAGTCCTACTTTATTTTTATTTTCTTAAGAATCATATTATCATATTTAAATTTTTTTTATTATTAGAATAATTTCCTCAAGTGTGCATGCATTACTACCTACTCTTATCATAAGTAGTTAAGTACAACATAAACAATAAAATAATTTTAATTAATTAGAGTTTGTTATCAAAGTAGTAAACCAATAGCACATGCTATAGCTTAGATTATAAGAATGTGGCATTATTGAGTCTTTGACACTTCCCAACACAAATATTCCAATTAGGCAAATTCCTCCCTATTTATTATTTAAATGTATAAAATATCTACATGAGCACATTAAAAGAAAAATAAAATATTATATATAAGAAGAGAGAAAATAAATATATCAAAATATATTAGCTACATCTATGATGCACTGATATTTTATATTAAGAGGAACTGTAACGTCCAATAAATATTTGACCTGAACACGCAACCTACATATATTTGACACATGTCATAACTGAACATGCAATAAAAAAATAATGAACACCATTAAAACTCTGTAAGGCTATTCTATTTATTTCGTTTAATTTATATATTTTTATTTTTAATTTAAATATATAAAAAATTATAATATTGCAACCAATGTGTTTTATTATTCTATATTTTCAATAATAGACATGTCGCGTGTTATATTAAAAAGAAGTTGGCCTGAAAAAAATTATTAATTTATCCAATAAGCAAACCTTATTTAATAATGGATTGATCTAATTTGAGTTTGATCCAAATTATGTTTTTAAATTTGCATAAATTTTTCATCATTCAATTTAATTTTGATAAATTATAAAAAAATTGGGCTTCTAATATATAATTTTGATGAATTATATATGCATTTGCCATAAAATGAATTAAATTAATTCAAATCAATTAAAATTTGAAGGTATCATTTTCGAATAGAAAAGATAATTAAATCTTAAATGAATTGAACGGCTTTTTTTATTTAAATTTTTTACTCAATAAAAATTTGTTTCTTATTTTTAATGATCGTTATGAATCCCTAATATACGATTAGTTTGAAATTAAGGGAGCTTAACAATAACCAAAATTGATAAGTAAACGTCGGACTCAAAAAAATAGCCGTTAGGTTCATGGCCATGTAATCCATCTAATTAATTGACCGTTAATTTAAAATAATTTAAATATAAATGCCACACAGCCTTATCCACTGCTAAAAAAAATTATAGGGTGAAAACTGTGATGCAATAAATATTAAATATAATACAAAATTATGCATTTTATATTTTTCTCATTAATTCATTACTTACATTATATAAGAAAACAATATCATGTGGCATAATTAAAAAGCTATATAAAATGGAAATTAAGGAGCGAATGAATTGATCTAAAATGATCATATTATAAAAATTAAGGCTAATTTAGCTAATTAACTCAAAATAAAAAATTAAAAAATTTTAGTCCTTCAATTGAAAGAATAACTTGAAAAAAATAAGATCATGTAATTTTGTTATTGCGTTATGTGTGTGAATTTGCCTTAAATGACCTAAATGTTCCAAAAAAAAAGTTTTAAAAATGAAAGATTTTTCTCTCATTATAACTTGATATATTAAACTTTTATTGGAAGAGATGAGTGTAATACCAATATCTCCGAAAATTAACATGCGTGTGTGTTCGAGTTGAGTACAAGGAGCGAAAGCACACAATCATTCGATCATGCATATATTCGTTCTATAATAGATTTATGTGAATTATCAATTTGATATAATAAATACTAACTTGATAAATTTTAAAATTTGAGATAACTACATCCTAAAATGGGTGAAATTATTACGTGCGGTTACTTAATGCCGTCTGGAGGTCAATCAGGACGCGCTACATCACCAATATGTTGTGCGTCGTTATTGTGCACAGCTATGTATCAGGTGATGTGGTGCATCCTGACTAGCCTCCAGACAGTCCAGTGATCACACGTAATAATCTCTCCTAAAATAGAGCTCTCTTATTGATATAGTGTTTTGGAAGAAATGTTTTTTTTACTGTGATATGATGCATATAATGTAGGAGATTCACATGCATGTCATGAAAAATTTTTATAGTTATAAAACTAGCCAGTTGTATTTAAAATGAACTAGAGAACTCATTATTATTGTGCCTATTGCAATCAAATCATTCAAAAGTTATTTAATGTGAAATATTAAGATTGAGATTTTATTGTATTATTGGATATAAAAATTATGTTATTATAAATGAAAATTCTTAGCATTAGTTTTGTAAATTAATAAAAATTAGATGGTATATATGTAATTGCTCCATATAACTATTTCTAAGCGCTCGAGCTTCTTTAATTGTTTAAATTATAATTATTTTTCCATTAAATTTTTTTATTAATAAATAATTTTAAAATAAGAAAATTTATTCTAGCTAATTAATAAAAAAGTTGCCCAAAATACTCTCATCAAATTTAAAGTAAATCTTTATTTTAAAATAAATATAATATAAATTATTATTATTTTTATCTCAAAATAAATTTAATAATTTAAAATTAAATATTTTAATTCAAAAAATTGCCACTAATTATAGTGAATAGTGATTCATCATATTGAATCATTAATACTGATCTGCCTATTTTGTTCTGCAGAAATTTTGCATTTCAAAAAAAAAAATTTACAAACAGAAGAAAATTTCCCCTCTAAGCCAAAGTAACCTTCAGATGATTCAGCAGAACTCGCTTTCCTCCTGCAATTCCTCAATCTCCAGAGACCTGGAAACGAAGGAGGAAGAAGAAGTGGAAGAAGAAGAGGAAGAAGAAGAAGAAGCCGAAAGACCAACAAGCAATTCCAGAAAAGCCCCAAATATGAAGCCGTGATTCTCCTTCCCATTGGCCCTCAAAAACCAAACAACAAGTTCAACAAGTTTCTCCCAATCTTTGACCCCATTAGCCGCCACCATCTCCTCCATCGAAACCCTAAAATCCCTGCCAGGATCCTCTGAATCCACCGTCATGGCAATGCTCTGTTTGAACAGAACCCCGCCGGATGCTTTGGCTTTCACCATGATCGACGCACTGGCTTCCCCCGGCTCGAAGAAAAGCCGATCGGATGTCAGCTTTCGTACGACGGAGGTATAGTAGTCGCCCGAGAAGTCGCCGGAAACGGAAGTGGCCGTGAAGCTCTGCATTTCGTCTTCGGAGACTGTGAGGAATGAGTCCTGCGAGTCGAAGTAGATGGAGTTCACTGTCTTGAAGATGTCATCGGCGGCGGCGCTAGCGCGAAAAGACTGGGTTTTGGGGAGGATGCAGCAAGGCCGGCCTCGAGAAGAAGAGAAAGTTGAAAGGGTTTTTGGAGCGTCTCTGATTCTGAAGAAGAAGAGAGAGGAGAGGCAAAGCTTCCTGCCCATGTTTGATGGCCTTTTGGCTCTCTGTGAGGCCATTAATATAGCGTGTGGGATTAGGTTGGAAACAAAGCAGGCTCGGATATCCCGAGCAAAAATTTATTTGAAATGTAGGCTACTGTTGAATATTTTATAAGATGGATTTTAACGATTAAAATTTATTATTCTTTTATTTTAATTTAATTAAATATATTAAAAAATTCATATTATAATTATTTCACAAATTTTATACTTTATTATTGATCATCTAATGTTGCCTTACACTTTTCACATCTAGATCTTAAAACATAACTTATAGATATTATAGCATTATTTATATACAAATAAAAAATTTTAAATAATATTATAATAACTTAATTTAAATTGTAATATGATGGACATAAAAATTATTAAATTTGCTTTAAGATTAGTGCAATGTATACTAATTTCAAAGCAAATTAATAATTATAATATAAATTATATTAAATATTTTTGACATGATATATATATATATATATATATAATATATATATATTATATATATTTAAATATTTTTTATACGCATATATGAATAAATCAATATTTCAAATAAGAGAGGATAAGAATATATATCTGAATGGAGAGTACAATTTTATAATTACATAATAATAATTAGATCTATAGGTAAAAATTTTATATCACACATAATTATACATAAAATTTATTATATTATATTAATAATAATAAATATTATATAAAGATATAAAAGAGAGAGAGAGGAGAGGAGAAGTTTCATCTCTTTTTTTTATTCTACCATTATGTGAAGTCAAAATGATGATTCTATATGTTTATATATTTTTTATTAAATATAAAAATGGAATAGTTAATAAAAAAGAAGAAGTTAACATTCTTAAAATAATTTTAAATTTATATTAATTATCTTTAAATACAACAATAAATACAATTTTGAAAATATTATATATATATATATATATTATCTTGAGAAGTTGAAGTGGTATGTTTGTGCATGAGAGAGAGAGAGAGAGAGAGAGAGAGAGAGAGAGAGAGAGAGAGAGAGAGAGGGTGTGCATGAATGGGGTGACCCATTAGAACATTCAATTAGATCATTGGATGCTTGCAATTATATTGAATGGAACATTGAATAGTGTTGCAAAATAGATAAGAGAGGCCATTCTTTCTATGATTTATTTCATTTGTTTATGAATTTGTTTGTTTTGTTTTCTAGTGGTTATGTTGGTGGTTGGAACATGGAAGTGAAGTATTTTATAAGTCATGTCCCTCTCTCCTCTCTTCCTATCCTATGTGAAGGAATATTATTATTAGATGAAGCATTCAGCCATGTTAAGCTCTATGAATTGGAATCATTATAATATTGGTGCAAGATAATTCCCATAACTCCCAGGAAGTATCCTCCTTATAGATTTGAGCTTTAATTAAAGGCCTCAATTATATGAGCCAACAATAATGATGTTGGAGCATAAAAAATAACTTTTAGATCAAGTAGATTTTTTGACTTGAAGCACGAGTTTCATGAAACTTATGAATGGTTAAATTGGAGTTTGATTTAACTAAATTTGACTAAACTACTATTGGTTGAGCGAGCTTGTGTTGCTTGATAGACCACAATGTCTACTTAATGATCTCTCCCTGATAGCATAGCGAGTTTGGGAAACTTGCTACTTTTTTAGGTAGTCATTATGTATAGTTTAACCTCTTCAACAACTCTCTCTCCAATCATCAAGTTCTTCAAATTGACTTAGTAGGTGATTATGTCAAGCCAATTCTTTCAAGAGCTTGACCTCTTTGATAACTCGACCTCCTTTTAACGTATTTCTTAAATTACTAAGCTATTCAGTTGACCTCATCCTGAATGAATTCACTTAGTCAGTCTTTTTGACTTCATGAATTTTTTTCTTGATAAATCATTATATTAGGTGATTTTCCCAACTTGGCTTCTCAGGAGACTTACACAAGCTATCCCTTCTCGGCCTACTCAACCCCATACATGAATCCTTTTTAAGCTAGACTCCTCCATAAAAAGTTATTTGAACTTAATCAAGTCAACACGAGATTTAAAATTATGCTTATGATATCATGTCGCCAAATCCGACCACTGAAGATAAGCTAGTTGAATAGTAGCTTTATATATATCCTATATGTCATTAGGGAGAGATGATCCTTAATGTGCACATCGCCTCTCCATATCTTAAACATTGCTTAAGGATCCAATACGTCGACGACCATGCAACAGCTCATTTCCTAACTAATGACTCTTAAGATGTCAAGCTTGACTGCTTATTTGCTATTATCGACTTAGAGAAAATGAATGAGGAGATTTGTAAAGAGATGGAAGGATGATCAACATTTGATGGAGTCATCTTGAAGGAGAAAAACATAGAGTCCCTAAAATCATGAGGCGCCTCACTTCATCTAGATCATCACTAATCTCTTGTCCAAGCCGAACTAAAGAAGCAAAATTAGATTAGGTTTCACAAAATAAAATTAGGATTAAGTCAAATCAATTAACTAAAACAACTTTAATCTACAATCACAAATCTAATCATAAAATATCACTCCTGACAAAAAAAATAATTAGTATTTTCTTAATGAGCTAATCAACCCATTTGGTTTCTTAATGTGATAACAATAGCATCTTTAGAGCACAATGCCCGATGATGACTTTCAGACTAATATTTGTTTATTATAAATTTTTGTTCTCACATCCCTCTGTTTGTTAGCCTAAGACAAAACTAGTACTTATATTTTATTAATAACAAAATTTTATCTCAGCTGAATCTGTGCCATTTTTTTACTGGTAGATTAGTCCTATTCTCTCTTATTTATTTGCCCTCATCCTTCAGAAATTAAAGCTTAGATAACGAATTTTTGTTCTTATGCATTGAGATCATCGTAAACTAAGAAGTTCAACATTAGCGTTGGTGTCGACGACATGTGTCAAAGTTGATCTTGATGGTGGCGTCGAAGTTGTTGGCGATGATTAGTGGCGGAGCGAAAATATATATTTATGGGGCTAATTTTTTTTTAAAAAATTTTTCTTCAACCTTTTACATCTTGGTTTGGGACCTACATAGGCAATTTTATTTTATTTTTCAAATTATTATTTAAGAATGTAAAATATTAAATATAAAATAATAAACAACTTACAATAAAAAAAATGGTAGCATAGAACTGAAATCGGAGTTCAAATGGTCTCCGATTTAATTTTTGAAGTTTCCTACTTAATTTTGCCTTGAGATTAAAAAAAAATTACAATTTTTTTTAGGGGGGGCACGTGCCCCCCCTCCCTCCACCAATGGCTATGATCGGAGTTAAGGTTGTTGTTGGTAGCATGTGCCAACCTCGTTGGTGATTGCGGTGGGTCATTATTAATATTGATTATGGATAAGAATGTTAGTTATGATGGCGGGCATTACCATTTTTAGTGATGGAGTATGTTGATTTCGTTGTCGACTTGCACTAATAATATCGACATTAGGCATATCGGCTTTTGTGTCTACATCATACATATGAATTATTAGCAATGGTGAGCTTTTGGTGCTGGTGTTTACGCCAAACACTATTGTTATCTACATCGTCAACATTGGTGTTTCTTGACATTAATTAAGGGTGTCAAAATAGGATTTCAGGACTGGTTTGGGTCTAACCCGAAACTAACCACCTTCAGTTGACCTTACCAAAAGCCGACCCAAACTCGACCATATTAGCAAAACAAGTCACAAATCTAGACTCGAACCCAACCCACTAATCCAATTAAATGGAGAGGGTGAACGAGCGTGGGCATTTAAGCAGGGTCAACAAATGAGCAAGCGCATTCGGAGGGCAAGTACATGTTGCTTTCGGGTTGACCTAAACCTGACCCGAATTTACAATTCGTTCAAATTTTAAAACTCAAACTTGACTCGTTTTCCAAACGGGTTAAGCCGAACCCGGAATTTCAGGTTGAGTCAAATATTGCCATTCCTAACATTAATATTGGTGTCGATATTGAGTGTTGACATAACCGATGTCAGATATTTGTATTGATTATGATGATGTGTATCAACTTTGTTGAGGATGACATGCTTTGTTGTTATTAATAGTGAGTATTGAAGCAACGAGTTCGGATTTCACTTTCTAGACAATAATTATAAGGGAGATTTACATACATACCACTATATTTTTGTTATTTTACATATCTAATATCTCAAATATTAATATTCCAGCTATACCACCAAAATTCTAAATTTACCTCAAATCTACCACTCTGTCTCTCGCACAGCTCACGATGTCAACGGCACCACCGTCAGCTCCGGCCTCGCCTCCATCGTCCTATTTGATACCAACATCCTCGCCAAAGGAGGTGAAAGCAACAAAAAATGTACTTTTGAATGGCTCGTTGGCGATTGAGAATAGGATCAAGGATTGTAGGTCTTATCCTCTTTACAGGTTTGTGAAGAACATTGGTGCTGATTTTCTAAGTGGTGAGAAGACTGTTTCATCGGGAGAAGATTTTGATAAGTTTTTTGACGCAATTTGCAAGGGGAAGATGATCGATCCAATGCTTGAGTGCATGAAGGAGTGGAATTAATCTCCTCTACCATTATGTTAATGATTTTAAGTGTGTGGAAGAAGAAACGTTTCTAAAAATAAAAATTTGCTCTTTCACATATTCCTTCTTGTTTATGTGATTATATTAAAAGTCTTTGTTGTTTTGTAGCAAAATTTGAAGGTATGAATGATGGAGGCAAGGTCGAAGATGATAGTGGTGTCGTTGACGTCGTGAGCTATCTGGGAGACGGAGTGATAGATTTAGGTAAACTTAAGATTTTATTTATATAATTGTAATATTATTATTTAAGTTGTTAGATATGTAAAATAATAATAACATAGTGGTATATATATGTAAATCTCTCTAATTATAAATACCATTGCCTAAATTTGATGTGGAATAAGGGCCCAAAGACTGAAAATCCTTCCTTTGTCCGAACAAACCCTCGCGCTCCTCCCTCGCTTTCAAACCCTCTCTTGGTTAAGCGGCAGGAGCTGCTCTAGCTCTTGGGACTTAGAAGATTACAGAATGGTTAGGCCCTGGAATCGGTTATTCTTAAGCAAGGTTGGTGTTTTTGCTCCTAAACTCTCCATGGCTTGAGATATTTACTGTGCCGCCTGCCACTTGTGAGCTCTCTTCTTCTTGTTCTTATTGAGTTTGTTTATTACTTGCTATTTTCTATTCATTCTTCGTCAACTGGTTCCTCAGATATTAGATGTACCTTGCGAGTTGTATGCTAATTTCATGAAGGAATATTAATCGACATATTGAATCTGCTTTGCACCTCTTAGATTATTAAAAAAAAAAAGAATATTTTTTTTGGCAGCGTTGCATAATGCTGTAATAGGTGCTCATAAATGCTAGGAAGCTTTTGCAAATTTTTCATGGAAGAAAAGAAAAGGTTTGGCAATGAACAAATATTATGAAGTTTGAAGTTTGAGCTACTGAGCAGGTTTTGGATTCTTTAGGTTGTGGTTGAACTTTTTGTACGTGCTATTGCAACAATTATTAAATCCAGGTTTAGGGGCTATTAGCTATTTGGTATCCTATTTTAGGCAAGGAATTAGTTAGTATTTAGCTGAAGTTCTGCCAAATAGAATTTTGGGAACTTTATTCTATTGTTTTGATAAATTACAGATAAGCTGTTATGGTTAAATCTAGGATTTTTTTTCTCAATCCGATCATTCAGAGGGTTTAGAGGATTTAAAGATTTCTCCCATCACAAAATTTAAATTCTAAAACAAATAGCCAAACAATTTATTCAAATTTAGCAAGATTTTAAAATTGTTATCCTAATCAATTTTCAAGTTTTAATCCTCTCTCAAGAATTACTGAATTTGGATTTTCAGGATTGACTAAATTGTACTTTTAGCTAAGCAATTCCTTAAAGCCTTACATTTTATGGTGCATTAGTGTAATGCCTTTTTGATGTACAATTAGTTCAGAAGCCTATATGGTCCAATTTTATTTCTCTTTGTTTTATGTAATTACTGGCTCTGTCAAGAAACTGTTCTTTAATTCTTGGCATACTAGACTTTCATCAGGTTAGGCATAATCAGATTGCATGATTTCTAAAATTAGAGGAATAAGGCTTCGTTTGGGACCGCTTTCTTACAGCTTTTTGAAGCAACTTTCTAGTACAAAATCTTATAGTTTAAAGAATTTTTGTACTAAAAAGCTATTTTAGAAAGTAATTAAAAAGCCATCTCATATGAAGCCCTATGATGCACAGATACGGATACGGCGACGCGGATATGACACGACACCGACACGGGACACGTCAGTTATTGAAAATATAGGACACGGACACGGGTTGGACACGGTATTATAGTATTTATATTTAAAAAACAGTGTATAAAAATTAAATAAATATAATTTTAAAAATAATTTGAAAATAATAAGTTATTTAACTAGAAGTTGTGCTTAAAATGATTAGTATTAGGATGTCGAGAGTCAGACGTCGATGCCGTCTATCAGTCACCGAAAGAGGAGATGAAAATACCGGCACTGTCAAAAAGAAATGAAAATGAGAATATTCGATGATTGGGTATTAAGTGCGGATATTGATTTGGTGTTGTGGATAGGAAATAAGAAATTAAGTTTAAATCCCGCCAAATACAAGAAATTATATTTAAAAAAATTCATAAAATATTTAAGATATGCATGTTCAATTTATATTTTATTTTTTTAATCGTACACGTTTTCAGCGTGTTCGACACGTGTCGGAGGAGTGTCGGACGAGTGTCGTGTCGGATGCGGTGTCGGATACTGCATGCCTCTTTGAGGAGAAGTGTCGGTGCATCATAGATGCCTAAGTTAATTTTGTGCATTGGTGCGTTAAATACTGCTCATTGCAGGCCCTTTTGCGCATTAGAAAATCAGAGTAGGGATGTCCTCCCTTAGTCCCTTCCTTTCTCTCTCAACTCTGAATTATATTTTCTTGAAGAAAATATTCATCTGTCAGGTAATAGTTGAGTTTTGTACTACTGAAATTTGCAGAAACGTCTTCTTGAGGAAATGGCGACTAGTAAATCCATCTGTTATTGTGTTTTGCATCAATCAGAATTGACATATTTGTATCAATGCTGCATTCAGAAGTAGATATTCTCTTCCTATCAATGCTTTATTGGGATTATTTTTTTTTGCAAAATTTTTTAATCTCTCCTTCATACTTGGATTTTCAGATGTCAAGTATTGTAATAATTTGAGTTCACAATGTTGAAGGCCTGCATATTCTTTATTCATTTATCTTTTTATTGTCTCCTTCATACTTACATGACTAGAATATTTTACATCTTCACATGTCAAGTATTGTAATAATTTGAGTTCACAATGTTGAAGAACTGGACATTCTTTATTCATTTTTCTCATGTTTATTTATTTATTTTTTTTGCTGCTAGCTTCTCCAAAATGGATTTAATCGAGCTTCAGTCGGTGCTGTGCAACCTAAGGCAGTCCATTGCCCTGAAACTGCATCTCAATTCTTTTCAAATGAGTCACTTTCCAGAACTATGGGGAACTATGAAAAGCGATTTCCTTCCCTTTTCCATCCTATTCCTGGGATCAAACTCTCTCCCTGTCTTCCTGACTTTGTTGAACCCCATCCAACCATGATCACAACACTTCCAAATGGTTTAAAGATTGCTTCGGAGGATTCTCCGGTAAGAAATATCTTAACATTTTACAATTTCATACATTTTTGCTTTGGGGAATGATTGTACTAACTTGATTGTTCACACACAATTTTTAGGGAAGCTTTTTTATCCTACTTTCCTGTTTTGGATTTCCATTCCTATAGCTTTTGCCATTAATCTGAATTATTTGGATAATATTAGTCCTTGTCTGTCATAACATAAATCAACGCAGTTGGAATTCAGTGCTTGCAAGGCACATTTCAAGTTTATTTTTTTGATGTGCGTTGATGTCTTTCCCTTGGAATTCTTGTTTTGCAAAAACCAGTATCTTATTATTTTAGTGTAATAATGGTGTATTTCTTTGTGACAGGGACCTGCTGCTTCTATAGGGATATATGTCGACTGCGGTTCTGTGTACGAGAAGGGGGACTCTGCTGGTGCAACCCACCTTTTAGAAAGGTTGGCTTTCAAAAGCACAAAAAATCGAACTCGCATGCACGTTGTGCGTGACATTGAAGGAACTGGGGGTAATGCAGGTGCTACTGGTTCACGTGAACAAATGGCATATATTTATGACACATTGAAGGCTTACATCCCCGAGGCAGTTGAGTTGCTTGTTGATTCCATCAGGAACCCCCTTTTTCTTGACTTTGAGGTGGAAGAACAGGTTAGGAAGCTAGTATAATCTGCTAAAACTGTTAGTACTTTGGGTTTTCATCATTTACAGTTGCTATTGAGAAATTAAGTAATGCAGGTGATGAATGTGAAAAGAGAAATCGACGAAATTGTGGCTAAGGATCCACAACAGTTTCTTCTGGAATCACTTCATGTTGCTGGCTACTCTGGTGCATTGGGGAATCCAATGATGGCATCTGAGACTGCATTACAAAGACTTGATGGATCTGTTATAGGAGAATTTTATTTTGTAAGATCATATTTGATTTTCACTTCCTGAAATTGCAATTGGTAAAATAGTTTTTGGCAATGGCTATGGTACATGTTTATGAAAATCTATTAATGTTAAATGCTATTGTTCAAATATTAATTTTTCAGGAAAATTACACAGCAGATCGCATTGTTTTGGCAGCATTTGGGGTGGACCACGAACATTTATTAGGCATTGCTGAACCTCTGTTATATGACTTAATGGGTGGCCGTCCTGTTTCTGTGCCGAATTCTGCTTATAATGGTGGAGAGGCTAGATTTAAAATTGATTCTGAGGTACTATGGAATTATGGATGCCTGGTTTAAGTTTTTCTTCTTTGTGAAACCTTGTCATACCTACCATTCTTTTGGTAGTGGATTCTTACCTATCTTTCTTTGGAGTCTTATTTATCTTTCTTTGGTAGCGAACTCATGTCGCATTGGCATTTGAAGTTCCCGGTGGCTGGCGTGATGACAAAAATGCAACGGCACTAACTGTTCTGCAGGTATCAAAGCAATTGAGTTTTATTGTTCTTTCCCTGAAAAAATCTTCAGTTCATTTTTTGATTTATCTAGATGTTCACCAAGCCATATCACCACCCTGCACCTAAGCTCTAATGCTGAGAAATGCAAACTTAGAATAGCAAAAAGCATTATTGCTGAATGATCCTAGCATGGATTCATTGCATCCAGTGGTTTGTTAGAGTAGAAGCTTGTTGTATAGTGCCGTGCAAAGTACCCAAAATCTGAGCTCCAATATGGAGCATTTTTTTTATCCTTCTGTTTTCTATATGAGATTATCTTAGTTTCTTTCTTTTGTCATTTCAAGATGAATCTTTTTCCTATTTCCTTTCTTAGTTGTTCCATTATAGTGTCCATAATGCTTTATTTAAATTAGAAATAATTTAAAAATACTAATTTTATCTCAAATACAATGATTTGAATTTGATTGAGTCGAGGCGAATCGATTTAGGTCGATTTAAAAGCTCGAGTCCGTGCTATGTCTGTGGGCGACCACCTAAGGGAAATCCTATGGGCGACGTCTACACTAGGCTTCGAAGACCTAGATACTAGAGTCGATTTCGGGAAAATTGACCTCGAATAATGAGGTCAACAATAGCTTGTAGATTAAATGTTGTGGAACTGGACTTATCCTGTTGACTGGTTTTTGGTATAAAGAGTCCACCATTTCATATAGTTAATTGATTTTTGTTGTATTGTGTTTCAGGTATACTTAAACTTTTTTTCCTCCTCATCTTGTAGGCATTATATATCTCACAACATTATCTAGACGTTGTAGATTTAGCGTTTAGTGCAACTAGCTTTCTATTATATATTCATTTTGATGGGGACATCAGATCGTGGAAGGTTTATCAGAGACGTGGCCGTCGATCTGCGGCTATGATTGAGTCATTGTATTTTTTATTTGTTTTATGTATTTTCTTATTATGATGTTATATTGTATTTGTTTCTTTTAGTTTCCTGTTGTACCCTTTTATTAAGAGAGGTCGTATGTATGCCCTAGGAGCATTGTCATCCTTTTATGTTTTGAGTCTTTGTAAGAGGCTATTTATAGCCCCATTGTTCTTCTTTTGAAATTAATGAATAAATGAATGATAAGCTTTCTTCCCTTTTGATTTCTTTATGAGATCGTATGAGCGTTGAGAGAGAAATCTATAGGAGAGGGAGATCGGATCACCCACCAACCTTGGAGACGGCCGGGTTCGTGGTTCCTTATCTTTTGTTTGTTTCTCATTGACCCCTTCTTACATCTCCTAGCCGCCAGCCAAGGTTCTCCCAAACCTTGTCGCCGGCCACTTAACACCCCTCCACCACCGCCACTTAAGTTCCTCTCCATTGATTAAACCCAAACCCTTTTCCCCCTTTCTCACCCGACCTCTTCTCGCACATCCCCACCCACGGTTTCCTCCCAAAACCGCCGGCCCTAGCCTCCTTAGCCGCCGGCCCCATCACCTCTCACGCCTTCCTTGGATTTCCTAATTTGGTTGGAGTTAATTTAGGAATCAATTTGAAATTCAAATCAATTAAATTTGAAATTCAAATTCTTTCCTAATTTAATTAATCTATCTTAGGAAAGTTCTTAATTCAAATCTATTTGAATTTCAAATTCAAATTGGATTTGATTAATTACTTTCCTAATTCCTAAACCCAAATTAAGAAGCCTTAATCTCTCACATTAATTGCTCCCCCCTAGCCCTTAATGTCGTCGACCTCTATAGGGGAAATCTAGGAATTGTTTCCTAAAACCTAATCCCTACTTTGGAAACAATTCAAACTCTTCCCTCTCCCTTTTGGCCGAACCCTCCCCTAGCCCCACCTATTTAATTTACTTCCAATAAAGGAACTCCTCCACTTGGAAGTAAATCCACCCCACCCAATCCCTCTTGCCTCCGCCCCCTCCCCTCTTGCTGTTTTCTCCTCCTTTAATTATTTTCAGTTAGGAAGATAATTAGGGAGTGTTGAATTAAATTTCCATTCATCTTCTCTCCCCAAAATCTGAACCAAATTTCCCACCCTCGCCCTCATCCTTGGCCGGCCACCTATTCTCCTTTTCCCTCTTGATTTCTTTAGATTAGCTCCTCCATCTCAAGAGGAGTCTTCAAGGGAAATCGCAACGATTGTCATCAACACCTCAACCTCAAAAGACATGCATTGCCGATCCGGATCTTGATTACGGTCTCTCTTACGACGAACACGGACTTGTTTGCATCTTGCACTCGACCTTCTTCGATGTCAATCCCCGCTTCGATCACACCGTAGAAGAATACGTAGAGCGCATCTTGAACACCTTGGTTGAGGTTATTGAAGAGCAACTTGAGATCGTTGAGTGGAGGGTTGCAACCGATCCTTGATGAAGGTTTTCTAATCTCCCTCTTCTTGTATTTCTTAAGTCTAACCCTCTCTTTGTGATATTGATTTTAGTCACGAAGGTCGCATTTGCCTAATTCTACCAAGCTTAATAAACATAGGGAATTGTGTGCACTTCATTATTTTCTAATCTTATTGTTAGATTAGGGATTTTTGTTGAAAGCTACCACTTTGCATGATGTTATTTTCCTACATTATTTTGATGATTCATATCTCTTGATGTGCAACTTTGCCTAAACGAAAGTGACCGCTCTTACGTTTTGATTAATCGTTTTATTTGCTAATAGTTCTATTTGTTACTTCTCTAATTAAAAGTTGTGCAAGCTCTTAATAAATTCATTGCAAGCATCGTAGTCATACATCACATTTTCTAGTGTTGATACAAAATATTATGTTGTTATTTGAGAATTTTTTGTGATCATTATTTGAAAAAAAAAAAGTTAAGGGTTGTCTCCATTTTACTTGATTGTTAATGATACGTTGGGCTATATGAATAGAGCGATTGCTATTCCCACAACTGGAAAAAAGGTATATCTCCACAAGTGTGCTCTCCTCGCTTGTGAAGCCTAGGTTGTGTGAGTGCAAGTTTTTTATATGTTTCACATGTTAATCTTGGTGTGACATTTTATGTAAAGAGCCATGGTAGTAGCGGTATGCTTTACAAGTTTAGTTGAAGCACTATTTTGCTTTATTGGTGAAGCAAAATCAATTGGGATTTATGCCATGTAGGTCTACTGTGGAAGCTATACATTTATTGAGAGATTTGATTGAGAAGTATAGAGAGAATAAGAAGGATATACATGTGATTTTTATTGCACTTCTAGAACAACTCTCCAAGCCAGTTGCTGTCCCGCACAGGAAAACAGTTAAAAACAGCGGAAAATCTGAGAAAAACTGAGAGTAAGCGTAGGAAAACAATTGCAAACGATTGTATTCCACTAGTAGATGCAAAAGACAAGCAAGATACAATTTTCCTTCGATTCGAGAGGAAGGAAAAAAACTCTCCAAATCTCTAGCCGTAGTCTAGAGCCCAAGAACAAGAAAACCTAGATCTCCAAAATACATTCAAATTCAAGATACCCCCAAATCCCTACAAAACTCCTAATTAAAGACAAATGAATATTACAAAATACCTAAACAGCCCTTAGTTCAAATTATTTCCCTCCTAATCTTGCATTAAGCCCATAATGGGCTCCACAAGGCTTCCGCCCAACCCAGGCCATCTGCTGGGTCTATTCCGTCGCCTGGAATAGACCCGGACCGGTCCAGTCGGCCCCTCCTGGGCCGGCGTAACAGTTGGCTATTAAAAGAGAAGCATAATATTAAGTTAAGAGTTGCAAAGATGAGGATGCTCAGGTGGATGAGTGGCTTTACTATTAGAGACATGATACGAAATGAACATATACGTGAAAAGGTTGGAGTGGCTCCAATAGAAGATAAGATTAGAGAGAGTCACCTTAGATGGTTTGGTACATAAAATGGCGGCCTTCCAATGACCCGGTTAGGAAAGTAGATGTATTAGATTTGACTTATGTTAAGAAAGGAAGAAGTAGACCTGAAAAGATTTGGTTAGAAAATATTATAAATGACATATCTTTATTAGATTTAGATGAGAATTTGACTTAGTAGGGCACAATGATGAAAAAAGGATTCATGTTGCCGACCCCGTGTAGTGGGGTAAAGGCTTGTTGTTGTTGTTGTTGGTGGTGGTGTTGAAGCAAAAAAAGAGGCCTATTTTCCTTTGATTTTCAATTAAAAAAATCTGTTAATAAGAAATGTTGATGAAAAGATGGCTTTTTATGCATTTTATGATTTAATTTTGTTCTTTGCATTGGTGAAATTCCAGTGCATGTCTCAGCTGACAACAATCAACACCATTTTTCCTACTCCCTATTTGTAGTTTTACTTTTTTGGACTTTCTATGGCTTTTGTCTTATGTTGCTTATGTCTGACAGACTTTGATGGGTGGCGGCGGCTCATTCTCTGCTGGTGGCCCTGGAAAAGGGATGCATTCTCGGTTATGTATGACCTTCATCCCCTTGTATGAATTTATTTATTTTTGCTGCCCCATGTAATTTTTCTTTATGCTATGATTTTCTTGGTTGAACTTCTTGGGAAAGAAAATTATGCTATTTTCTTCAAAAATATGTCAACTTTATGCTATGTTCTCTTTGGTTGAATTATTAGGGCAAATTATATGTTGATCTTTAGCTTGATTTACGTTTGGATAAAAAATAATTAGTCAGGCTTGGCCTGAACTGAGATTTGGTTGAGGCAAATAATGGCTATGCTCAACTTGATAATGGATTGTTTAGCTTTGAATTGGGCGCAAAACCACTCGAGTACAAAACATGCACAACTTTATGAAACTCGAGGTTTTCTATTGGAGATGTAAAACTATAATATTGGCTTTGCATAAAAAAATTTCGTTACTAAATCGAAATATCAGAACCATTTTATAATTGATAATGAATGGGAAATTAGATTTCCTAATGGAGATGTAAAACTATGATATTGTTGATTCACGTTCTAGGTTTTTTATTACAAATTTATTATTACATGCATGAAATAATGCAGTACAAACATAAATTCTATAAGTCATAAATTATTAATTTTATCAATGATTCATTATTTCTGATTGACAATAAAAAATTGAATAAGTTGAATGCGGATGAGACTTAGAAAATTAGAAACATAAAAACCATCTGATCTAGTTGTGGAATCATGTATTTCGAGACAAATATTATTTCCAACTTGCATAAATTCAATCTCTTATGCAAACCAATAATATGATTTATAAAAATAAAATAAAGTAGGAAAGAAACCACTAAGTCAGAAGAATTGAGCTTCATACATGGAATAGTGTTTTCTACAAATCTTCAAGGCTCCAATTTGATCAATGAGTTAATTTTCGAAGTTAGAAGGAATATCAAACCCTTTAGAATTTTATTTAGAAAAACTTATTTATTTTGTACAAGTCTAAGCCACCCTAGTTATATAAAAAAAGGTTTCCTTGCATTACCGTATCTTCCAAGCAAACTGGCCCAAAAAGGCACAACAACAACAACAACAAGCCTTTATCCACTATGCGGGGTTGGCTACATGAATGATTTTTCTCCATTGTGTCCTATTAAGAGTCAAATTTTAATCTAAATCTAATAAAGAAAGGTCATTTCTTAACATAAGTCAAATCTAATACATCTACATTCCTAATCGGGTCATCGGAAGGCTGCCGTTTTATGTGACCAAATCATTTAAGTCGGCTCTCTATAATCTTATCTTCATTGGAGCTACTCCAACCTCTTCACGTATATGCTCATTTCGTATTATGTCTCTAATAGTAAAACCACTTATCCACCTGAGCATCCTCATCTCTGCAACACTTAATTTAATATTATGTTTCTCTTTTGATGGCCAACATGCTGCACCATAAAGCATTGCAGGTCTCACTACCATCTTATAGAATTTTCCCTAAGTTTGAGAGGGACTTTTCTATCACAAAACAAGCACAATCCATTTTTCCACTTCATCCATCTAACTTGAATTCCACTAATAATATCCCTATCTATTTCACCATCACTCTGAACAATAGACCCAAGATATCTAAAATGTATACTCTTATTAATGACTTGATCGCTCAAAGTCACAATCACCCCAAAAAGTCACAACAAAAATATAAAATCTTAGAGTCACTTTAGCCACAAATGACTCCCTTGTTATTAAGTCTTGTTGCAGAACTTATCGAGAAGATGGTCATTGGAGGTCTTTGGATGAATTTCCTTCGTATGGAAAAAATGGCATTATTAAATTGAAATCTTATAACCAATTCCGAGTCCATAAATTTGGGCCAGTCTTTTTGAAAATATTATTGTTTTGGTGGCATTAATGAATACTAGAGTTAACCATTGGTTTTCAAAATCATTATAACAGTTCAATTGCTGTCTCTTAAACACTTCTTATTAAAACAAGTAAAAGAAAAAATTACTAAAAATGTGTCAGTCAGATATGTTTCCTTTGCTTAGGGCCTTTTAGATGCTAGGCAATGGATTAGGTTATCCGACGTAAGGTGCAACTAACATTCATATTCTTCATGATTATTTTGTTTTGTGCTAAATAAATTTACACAGACCATGTAATATAAATAAATTGTAATAATACAAGAACTTGCAGAAAGGCATTGTAAATAATAGTTTTTGCGCTTTGAAGTCTTAAATGGGGAAGAATGATGTGAGCAAGAAGGAAAAGATAAAACTATTAAATATTATCCTTTTATGACCCAAATAGTCATATTTATCAGGTCAGCATTTGAGATGGAATGTTATTTACGAGCTGGGATATTAGTTCTTTTTAAAGAGAAGTTTGCTTGATTTCCTTAAAATGAGAAACTATTTGATTTTTATTATAGCTTTGAGCCATTAAACTGAAACAATTGCTGAATGAAGTTATTATACTATATTTGAACATCCTATAGATGAACTTTGCTTTTCGATGTTGCTTATATGGCTTCCACAAATTCTTTAAACCTATATCCTCAAGGGTTGTTACTCTCATGTGTGATAAGTAAGTTTGATTACTAGTTTAGATGTAGTAAAAATAAGAAACGACAAAATTTGGAAGTTTTGATTGAACAATGATTGTATGGGAGGGTCTATAAGAGTACTCCCCATGGAGAATAATGAATTGAAGTATTGACTTTGTTTGTTTGGGCATGTATAACAAATGTTAGGAGATACACTAATAAGATGAATGCTAAAACTAATCCGGAAGAATTATAAGGAAAATGGATAAGCCAAAAATAGCATGGATAGAATTTCGGCAAAAATATTTATATAATATAGATTTAACTCTTCAAATAGTACTTTATAGGTATGACCGTATGAATGACGGATGTTGATTCATAATGTGAAACCCAAAATTATTGGGATAAGGCTGATAATGATGAAGTTTAGTGGGTTTGAAGTTTATTGTTATGGCTAATAACTTAATGATAAGCCATTTATACCCCTACCTATTCAAAATGCGTGAGGTAGTTTTTTTTTTTTTAAATAAAAATGCTAAAAATTATGCAATCTTGTTAAAATTGTCAAATATCCTTAAAACTTCATATAAATTTTTTTCATTTGGCCATTAAGTGGTACTGTGCTAATGGTTTTTAACTTCACTATGATATCTGATATCTCCCTATTTCCTTCTGCAAGTCTTCCTTTTATTTTGTATGGAGTTCTCTTTTTGTTCTTTTGATTATCTTATATTTACTATTTGTCATCTTATGTGCCCACTTGTTAAAAAAATAGCTCGTCCTCATTTTCCCCTATGAAAATTGGACATTTACTTGAATTTTTCACACAGTAGTCAATTGTTCATTTTAAAGGCTAAATATATTCCTTGTTGTCTTAACAATAACTTAATATCAAGATTAATCACAACTTAATTAATTAGGCACTAGCATCGATTTGTGGGTTAAATAGGGTCAAACATTCACCTAAATCAGTCTTTTAATTTCTCAACACCGTGGTACAAAACATTTCCAAAATTGCATAAATAGAGTTAGTTGATAGATTGAGATAGTTAACCGGTTGAACATGTGAGTTGGAACTGACATACTACTGCCCTTTTTGCTCTTTTCTCTTTATAAAAATTAGGCATTCGGTTGGATTGTTCAAACATTAGTCAATTGTTTATTTAAATACTAATATTATTCCTTATTGATGTTATAATGTAGCCTGATATTAAGACTAATTAAAATTAATTAATTTGGCACTAACATGGCCTAGTGGGTTAATTAGGGTCCAACAACCCTCTATTTCAACTATTTAATTTCTCATCATAATTGTTTAGATCATCTACAAAATTCTATAGAAATGTTAATTTTGAAATGAATTTTAGTGAGAGCTAATGGTTGGATCTATGAGTTGAAATACATGTTATTGCCTTTCTTCCGCATGCACTAATCATTTACGAAGAGACAAATTAGCAGGAGTGTGAGATTGTTAGAACATTTTGGAGCTTAACCATTTACAATCAAACCAATCCCCCCCCTCCCCCCCCACACACACGCGCGTGCGCGCCAAATTCGAGTATTTATAATGCAAGAAAGCAAGGTGAATCTCCAAACACCAGTAATTTTCATCCCAGATAACGTATATTGCCTTCACATCGATAATCCATGTAAGCATCTTGAAATAATTGCCCATTTTACCTTATGGAACTGCCTGCACCTGCATGAGCCCTTCTTGCTTTATTTGAGTCCATCATAAGCTATCATTAAGGATTAATTCTCAACTAATGATGTAAGAGTTGACTCGGTGTGAGTGTGAATGTGCATGGAAGTTGACTATGCCGATGATAGTCGAGCAATGATCCACATTGGCCATTGCCAACTATCCTATTTTTTACAAAAAATAAAACATACTAAAATAGATTGAGATATCATCATAACTGCAGTTCTATTAATGAAGATCACTACTCATATATCACCAAAGAATAATTGGTGGATATTTTAATAAGAGCTTCGGGATCACCATGTTCCCCAGTCTTTGCAGCTTGATGAATCTCCTTGGCAATATTCTCCGGCTTGAGGAGGGGGAGGGGGTTATCATATAGATTTTATCAGGTTGAAATTTGAAAATTATTTAAAATTTAATTTTATGTAATATATCTTCATTATTAAGCATATTCTCTTATTTATTTATTTTTATTTTCTTCTAGTTTTATCTCTTATATTTGAACACATGTAAGATAGTAGAATCAATCAAGAACTTTCTGTTGTCTCAACAAGCACCATTTAAAAAAAAAATTGAATTGCCTGTTGGACAGGTAGCTTTAGAAGGTGCTTGCTCAATGGGTTGCTTCTAATGGCACCCATGGACAAAGTACAATCCACAGACGTGCTCCCTGCCCTAAATACTTTTTGTTTTGAATTCTGGTTGCTGACTGATTTTGGGAACTTTCTCCTTGTTAAAATTTGTCCAACTTGAACATGGATATCATTTTTGCTTCTCTTTCAACTTTGAACTTCTCTCCATGGTACACCTTTAACTAGAGATAATGAAAATATGGTTAGTCTTCTGAATTAAATGTATTTATTTTGTACATGGACATAAAATGTATACTTTATTAAGTACCTAAAATATATTTATAAGTTATTAATATCTTAAACTACATGTATTGAAACATGAAATTGGGTAAAAAATGCTGATGAAACACTAGTACTGTTGAAACTAGTTTTCTTGGGTGGTTCTCAGCTAAAACGGAGATATTGCTGATGAAATTCTTGTCATCAACAAACATGACCCGATCAGGAGATTCAAAATTAACGAGGCCGGAACAGATGGTCGGGATGGTTAGTACAATTATTTCAATAATATAAAATACTTAACAAACTAGCATCCCACATATAATTGAAGAGTCACTAAAACAAAATTTTCTAATTTAAACATATAATAAACCAATTTACCTATTACCATTTGATCATCGTCTTATGTACACGAATTCTTTTCTTTCAGCCATTTAATTCACAGGAGATTTACTTGGCATTTAAATTTAATATTTTGAATTTTCATAATGAACTCAATGGATAATTATAACTTATAATATAATATTTAAGCATACATAAAAGCAATTATGTTTCTTTGCCAGAATTTTCATTTAGCATATATGTAAACATTCAATATAAATGTGGATTCTTATTATATTCTTTTCATTTAACTTTATTCCTTTTTCTATTTTATTTATTCATTTCTCTTTTTAATTTATTACAGAAGGATTATAAAAATCTTGTACCAATGATTGTGCAATATTTTTTCTTTTTCATTTAACGTGCACGAGCACGTTGCGCGTCCACAGCTAATATCATAATAGAGTGAACTCTTGTATTTGCATGCGTGTATATTTTCCTTCTTTTTATACTTTTATTTACATATTATGATTCGTTTATTTATTTCATTATATATATATATATTATATATTATATATATATATATATATATATTATATATATATATATATAATATATATATATATATATTATTATATATATATTGTCACTTTAATTGCTTACTATTTCTCAATTGATGCATAATAAACATATAAACCATATCAATGTACATATATGATACAATGTCCAATAATTGCATGAAGAAAAAAAAAGTGAAATTGCTATAAAAAAACGAACAACTGCTTTGATTTTCCTTAATTTGATTCATCTTATACATTAAACATTTTGTTTATATATATCTACAATATTAAATAATTTCAATAACATGAATGAGAATTGTGTGTATCATAAAATAATTGTGATTATCCATTTTAATTATTTTCGTGTGTATAGATCTTTTCAAATCCTCGAATTTTTGAAATATTCTTAATGCAACCCAAACTTCCTCCAGAATTTTTGCAAAATTTTGTATTCTTTGAGCTCAATTATTTATTTCTTAATGTTCAAAATAATATTAATTGGCATTAAATATTTTAGATCAAATTCTGAAGATTAAATATTGTCAAAACAATAATAAATATCAAATTCCTCTAATTTAACAAACTATATTTCTAATCACATTGCATATAAAATTTTCTAAATTGATTAAAATTTCACTTATATAGCTTGCATCTTTTACCTCAATTTTACTTCTTCCTTGTCGAACCGAAACTTCCACCAACTCATTTCTTTAATGATCGTATGCTATTTTTTCAACTAAAACTACAAGTTATACATATATATTATATTTAAATTTGAATTGGAAAAACAAAATTAAAATACTTATTATTTCCCCATCATCAGAAATGGAAACCCAAGAACTCTCTCATCCAATTTCCTTCCTTTTGACTTTAATTAAAACAATGATCTCTTCTTAGGCTAAAATCAATAATAATTTCATAAAATGAAATTTTGACAAACAAACCTTTCTTCTCCTTCTTCTCTTGATCAGCATATCCAATTCCCTAAAACTTCAATGTTCTCTTGTTTGGCTTAACTGGACCAGAGCGATGGATTTACTCTTCGTGAGGAGTCTATTTCGCTTATTGATCACATTGATTCGCTCTCTCAGCAATTCGGTGTTTGTCTACTCGCCCGTGCTACTTGCACTCGTCTGCTCGGTCATCTGCTTCGCCGTTCAATGCTCGATCACCTACTTAATTTGGAGGGTCCGTTTTGGTTGAACCAGACTAGCCAGTTCTTAAATATGTTCTTTATTTTTAGACTAGTTTGAGCAACTTATTGTCAATTTTTTGAATAATATCTTTTGTTAAGAATTTATTTTTTTCCTACCATTGAAGCTAAAGATAGCTGATCGACTGCAGATCTTCGTGTCTCAACAAGTATCAACAGGTGCATTCTTTTTCGGCCTTTAGTAGCATGTATAATGACACAGGTCTATTTGGATCTTTTTAACCACGGTAAGAGATTTCTACATACGTATAATCTATTTATTAATGAAAAATGAACTTTTTCTCCATTATAAGTAATTTGAGATATGATTCCAAGTATTCGAAGTTTTATTTTTCTGAAAAATAGCTGCAATTGATTACCAGTTGGTTATTAACTGGAAGAAAATTATTTCTATTACGAAAAGTGCCATGTTGGAAATGGGAGATGAACAGATTCTGAACAAAGATATATAAATGTATCTTTTTCCATTCTTACAATTTATCTAATATTTTTTCTTGTATGTATTCATATTTGAGCTAAAAATTCTTTTACGTGATTGTAATTTCTGCTATACAAGAAATTTTCATTCCAGATGAATATATTGGGTTCAGTTTCGATGGGCTATGCCTACATGTTCTTGTGACTATGTTTGCTTACCAACCTTGATGTCTTGGAATGGTAGTTGCAGAGAAGGTTATCCTTTCTAACATGACAACAACAACAACAAAATAAGGTTTTATCCGACTACGTAGGTGTCGGCTACAATTGCAATCCTTTTTCTACATTGTGTCTTATTAAAGTCAAAATTTCTCGTTTAAATCTAATATAAGTGAAAGGTCATTCCTAATATTTCTAACCAATTGTCTTTTTTAGGTCTTACCCCTACCTTTCTATCATAAGTCAAATCTATATACCTCTACTCTCCTAACTCGGGTCACTGAAGGCTCGACGCGTTTTATGTGACCCAAACCATCTAAGGCAACTCTCTCGTAATTCATTTATCTTTCTACTGGAGCTCCATCCAACCTTTTACAGTATATGCTCACTTTCGTTATCCTATCTCTTAAGGGTAAAAGTCCACTCATTCCACCTGAGGCATCCTCATCTCTGCCACAATTAACTTAGTTTATTATGGCTTCCTTCTTTTATGGCCACATTCGGCAACCATTAAAGCACTTTGGCAGGCTCACTACCAATCTTATTAGAAATTTCCCTTAAGTTTTGAGGGGTACAATTTTACTCAACATAACACAGCTTCGATGCATTCCTCCACTCAACTACTTAACTTGAATTATGCTGTGATATATCCTCTATTTCACCATCACTTCTGACCAATAGATCAATGATATCTAAAATGTGTCACTCTTTATTTAATGGACTTTATCGCCCAAATTCACTAATTCCCCTCACTAAGGTCTATATACTTACTAAAATTACATTCCATATATTTCGTTTTAGATCTACTCAGCGAATAAATCCTTTTAGATCTCTAAGGTTTGACCTCCATAATTTAAGTTTTTACCGTCAACTCCCTCTCTAGTCCTTATCAACAAGAAGAATATTCATCAGCAAAAAGCATACACCAAGGTTCACATCCTCTGTGCAAAAATGTCTAGTTGAGAACATTCATGACTAAAGCAATGAAATAATGGCTTAAGGCTGATTTGATGTTATACCAACCGATAATTAGGGTAATACTTGGTCAGTCCCCTTGGTGTTTGAACACATGTAATAGCTCCTGCATACATATCTTTAATGATTTGAATATAAGCATTATTGACTCCTTTCTTTTTAAGAACTCTCCATAGCACTTCTCTTGGAACTTTATCATATGCTTTTTCTAAATCAATAAATATCATATGTAGATCCTCCTTATTTTCTCTATATTTCTCCATCAAACCTCTTAATAAATGTATGGCTTCCATAGTCGACCTACCCGGCATGAATCCAAATTGATTTTGAGAAACATTAGTATCACGCCGCAACCTATGCTCCATAACTCGCTCCCATAGTTTTAAAGTATGACACATTAACTTAATACCTCTATAATTCGCACAATCTTGTGCATCACCTTTATTCTTAAAAATAGGAATTAACATACTCATTCTCCACTCATCTGGCATCTTTTTAGTCTTCAAAATAGTATTAAAAAGTTTAGTAAGCCATGAAATTCCTTCATCTCCTAAGCATTTCCACACCTCTATTGGGATATCATCAGGTCCAACAGCTTTTCCACCCTTCATTTTCTTTAAAGCCTCTCTAATTTCAGTTTTACTAATATGCCGATAAAAACATAAATCTTTATTTTCATCTAGGGTGCTAAGGTCACTATAGTCAATCTTATTTTCACAATCTTCATTAAAAAGTTTAGCAAAATATCTCATCCATCTTTGTTGAATATCATCTTCTAAGAAAAGTATTTTTTGATCTTCATCTTTAATACACTTCACTTGAACTAAATCCTTACTACTCCTATCTCTTTGTTTGGCTAACTTATACATATATCTTTCTCCCTCTTTAGTATCTAATCTATTATATAAATCACTAAAAGCTAATGCCTTTGCATCGCATATTGCTTTCTTAGCATCCTTACGAGCCACTTTATATATTTCCCAATTATCAGAATTTTTAAAATTAAACCAATTTTTATAACAAAGCTTCTTATTTTTAATTTTTTCTTGCACATTAGGATTCCACCACCAACTATTTTTACTATTGGGAGCTTTTCCCTTTGATACTCCAAGGACATCTTTTGCAATATTCTTAATATCAGTAGCCACTTTTTCCCACATAATATTAGCATCCTCATGCACAGACAAAATCTTAAGATCTAAAATCTTATTTCCAAAAATATTTTTGTTAATATTCTTTAAATGCCCCCATTTAATCCTAGAAAATTGTTTTACTTTATTTTTTATTTTATGCCCCTTTATCTTAAAGTCCAAAACTAATAATCGATGTTGGGTACATAAATTTTCACTCGGAATAACTTTACAATCTTTGCAATCTAAACGATTTAATTTTCTAATAAGAAAATAGTCAATCTGGGTTGTATTATATCCATTTTTATAAGTGATGAGATGCTCATTTCTTTTCTTAAATAAGGTATTAGCAATTGAAAAATCATAAGCTAAACAAAAATCCAATATGGTCTTGCCACCTTCATTCGTCGTTCCAAATCCATGGCCACCATGAATGCTTTTAAAATCATCTACCTCTCTACCAACATGTCCATTTAAATCTCCTCCAATAAAAACTCTTTCTTCAAGAGGTATCTTTTGTATTAATTCTTCTAAGTCATTCCAAAATTTTAATTTAGAACTCATATCCAAACCCACTTGAGGAGCATAAGCACTTATAATATTAAAAATATTATCATAAACAACAATCTTTAAAGCTATAATTATATCTCCAATCCTATTAATTTTTATAATATTATCCTTTAAACTCTTATCTATAATAACACCTACACCATTTCTAGTACGACTCCTACCCGAATACCAAAGTTTAAATCCTAAACTATCAATTTCCTTAGCCTTCTCTCCAACCCATTTAGTTTCCTGAATGTACAAAATATTTAACTTCCTATGAATCATAATATCTATTAATTCCATTAATTTTCCTGTAAGGGAACCTATATTCCAAGTTCCTATCCTAATTTTAGTTTCATGGATTAGCTTCTTTGCCCACATCCGTCCTTTATGTGGGAACCCTTGCCTATTTAACACTGCACCCGGGCGCCGGTGCAGCGGCCCTTGCACACTTGTCACTGTATTCAGGCCATACAGCGCGTCGCGGAGGAGGGTAGCTTCAGACGATACGCTACTGCTCCAATCTTCCCCAAGATCTCATAGGGACCAAAGTATCTTGGGGCCATTTTCTCGTTCCTCCTGCTAGCCACCGATTTCTGTCTGAAGGGCCTCAGCTTCAAGAACACTTTCTCCCCCACCTCATATTTTATCTCTTCTGTGCGTATCCGCTCGCTTTTTCATTATTTGTTGTGCCCTCGCTAGATGTTTCTTTAACTCTTCCAACACTCGGTCCCTCTCCTCTAAGTACTGTTCGAATGAAGAGACAGATGTGTTTCCCTTCCCATAATGTACTAAGTGTGGGGGGTCTCTTCCATAGAGCACCTTGAAAGGAGTCATTTGGGATGCCGAATGGTACAAAGTGTTATACCAATACTCCGCCCAAGGCAACCATTTAGCCCATTTACGTGGTGTTTCAGAAGCAAAACACCTCAAATATGTCTCCACGCTCCAGTTAACCACTTCTGTATGCCCGTCTGTCTGTGGGTGGTAGGTGGTGCTCCTCTTGAGAATTGTGCCTTGCATTCTGAAAAGTTCTCTCCAAAACTGGCTGAGGAACACCTTGTCTCTATCCGACACAATTGATTCTGGAATCCCGTGTGATCGAACCACTTCCCTGATAAATGCTGCCGTCACTGATACTGCGGTGTAAGGTTGTCATAGGAGGATAAAATGTGCATACTTACTGAGTCGATCCACCACGACTAAGATGACGGTGAATCCTTCTGAACGGGGTAGGCCGTCGATGAACTCCATAGACACTTCCTCCTACACTCTGTTCGGAAGTGCTAACGGTTGGAGTAATCCACCAGGCGCCATTGTCATGTACTTATTCCTCTGGCACACCTCACATTTTGCCACCATCTCCTCAACATCCTTAAACATCCCCTTCCAGTACAGCTCCGATGCCAACCTTCTATATGTCTTATGTACTCCTGAATGACCCCCAACTGTACTGCCGTGGAATTCCTGTAATAGGTGAGGAATGTGTACTGATGTTCGTGGCATCACAAACATTCCTTGGTATAGCAGCCTCTCTCCCTCCAGGTAGTACCCTGACTTGCCGCTACTGTCCTTCTTTAATCCTTCCCTGATCTTCTTCAACTCTTCGTTCTGCATGCTCTCTTCCTTGATGGCCCCCCAATCAACCATCAGGGGTACTGAAACTGCCACTTCCTGAAGTTCCCCCACACACCTAGATAAGGCGTCAGCTGCATTATTTTCCACCCTAGGCCGATATTGGATCTCAAAATCATATTACCAGCTTTGACAACCACCTATGATGCTCCTCAGTCACCATCCTTTGCTCTAACAGGTATTTCAGACTCCTCTGATATGTACGAACAATGAAATGCCGGCCTAAAAGATAGGGGCGCCACTTCTAAATGGCCAAGACTATGGCCATCAACTCTCTCTCGTATACTGACTTCAATCGTGCC